ATATACATTTTGTTAAACGGTTAAAATATTTGGAAAGTAAAAAGTATATATTTTATTAGAGGCTCTGCAAACATAAGAAATACGATGTGTGCCTTTTTATATCATAAATTATGACAGTTAGACTTGTAAAATAATAAACACAGAATAAAAATTTGAATTTCCAATCTTATAAGTTTTATTTCTTAAATACAATTGTAGACCATTCAATTCTGAGTTCAAAGTTTATATTGTAAACATGGCTCATCTGGGATGCAAGGTATGAGGAAAAACGATCATGGCGAGCTTTCTCAAAAATTTTTGTCGCTAAACTGGTGACAATTCGTAATTTCTTGCCAGCTTAACGACTTTTTGGAAGACTCGGGAAAACGCATTTTCGAAGCTCTACGACTGATTTTTTCCGAAGCCTCCAGAGGGCTGCGTAAAACTACTAAAAACAGTTTCGATAGCTATGAGAAAATAATTATTAATTAGATGTGAGTGGTTCAAAAATAGTTAACTGAATTTCCAACTAGTTAGAGTTAGGTTAATTATTCAAAGAGTGTTGACTTTACTGTGGCGATGATTTTGGAAAATTACGATATTTCTAATGCGTTAAGGAGGAAGTGCTTAATATCCGCGTTCTCCTTGGATTATTTATAGCTATATTGTGTCGTGTATCATTAATATTTACAGTAAATTATCAGTTTCTTTCTTTTCTCCGGAAAGATTATTTAAAGAAACAATCATGAACCTGTAGTTGACAACAATATATACACATATGCATGTATCTTTTATTCAGATAATTTTGCTTTTTGAAAGCACCCTGAAATAGGCAACTCATCTTAGTCGGTTCCTCTCAATTCTTTCATGATACGCAGTATTCATAGGAGAGGTCCAGCTTACGTTGTAGAGTCATTAGGTTAATTGGAAGCAGAAAAGACGAAAAATATGCAACCGCCTTCGCCGAGAATCGAACCACGGACCTCTGAAATAACGGCTCAGTGTGCAGAACCACTACATCACGAAGGCACGCTAAGGAAGTGGGAGAAATACCTTATATACTCCCGTTTTTAAAGGGCGACTGGGGTTTTAGGGGACCTAGACGCCAAAATCCTGGGTGCGGAGAATCATCATCCACAACCCTTTTAGTTCGGGCGCCACTAGTAGAGTCATTAGGTTAATTGGAAGCAGAAAAAATGAAAAATATGCAACCACCTTCGCCAGGAATCTAACCACGGACCTCTGAAATACCGGCTCAGTGTGCAGAACCACTACACCACGAAGGCACGCTAGGGAAGTGGGAGAAATACCTTATAACAGGGGTCGCCAAAGTGGTCTATATAGACCCCTAAGGGTCTATTTAACAACAGTAGGAGTCTATCTGACCCAAGGGGTCGAATGGGGGTCTATTGGGAGTCGAAGGAAAAACAGTTCTTAATACGCAAATCACACATATCTAACTGCGTAAGTAAAAATTTAAAATATTTTTATAATTGACTTAATATTATATTCTTTATAGAAAATAAAATAATAAATCAGAAAACAATCTGCCCCTTTTTTCCTTATGGTTTTTCGTATGTATACCGTGACGTCACAACTTGACCTTGTGACCAGTTTGTAATTTGCACGACTCACAGTATGTAGCCAGAAGAGCGATTGAGGCTTATCCGTGTCTCTTGCTGGCGAACCCATCAACCAATTAGGAGTCTGCGCCAAAGGCTCCTGAGTTCAGAGTTACATGAAGCTTTACAGTTTTGTATTAAATCTATTAATCAAATTAAAGCTCAACCTCTTAAATCAAGGTTATTTGCCAAACTTTGTGAGGAAAACAATGAGTTATTTAACCAATTACTTCTGCACGCCTAGGTTAGATGGTTGTCTAGAGGTGTATGCTTGCAACGGCTCGTGAATTTATTTGACTCCACGACCGAATTTCTGAACGAAATAAATGCTGTTCTAAGCAATGAACTCGAAAACAATAAGAAATATATTTTTTATTTAGTAGACTTATTTGGAAAATTTAATGACGTTCAAACAAAACTGCAAGGAAAAGATGTAACAATTATCCAAGCTCGGACAATACTGTTAGTCTTCCAAGTAAAATTAAATTTATTTAGATCTTCATTGCTACGTAAGGATTATAAGTATTTTTCAAATCTGCAACAATTAAAAATAAAAGAAGAAGACTTGGAAATATATACAAATCATCTTAAAAAATTAAGCGACGATTTTAAACTGCGCTTTGTTGATTTGGAAAACATCGACATCCCTGATTGGATTATTGCGCCATTTTCGCCGCAAATTGATAACGTCGACATCAACATACAAGATGAGGTTGCTGAACTATTGTCCGATCTTGAAGCAAAAACGCTTATTAAAAATTTGACAATACATAAATTTTGGACTAATATAAATATAAAGCAAAAATATGTGAAACTTTACGAAATGGCTCAGCCATTTATGCAGGCGTTTCCAAGTTCGTATATGGTTGAAGCCGGTTTTAGTCACGTTACTTCAATTTTAACTAAAAACAGAAATAAATTAAATGTGGAGCTTCGAGGGGATTTACGGTTAAAATTGACTAATCTCGAACCCAATATAGCGAACCTTGCCAAGAAACACCAGGCACACTCATCTCATTAAGAAGTTAAAAATCTGTAGCTACTTTACTTACTGTTTCTGATTTATTAAATATTTAGACTAATATATAGTTTTATTTTAATTACCTGAAAATTACCTTTGTGGGGGTCTATGGAGATTTCGAAAAATTATATAGGGGGCGATGATCAAAAAAGTTTGGCGACCCCTGCCTTATAACGTAAACTGGGAAGCTTTCCTTGCAAGTCCAGTGACATGCTCTATCATCGGCTACCGATGTAACTCTGTTAGAGACCGAAATTATTCCGGTTCGGAAAACACGTCAGTGCCTTGCACGCACAATCTTCATGCAAGACTGAGCTCCTCTACACATTGCACGGTGTGTTACAAATGTTCTTTTAAACGTGATTTTACAGAACATATCATAAGCCTACACTTTCGCGATGTGTGATCTCCCAGATCACAATCCATGCGATTTTTGGCTTTGGGAACATTCAGTATGTCGTGACAATCCTCCAAGAACTTTACCCGATCTTACAGTCAACATTTCACGCCACGTGCTGAACATTCGGGTAACTGTGGAACAGGCCATTTTGAGATTTCAGATGGTAGCTGAAAATGGCCATCATGCGAAACATGTTTTGTTGCAATAAAATTTATAAAACTGTAGAAATATTGTAAAGGTGTGGCTAAATGTGTAATTTATTAATAAAATGCCCTCTGGTGGCGATATTTGTAACTAATGTTTTTCGCTGAAAGACATTCCTATCCCTTCATTAAGTCCCTCATGAAATTTCACAATTTTCTGATGACTGATTTTGCCTGTAGGAAACACTGAAATAAGGTTCTTTCATTCGGAACATAGTTTATATTTTTTAAACTCGCAGTCTGCCTCTATTTGTGCTGTATTTTGATTTTAAAAAAATCGTACAAAGTAGTCATGTGAGACATTTACAAAAGTAGATAAATAAATAAGTGTACATAGATTCGAAGATTATTTCAGCTTAAGAAAAAAGAAAAACAGCACTTTTTCTTGTTATAAAAAGATTTATGAAATAATAAGAAAAATTTAGTTACGTATTAAACCATTACGAGGAATTTAAAGCGCATTAAAAATATCACTATTCCTAAGACCGCGAATTTCTTCGAAATAAATATCAAAATTATAACTTTTTGTAACATTTGATCTTCGGAAAGAATGTTGAGTTCATTTTCATTATTTTCAATGACACTGCTTTCAGGAAAAAAAGGAGCGTTGCTTTATAATTTTCTTAGAAATTCAGACTATTAAAATAATCGTGGTGTAAAAATCAAGCTGTTTGAAAGAACTACTATCGCATTTGAAAGTAACTTTAAATCTGCGAAGAGCAGCTTTTCTAAAATGTGAATTATACTTATAGAACATGCATAAAAATTACAGAAAATTTTTACTTAGACATTACCTTTGTATTAATGTCATTACATTTGTAGTAATTGGATGTTACATTTGTAGTAATTCGGGATAATGTTACTTATACATTTGTATTTTAGTTAACATATGTTACAACGTAACATTCGCATATTTTCGAAACCTGCTGACCTCAAAAGTTTCTTTTCCTTTAGTTAGTTCTTTTTAATTAATGGAATAACATATATATGAAAAACTGTGTCCTGGACATAGAATTTTAGATAAATATTAATAATAAAGGAGCTCACCAGCTGCCGAGCGGTAAAGACGCTGAACCTTGATAGTTCGGTCCGAGGTTCTAATCCCGCGAACGGGCTGGCTGCATGGGCGTTTTCGTGGTTTTCCCCATGTGTAACGTGTATACGAGCCAGTTCCCCTTAGAAAGTCCTCGACGCGAAGATATCCCTCCCTTTAGGCAGATAGCCCTCGTGTGCTTTGTCATAATTGAATAATACAATCCATAAATAGCATAGGGAAGTCATCCATAGCATAAAGGAAACTGTTTATTTTATAAAATTAATACGGAATACTCAAGAAAGAAAGTTTGTAATACTTAATTATGTTTAAATTTTCTATTTTGAAACTAGAAATTTCAAGTAAAGAATATTTTCATAACACGTTTCTTTTTGTAATACATTTATTTTTCATTTGCAAAGGATCATAATTGTTCTGCTATACTTCGTTGATAGTAAATAACCGGAAAATTCTTAATAGTCTCCGTTCACAGTATGAGACCAAATTAACAGTTACGCAAAAACGCAGTCAATTAAATATGAAACAGCATTTAACAACATTCACGGAAGCAATTAGACTCGACAGCTACGCGATTAATGTAATATTCAGCATAAGGGCGGTGGCGTCAACAAAAATATAATTTGACGCATGCTAGTCAGATGATAGCATTTCATGCGTTAGATTCAGGGAACCTTGATGATGTACCATTTAATGAGGTACCCGCAACAAAACAACACTGTCACCCAAACCTATCAGCTCAATTATATTGTGTAATATCGTGCTAGGCGTCAAAGTGTTAATAAATTGAAGATATCTTCCAAAACAAGATTCTTTTTATCTATGTTTTCAACTGGTGTTTTTGAAAGTAACATATGTAAGTTTTTTTTAGGATGCATGATGGCATCTGAATTGGAAGCTGCCTTACCACCTATTACCAATGTAGGTCGTCAACCTGTAAATTATGGCCATCCTCCGTCGGCAAGGTGAGTAGACTTAATTCTGCTTCTCTTTCCATTTAAATCGTAACAATATAATCCATTTTATAATTTTCAAACCATAGATTTGTTCACTTCTCATGTGCAAAATAATTGCGAAGTGTACTAAAACTCCTATCCTAATTTTTCCTATCCTACTTTTCCCAAAGAGCTTTTATTTTTGGAAGATAATACTACGTTGAGTTTCAGTCGTTTTAAGCATTAGAAACATATAAACTTCGTTGACAACACGAGCAAAAATAGAATTAATAAGATAACAGATTAATTCTTCGTTCATTCATATTAAGAAGTTGGAAAGACAAGAAGCAATGCTTGGGGTACTAAAATTGTCATGTTAAACTGAAAGATGTATTATTCAGTATTAGTGGCTCCATCATTAACTCTGATTATGTTAATGTAAAAGTTACAGGTGTACTTTAATCGTCAGACATGAGATCTGTGTCTCAATATTAAACTACAACTTGGTAATATTTTATGAAGCTCTTTTAAAAACAGTTTTCAGTGTTATATAACTATTGACAACATTTTTGATAACATAAATTGAAAAATGCTGGTGTTGTTAGAACTTAAAATTTCATAAATTGGAGAGTATATGTTGAATATCGCTTTTATTATGTTAGAAATTTATTTTAAATAGCTTAAGAAAGTAGAGAAGATTTGTTCAAGCATAAATGTAAATAAAACGATGTCCAAAAAAATTACGTTAAGTTCCTTACCTTAACTTCCACTATTTACTGAAACAGAATCCGTGTGTTGCCCATTTAGACAACATATTTTAAATGTTTTCATTACTGTCATTCATAACACTTGCCATCTTCTATTCTATAAATCTTCATAATTATCATTTATAACGCTTAGCTTCTTTATTGTATATATCTATATCTAAAACTTATTTGATGCAATTAGCATTATAATTCACAAAATTTAATTTACATTCCATTTATATTTAGTTTCTCTAGCATGATAAAATGGACCTGGAGTTGACTTATCTCAGTCTGTATAATTTCATTCTATTGTGTTGTTTTTGATGAGAGATTAAATACATTTTCTCTACTCGGAAAGATTTTCTATGGTTAAATCTAATAAGCTAACTAACTACATATGTTTAAACCTCATTGATCCCACAAATTATCCTCTTCCCAACTACGAAGAAGATTAATTAAAATTTCAGAAAACAGACAAGAAATAAAATTGAACTAAAACATTTATCAAATTATCCCTCGTAGTTTACAACTTAAAATTAACAAAAAAAAAAAAATACTGTTTTTTTGTTAATTTAATTTACAACGTTTTGGCAATTTAAATATCAGCAAAATACACAATTTAACATTCATTCTGCTAATTCGACTCCAGTAGTGGGGTTTTTAACTCTATGCTCTAACAAATACAAAATTCACTCACCACTCCACAGGTCGGCTAGGGTCGGCTCTTCATCTAAGGTAAACATCTATGCTGAATGGTTGCAGAAACACTTTCTCAAATAGCAGTTTCTCTCGTTATTTAAATTCAAACTAATTTGCATTCTGGTAAAGGCTGACGAAAGGAAAAAGAAAAGGTAAAGAAAAGGATTAGCATAAAAATAATGATTAGCTATAATAAAATTCATAACTTTACGTAGTAGGTATCCTTCCTCATGTAGCAATATTTACAAGCACCTCAAAATTTTAAGGGGTATCAGCAACCCCTATACCGACAATGTTAAATTGGCCATTTTCGATGTATCTTTTCTCAAAATCTGCTGTAGATGCACTCTTGAAATTCTTTGTGTAATTAAAGTACACCTATCTGATTATATGGAAATGATCTTTTGAAATATTTTGAATTTTAGGAGTAATTTACAGAATATTTTGCTAGGCATAGTAAAATGTAGCACTTTTCTCACACAAAATATTTTTTTAATTTTTTCTAAGTTTATCACAAAAAGTTCATTTCGGTAAATATTAGAAAACCTAATAAATAAGCCATAAAAATTTTAGATACCTGTGAGCAGTAGTTCCTGAGAAAAGGTACATCGAGTATAAAAAAATCACGTTTAAAGAAAAACGCGTTTTCATGTAAAACACCTCATTGATCAAAGCAGTCGATGGCACATTAAAACTAGATTTTTTACAGTTCTAATTTTCATAGAGATTAAAGAATGGTATTTTTAGAAAGATAAAAGTGTAGAGAATTTGAAAATGCAAAAATCCGAAATCACAATTCTTTGAAGATTTTGGGGTTCCAACACCCCTTAAAGTTAGGCAAAAAAGGCAGCATTAGTTTAGATAAAGTTTGAATAAAATTCTGTCGATTTTGTGAACGATCAGAACAAATCTCTTTCCTTCAAACGAAGGAAAAAAAAGCGAGAGTGAGAATAAGAGAGAGGAAAAAAAATATTCTTTGCGCCTGATTTTGAAAAAGGACCTGTGTCTTATCGCTCTCGAAATCAATAGCGATTTATTTAAAAATCTTCGCCAAACTAAACTTTCTTTTTACATAATTTAAATTTTTTTCATTTCTTGTTTCTTTTCCAGTTTGATTTCAAACTACCTGAGATCATAATTAAAATGTCCAAAATAAAAAAACTCTACGTGTTTGTCCAAAATAAAAAAACTCTACGTGTTTCTCCAAAATTTCTATTAATGAGAGTTTTTTTTTCGTATGTTTTAATACATTAGATTTATTTTCTTCTTGAAAAGCCATTTTTAAATCAAAACTTTAAAATCTCTATATCAGATTGGTAGCGGAAAGGGATTACGCTGTTTACTAAAAATTTCTCGGCCTTATCAGAAGTCATTAGCTTACATCTCTATCCGACTTGCATTTATCTGATAGTCTACAGCAGAGGTTCTCAATCGGTGGTACGCGCACTACTAGTGGTACGCAAGAGAAAAATAGGTGGTAAGCAAAGAAGCAAAGTTTTTTTAACTATTAAATTCAAAAATGAAAACCTCAACATCCTAACTGAGATTTTTTCTCTACAACTCGTAAATTTATGCGATTTGAGCTTTGTTCAAGAGTAGTGGTGGTAGTAGTACTTTCTAGTGGTGGTACTAAAGGTTTGCAGTTTTTGTTTAGATGGTACGTGTTAGTCAAAAGGTTAAGAACCGCTGATCTACAGATTAAAATTCCTATTATTCATTGATTAAATAAAAACTGGAGTAAAATAAGAAAATAAATTACCGTCAAAAGAAAAAAGCTGCAGTTTTGTGCTATTAAAAAATCTCAAAACATATAAGCAAATAAAAATATTTTTCTCTATAAATTAGAGAAAACGGAATTTGATGAGTCTCAGCTCACTTTCTTTTCGCTCAAAAATCACTCGCTAATGACTTTTATACATTCAGTAATGACTTCTGAAAAAACCTTTAGTACAAGTAAAAAAATGTACCAGCAAGTCAGATCATAGAAGTAGTACGCCCGACTTTGGACGCAGCTCCTCTGGGATTCAGCACTGATGCGATACCAGTATATGTGGTATCTTAGGACACCGCTGCTTAAATTTCCCCGTCATTTTACAGTTTCACGTCAAAAGTCTTCCTGGAACAGGTAATGAAAGAGACAAGACATTTACACGATGGTATAAGTGAGGCCGAACTTAAACCTTGCAAAGCAAATAGTGAAATATATCCTTTAAAGCATTCGTACTCTTTTAAAATGACAGTTTTAGACAAAGTATAGATTACGTATTTTGCATTTTTGATGTACCGATGAAGCATTACCTTTTCTAGCTCAAAAAGGGCTATTATTCTCGGAATGGGATTTTGCGTTGGCTCATTATAAATGGTGTATCATATTTTCAAACTGTTGCTACCAAATATCACCCTGAGAAGAATCTGCATGTAGGTGTGTATTTTCCTTGTATTATGAAAAAAAAAAAAAAAGAAAGAAAAGAAAAGAAACGGCGGTACCTAGAGCCATCAAATTTCGAGACGTAGTTCTTCACCTGAGCATGCGTACATCTGGAAGTCTTAACTGGAGACCTACGTGAAAAGGAAACGATGCTTAAAAATATAGCTAAAAAGAAAAATAAACGGGACTTAGGAGAAGTTAGTGCTAGAGCAAGCTGATAGACTGCAAGCTCAGCAAGAACGTGAAAACCCTAAACAAACCCTTTTGGGCGACCGTTAAAATCTCAAAATCTGACAAGGTTTTTTTTTTTTTTTTTTTTTTTAAATTTCTTGGGAAAATTTGTTTTTATCTTGCTCAGAAACCGATTTACAATTGTTTTAATACTTATGTCAAGGCCCGGGTATTGGTTAAGGTTTCGTGAATCATATTGAAATGTTTGGTAATTCCCATCAAAATGTACAGAAATCGCTTTAAATTCTCATTATCTGAGCAACATTTAGTGAATTTCAAAACGAACAACAGAGAAATTTTAGAATGTTTTGCAGAAAGATTACTTTTTTCCAAAAAGTATTTTTATTTTAGTCTATAACATACATATGTGCTTTTCTCTAATTATGTAGTGGATTAATCAAGTTGTGAAAAATACGAATTATTTTATTTTCCATGAAAAAGGTCGGACACCTTTTGCAATAATGTCTGTTGTATGAGTACTCATTAATCACGTTTTGAATTTTTACAATTTTGAAATTATTTTTTTTTTTCTTCGTCGCTTTTGAGAAGCAATAGTGGCTGCCCGCCAGAGTGACATCAACATTAGCCATTCGAAAATTTTTCATTGAAGACATCCCTCTCATTACTCAGATAATCCTCTCATAATTTGTTGCAATAGATTAAATAAATAGTAGAAGAACCAAACATATTTCAGCTAACCAGCGGCCGAGCGGTAAAATCGCTGAACGGTGGTAGTTCCGACTTGGGTTCGAATCCAAATGAATAGGCTGGCTGTAGGGGCGCTTTCGTGGTTTCTTCATGTGTAAAACGTGTGTACGAGCCAGTTTCTGTTAGAAAGCCCTCTACGAAGACATCCCTCACCTTAGGCAAACAGCCCTCCAGAACATAAATAGTAAACTAAACCAAAATAACTTTTAATAAATAAACCATTTGGCATAATTAAAACTAAGCCAAACATCTCACAAAACCCAACATTTGTTTGCTTCCATTTTTGTCAAATAGTGTTAGAATAAAATGATAGCTTAAGACTGTATGACGCTTCCCAAAAGCTTTCAACATCTGATTTAATAAGAAAATGTCTCATTACTCAAATACTTAGAGACCAAACCTGAATTAGAGGAAGATTGAGGGATACAAAGACAAATAACTATCCACTAGTCGACATTTACAACGTTTACAATCTAGCAGCCAACGGTTTACGGCTGAGAAAAATCATAAAATTTTCACATATTTGATAAAAACTACAAGAATCGCTCTATTCAAGATGTTGAACAAAAGCAATTTATTAATTTGACTTTTGAAGTAATTTATCCAAGATGACAATGCCAGAGTTCGTCTTGCTGTAGAAATGGAGACTTTATTTATGTTTCCCTAAACAGTTTTATCTTGATGCACAGCGAATATTAAAAATAAAATTTAAATTAAAAATAAAACTGTATTGTTTGGTGCTTATGAAAATATCATTAATCCAGAAGATCAGTTAGGAAGCAAATGTTTATGAAAGCTCCGTTCACAGGACTTCTTGTGATTTTTATCTCTGGGGACATTTGAAAGGCAAAGGTCTATGAAAATTATATCCAAAAAGATTAACTTAAAAAGAGTATTTATGAATAAACTACGGCACTTGATGTTTTGCGTGAGGTTAGTCAGAATGTGATTTCATGGGAAAACAGACAATTCTAGAAGGGTATAAGCTACTCTTGTAATATTATTTCATATCGTTTGTTTGTAAAATTAATTACAATTTACGATAGTTACTTAATAGTTTGTTTCTATTCACCGTTATTGGTGGCTATATTGTAATGTAAAATTAAAAGAAAGCGCATTTTCATGCAGATCGAACAGGCCGGTTTTACTTGAAATATCTTGTATAACTTAAATGATATAACGAAACTATATTGTCCATAGCACCACCTCAGCACATTCTGTGGACATGTTATCCTCTAAGTATGTAAGTAATTACTTCCTCTGGAATACGCACCAACCGATACTATCACTGAATCACTTTTGAAGGTAAGTCTTTGTTGCACTAAATATATTGCTTATTAAATGTTCCTGTTGTTCTCAGATCTTAACTCATACTCCAAAGTCATAGTCGTCCTAACCAAAATTTGGGAAAAAGTGTGATTAGGCACGAAACAGCACATTCTTCCGTTACGTGGTCCAAGAAGGAATTAGCTTATTCTTTTCAGGAAATAAATATTAAATTGTTGAATTTTTATATGAAATATATCAATAATTCAACCTAAATTATTAATTTAATTTTCTTCCGTCTCTGTTTCATTTTGTCATTCACTTCAAAAGCATTACTATTGATGAAAACGTTGGTTTCTGTTTCTCTCATGACTCCTTAACATTTTCTTGTACATACAGTATATAGTTTATTATTCTCCTCCAACAGATATCCTCAAATTATACATTTAACGGATATGAAATAAATAGTAAATTGTGAAAAAAATTGCTGGCCACGAATTGTTTAAGTTGTAAAACACTAAGCCAGTATAACGTATATTTTTTTTTCTCCCAACAGATATGGGAAACTGTCGGAGAAAATTCGGAGAACAGCTCCAAGCGAGTTCCAATGTTCAGTTTTCTGCGGTGGAAAAAAATGCAAATATGATAGTGCCAACTGGCATAAAGAGGACATGGCAATTAACGGAATCTACTCACACTGGTAAGGATGAAATATTTTACATGATTTGTTATATAAACTTAAAAATTTATAAATTATTTAATTTTATAATTATTTATTTTTAATTATTTAATTTTATATTTAAATATTTTTTAGTATTTTAAGCATGCTTTAGATAAACATTTTTATGCATATCCAGAAGAATGTTTTGACAGAACTAAGCGACAATATGTTTTTGCTGATAAGATTATGGAAAAGTGTTAATGAACTAAGAATATGTTTAGGTACAAAATTAAAATTTCGTTAGAATTCAATCAGTTAACAGTTTGGATAGGCTTTTTGAAATCTTTATCATCTTGTCTCCTTAACTACCAGCAAATAATATTTCTATACAGTGATTGCTAGCATAATTAATGTATTAATGTTAATTAATGTGTTTATAAAAATTAATGTATTCAAAACCTAAGCCAAGAAGTTATTGAAATTAAATTATAAATTAAATATTAGTAAATTAAATAGTCTAATTTCCTACGAAATTGTTTGTAGCCGTTTCTGAATAATGGGTTTTAGTGAGCTATGTAGAGGTTGTAAAGACAGATTTTTTACATCTTAACACTACTCGAATATATATTTTCAAGCAGCTGCCAAGATTGGAGCCGAAATATTTTAAGCTTTATTGCTTTCCAAGAAAAAAATAAATTGCGAAACTAAAATTCTTAACTTCCAAATATTTGCAAATCACGAACAGATATTGGGTGATCCAAAAGTCACGCGCATCAGACTTTCAAAAAGTGCAGAAATTCCAGAACGGTAAGTAATGGCAAATTATTTCAATGGTTGACACCTCTATACTATAACAACTAAATGTATCACTTCAAATTTCTGTTACAGTTTATAGTGTCAGCTTTAAAAATTGTTTTGGCCAAGTTGAAACTGTTTCTAAAGCTCAAAACATGAACTGTAAATGCAAGCAAAGGCAAGCAGTCAACTGATTAAATAACACTAAATCGCAGTCATTCTACTTTATGGCTGGAGTGCCTATTGAAACTGTTCAGTTTTCTATGAGGTAATTCCATAAAAAAACGGCTATTCAGTGTTTACACATGTGTTTATTGCAGAGATGTACATCCGCATTCATACGAGATGTGACATTTAATCAAAAGGGTATTATTGAAAAATATCAGCTTAAAATATTGAAGATGGGTTAGAAGCAATAGAATTAAACTAATTATTCATTTCAACTATCATAAGTTTAATTTTAATACGATGTTAATAATTATATTTTACAACAATCGCAGCTCTTTTAGCAACTTTCTGTGGTTATTCAAATGATTTTAAGTCAAGTGTTAGAAGTTTATAATCTTTTCTATTACAAGACAAACACACACCAAACAATTTTCCCTGGAAAGTTTATGCTCCAGCTTCAAATTTCCAGAGTGAAAAATCTGATTTTGTCATTAGCTCATTTTGACTGCGGTAACAGCTTTAAGCAATAGTTTTAGGTGACTTATTCCAATAAATAGAGAGCGAAATAGAACGAAAACACGCATTAAGAAATTTAATCACCATACTTACTTTGAAATGAAAACAATGTTACAAGCGATAAGAACAGCACATTTAATTTGACAATGCTCAGCCCACCAGTGACTGAGTTGTAAAAGTCGCTGAACGATGTTAGTTTGGTCTGGGTCCGATTCCAGGCCAATGAACTGGCTGTATGGGCGTTTTCTTGGTTTTCGACATGTGTAACGTGGATATGAGCCAGTTTCTCTTAGAAAGTCCTCTACGAAGGCTTTCCCATTGCTTAGGCAAATAGCCGTCGTGTGCTTTTCTATAACCAAATGAAAGACACCTAATTAAAAATGGCTTACAAGAAACGCTGGTGCATATATTTTTGCAGAAAATTATTTGACGCTAAATTTTCTGTGATAGAAAAGATCCGAAATGCATAAAAGCAGAAAAAAGTAATTGGAGTTTTAGCATGCTTACCATTATTTGTCTCATATACTGAATGTTTTATGCAGGATCACTAATGATATTCTGGCAATGGCAAGACCCAACACAGAGACTATTGAAAAATATAATGTGATTCAGCAGTTCCGTGAGTAAGTAACAAAATATATTCTCTTGTCTGTTTTAGATTAGATCAATTCATTTTGTTTGCCCTAGCTAAATAATCTATAGTGTATAGCGTACGTGAACTTTTTTCAGCAAAGGAATTTCATCTATTATAAATCTTCAAATGCCTGGTGAGCATTCATCCTGTGGTAACACCTTAGATGCTTCAGGATTTTCATACAACCCTCAGCTTTTCATGGATAATGATAGTAAGTCAATTCTACAGAAGATTATTAATTCGAAAAATTTCAGATATTCCTTTTGTTTTCTTAAGCAATCTAATAAAGCAATTTCCGTTATTTTCCAAAGCATATTAATTTTAGATAGCTATATTCATAATTTTAATTTAATTTTCATATTTCTGTTCCTACTTATAACTATGCTATGCATTCTATTTAAATTTAAAGAAAATACCCCAATTACGAACAGTTGCATGTTCTTAAGAGAACAACAAATGCTTTTTAAGCGAAAAACTATTTTCAGTTTATAAACGAAAAACACGTTTCAGTTTATAATCATTTCAATTTATACACGTTTATAAATTGAAACGTTCATAAAATTAACTCTATGAATTTTTCTAAATTTTTATATTCTGTATAAGGTATTGTGAAAGATAAAATACAAATTTTTTAGAAATAAGACATTGCTTCGTAGTTTTCTGAGAATGATATGTTTGAAGTCAGGAATAGATTTGTAATGGGGAAAAAAGGATTAAAATTTTGCTGCGTTTACCATTTACACTAATTATTTTGCTTTCATTTTTTTCATAAGGCAGCTCTAACTCCTTTTGTTTTATTCACAGTTTTGCTGAAAAAAAATAAAATACAGTTTAAATACTTCAATTATTTGAATTCTGTGAAATAGTTGCGAGAAATATATTTCTACATTCTCAAATAGTTGCCATTTTTCATGACATTCCTAGTAATGGTTGCAGGTTTATATATTTTTGTCTACTATTACTCTCGATTATTAAACTGAGAAAATGACCATCAAAGAGTTTAGATATTAGAATTGTATGACTGGAAAATTTTCATCACAATATTTTCAGCTTCGATTCAATAATTGAATTAATCTGTCGATTAGATCTACAGCAGTTTATTTTTAACCTTCTTAAAGTGTCCCTGATTTATATTTAAAAATAAAGTAAAAGTTTTCAAAAAAGGATATAGGTTTATAAGATGCTATGAATTACCTTGCACTAAGCTGTATTTGTAATATGTAGGACAGCAACAATTAAGAGCAAGTCTTTAAAACCTGAAACCACAAAACTGTTGGACCAGACTTAATTTAATTTGGTTAAGTACGTTTATAGACTATGATTCTGAATTTTGAAAAAAGTGATCAGAATTTCACCTTCAGGAAAAAATGGCTCCCAGTCATATAAATATGGAGATTTTCATAAATCTTGCAGATTATGCTATTTTTAGTTAATCGCTTAAAGTCTAATCCCGCTATCTGGAACTTAGTGACTGTATTAGTCCATTATAGCCACTTAGATAATTCTAAATAAGATAGCTCTAATAAATATACAGGCAGCATATTTAAACTAAAAATATTTATTGAGCTACTCTGCAAGATAATCTATGATGAAAACTTAATGATATTTGTAATGAAAAATCAGTAGCTTCAAGCTGCGTTTATTCTAACTTTCTGGCTTAGGCGTAAAAAAGGAAGATTCTCAGTCTTATCTGATGGTAAGTTTTTTAAGTTTATGAACATAAACTGTTACTTGCCCACATCTTCGAGTAGCGGCGGAACCATGCGGCTACTACAAACAAACTACTGCATCCGTACTTCTCGGCTGGCTTGCCAGTTCCAGCTCTAATTCTCGGCTTGTATTCAGTTCGTTCCGCCTGTTTCTGCCCAGTATCCTGGGCGGAAACAGGCTTATTGGAACCGTGAGTATAGGATTAATTCGGGAATTCTGAAGCGTAGAGAACTTAAAGAAACATCGTGTCACATTCAAAACTACCTAAATGTGATTATATAATTTGAAAATATCAGATCGTTTGTAAGTGTTACCATGACTAGGATGAAAAGCTATTATAAACTGACAAGCTGGAACATTTTCAACTGCCATAATCTATCAAAATAACCAGCCAATAGCCAAGTGGATAAGACAGCTGAATATAGGTGGTTTGACTCGGGTTAGAATGCCAGCGTAAGGAACAGCTTCATGGATATTTCTCCTATACGTAATTTGGAATCGAGACAGTTTACCTTAAAAAGCTCTTTAAGAAGCCAACCCTTTTCCTTATGCATAACACCTACGTGTACTTTGCCATAGTCAAATAAACCAAACGAATCAAATTGATGCGTACGGATCCAGCCTCGTGGACGTCACCTTGCACTTTTCTGTAACCTTCCTTTGCTGGAGCGGAAGTGGACAGACTATGAGTTCGGAACATTCTGTGGTACGATGAAGCAGGTGTTTATTTACCTGACACAAAAACATGGTCAAACTAAAAATCAGATTTTGCGCTATTGTTATAACTTTTAGCAGAGTATTTTACATATTTCAAAAATGGCAGTGCGAAGAGACTTTATAATCGTAATTCTAAATCATCAATTCGTTTTTTTTCGCAAAAGCAGATAGAACCGTGACCTGTATGGTCAGCCTATATTCATCCGTGTGTGGTGGTGCCCATGCACGCACACCCAATACTATGCGCTAGATTCTGTAAAAAACAAACATTCGCATGCTCTAAAAACCGATAAATTGCGTTTCTAGAGATAGTTTCAATAATTACCTTGCACAAATCGACAAATCGTTTTTTATGTGTATAGTCGAAGGTATCGTTGGGTGTACTGGACGCCATATGCGGAGTAGCAAAAGCTTGGTCGAAATTAAAACCAATAACACCGGTTCAGTCTTGGAGAAATATTCTTCCTAAATTTGAAGAAGTCAAGGCAATAACTGAAGTTGTATGCCCAAAAAAAATGAAAATGTAAAATTCTTGGGAAATGTCGATTGGGAAAATATAGAGAAATGTTTCGATTAGTGATTAGACTAAGCCGGGCTTTCAGTGTTTGAGTGATGCCGATATCGTTTCAAATGTCACAAGAGGGAAAGATTGATGCTGCAAATACAAGTGAAGAAGATACTGACAATTACATTAGTCTCGAGACAGCAATTACGTCTGTTGAAACTCTGTTGGTTTTCGATGATCAAGGGAAATTCAAATAAGTCATAAAATAGCACTTCGAAAAATACTCAGTGAAATTCGACAAATATTTAAACATTCTAGAAAAGTAAAATTATTCATTTTTTAAAGAAATAAACGCATACAATATCCGTGACCTGCTACATTAGCCCAGAAAACCGAGAGTACACTGTACTCAAAATTCTGTAAATATTATTTAGGCACTCTGTTTATCTTCAGACTAGTTTTATGTTTGACCACCGCAAGGTAGGAAAAGCGATTTTTAAAATCAATACTAATAAATGCCTGTGCTAGCCGTGGATTTCATTTCCTGAAATCGTGTTCGGTATGTCAATAACAGCACATGTAGTTGATTTGCCTTCTCTAAGCCCCTACTGATACGACTTCGGATGTTAAATGATGTTTAAGTCTGGTCATCAATGATTTTTCAAATTTTGCCTAATGCTCAGAGTAATCAGATTGGGCAGCAGGAATTTGCTCTATTTGTTGCTGCATTGGCGTGCCTTCATCGAAATTATCTTGTGTGAAGGTCGTGTCGAGTATTTTATTCAAGGAGTCTTCTGTGTGGCTATTGTTGCGAATAGGTGCGCTAGTTATAATTCTTATTTATATGGCGAATAATAACATAGTTTATAATTGTTATTATATGGCAAATGTCATATACGTCCTTACTTTAGGTACAAAATTCTCTCTAGGAGTTTACCTTGACTTGAATTATCACACATTTGTATGTTCCACTTTTTTTTATACTTTTGTAAAGTGGTTGATTGACTGTCGTTACATCTTTCTTGTTTCAAACTTCTTCGTAATGCTCTGCCCTTTTTGTTGCCCGCGTAATTCTTTGTTCAACAGATTTATTGTATGAAGCTTCTTAGTTTATCGTTGTGGCAGGTCTTCCTAACAAGTACTTTCTCTATTAATTATTAATTTTTCTCTGAATGCTTCAGAATCTTCTAATTTTATTCCTTCTTTCTACATGCCTTCGTCGTGTAACGGTAGCACACTCGGCGCGTATTCGAGAGGTTCGGCGAGGGCATTGCACAATTTTTAAGTCCTTTGCTTCAAACTAACCTAATTTCTCTACAGTGAAGCCCTAATTAAAAGGTGGTGGATCATGATTCTTCACCACCAGGATTTGACGATTAAGTTCTCGAATCCTCAGTCGCCCTTTAAAAGGCGAAGTATATAAGGTATTTCTCCCGCCATCCTGGCATGCCTTCGTGGCCAGCCACTCGACGCGTATTCGAAAGGTCCAGGATTCGAGTCCCATCGAGATCATTGCACATTTTCCATGTCTCTTGCTTCAAAATAACCTAATGACTTTGCAGTCTGTGTACGACTAAATTGCCTTTCTGAATTAACCAAGAAATTACGAATATTCTTCCCGAAACGAATTCTTTTCTGACCTGCAAAATTGTACTGTTTAATGCTGGACTTGGAGGCGAGGTAGTTTAATTGAAAGGTTATATATTTATGAACAGGTGTAACAGCTTTAAATAATATTAAAATCTTGTAGTAGTTTAAATAATTTAAATAGATGAACATTAAGGTATTTGTGAATGGCAATATTTGAAACCAGACTCGAGTGCCTCGTGCGACTCTCGCACAAAGAATGTAATTTATTTTTAAATGTTAGAATATGTTCTCTTCTTGTTTGTATGTCGCCATTTTTGAGTGTTAAATAAAAGTTATTGCTGTGTTCCATCATTGGAGTTGCTTCATATCACCAAAGAAGCATCACACAGGGAGACTTTCTTTTTATTCTTCTATTGTCTATTCTTGTGTGAAATGGGCTGCTTGTGATGTGATAATTTTGAGATACGGTCATTCTTTAGCATACGGTTATCTGTGAAACGCAAGATAGGCTCAGCGTATAATGTATTATCAAATTATATGGACTAGGAGGTCTTCCAGAAAATGGCCTTTAGAATCTATGACAGCGTATCCTCAGCTTGTGTTATAAGAACTGAAGTCACCAGCAAATATTTTGTTTCGGTATCTGTAGTCTTGATTCAGTTTTATTCGTGGGGAGTACAATGAAGTTGCAATAATCATTACGGTTTGAACTTCTAGGAGTGCGGCTATGTGGTCTCTTCCTAAACTGATTACTGAGCAAGAGGTGTTGGTATTGCAGCAGATTATTGCTGATCGCGGTTCTTTTTCTGGATCTTCTTTTTGGTATATGCTCCGTTGTAATGGGAAGCCAGTTATGTTTTACGTGTTTAGTATTTGTGTGTATAAAGATAAAATCTACATTGTACTCTATTGGAAAGGTGATCACGTGTGAGGTAAATGCCTTAGACTGTTGTAAATTTACCTTAGGGCATTTAATGGATTGTTCATTTCTTTCTGTATTTTATTTAGCATGCTTCTGAAATTATTATACAGGGTATTTGAATTAGCAATAAATTGTGTTTTCCTGGAGGGTTTCAATCTGTTTTCTGTAGCTGAATGAGGCTGAGTGATCGAGTAGGTATTTATAGATTGTTCCATAGGATAAGCTCTCGCACAGTAAAAACAAGTGGGTTTCTGCACGCTACAGTTGCGCATGTTATGTTTTCCCGATAACAAGGAGCAGTTTGTTTTACCGGTACACCTTGCACAAAAAAAGGGGAACAGTTCTATAGCTCTCGTTCCACTGGACCGATTGTCGAATTTAACTTGCACTGCCATGTCTCGGAAGCGCGACTTAGGGTATATATTAGATTTATATATAGCATTACTCTAACATAGGCATTCTGACACAAAATCGAACCTTTACTACTAATCTTCTGTTAAGTATTGGGCATACCGCTGCTATAATTCGTATATCTTATAAAGGTACTATTGCTGAAATTTTGAGTTGAATTCTTCTTTCAGATGTATCGAAATAGCTGGATTTAGCTCTTTTTTTACAGCCTCTACTTAAGAAGGTCTTATTGAATTCTGCTATGTAGTTTTCTTCACTTCTATTGTACACTGACTACCAATAAGTATTTGGACACTTATGCAAATGACAATATCTGCGGTCCTAAGGTACGTCACGGACTCCGCCGGTATATATCGTGTAGGAAACAGCATCAGCTTTAGTCGCATGCAAGATGCCTCGCAGTTCGGAGCTCTCTGATTTCGGGAAAGGTATAATTATCGGGTATCACAAATGTGGCCGATCCTTAAGGGATATATCTAGCGATCTGAAGTACCCAAAATCGACAGTGGCCTATGTTATTAAGAAGTGGAAGGTGAGCGGTGATTGTCGGAATGTGCCCCGAGTCGGCAGACCAACGAAACTGGGAGATAGAGACCGACGAGTGCTGTCCAGAGAAATTCGGAAGAACCGCACCCAACCGATGGCCCTCATCCGCGAAGAGTTTCAACAGGCATTCGAGAGTATTGTTTCAATGAATACCATTCGTAAGGAAGCACATCTGCTTGGTTTTCATGGTCGTGCTGCTGCACATAAGCCTTTGATTACAAAGTCCAACCGCGCTGCTCGGTTAATGTGGTGCAAAGCACATCGAAATTGGACCGTAGATCAGTGGAAACGGGTTCTTTGGAGTGACGAATCAAGGTTCACCCTTTACCGTTCGGATGGCAGGGTCTGGGTCCGGCGTTTACCTGCAGAACGTCTCCTGCCAGAATGCATTGTGCCAACAGTCAAGATCGGCGGAGATGGAATTATGGTCTGGGGGTGTTTCTCCTGGCATGGGCTGGGACCCTTAGTCCCCATTCATGGTAAGCTCAACTCCGATACCTACTGCACTATTTTGGATGACAATGTGCTTCCTACGTTGTGGCTGTTTTACGGATTGAACCCCTGTTACTTTCAGGACGACAGTGCCTTGTCATGTTTCGACGTTAACCAAGGCTTGGTATGGTGCCAATGGAGTTCATCGAATGGACTGGCCTGCCCAGAGTCCAGACCTGAACCCTATCGAGAACCTCTGGGACGAGTTGCATCGCCGAATTTAGGGGTGCACTACCCGTACAAAATCGGTGAAGGAACTTTTATGTCTTCTCCAAGCCGAGTGGAAGAAAATAAATACCACTAGCTGTCATACAAAGACTTGTGGAAAGTATGCTCCGGAGGGTCCACGCTGTAATTACCTCTCGTGGAGGCTCTACCAACTATTGATTTTGAATAAAGTTAGTTTTTCTTTTCTATCACAGGTGTCCAAATACTTATTGGTAGTCAGTGTATATTCGGAAATATATTGGTGTTGTGAAAATTATGACTGCAAGAATACGCAAAGAGCTGTCAAGGCTAGTTGGCTTTAAGTTGCTTCATTACTTAGAGTGTAAATATCGATTGTAAACTACGCAAATTTTCATTTAAGAAGTATTACAAAAAAGGATATGTTACAAGATATATTAGCTGAATGTTTATTGATTATACTTCTGAGGAATGAAAGCAATTGAATATTAACCATACTTTCCATTCGTGTATAGTTTCACAAATTAAGGAACAAATCAACTAGTTTAAACTACTGAATTAAAGTCAAATATTAAATGTAATGTTTATGAACAAAATAAACCGAAATGAAACGGAAGCACATGCAATAAGCACACAACAAATTTCCGTAGTATTGCAATTGTAAAAACAGTAAAACCAGCATGACTAACTTGTGTAATTTTGTTTATTCCCTTCCCCTTAGTCACCAGTATTTCCTCCCACACCAACGGTACACCATTGAGCATGCGCACTAAGCGAAATTCGTTAACACTGATCAACTCAATGTGCGGTTTGCCATTACGCGTCCCGGTAAGTGCAAATGAAAAAGAGAAGTTATAGTACAGATTCAAACCATAAAAATGGTTTACTTAATATAAAATATACCTTACAACCTTCCTATAAACTTGGTTGTTGAAGATTTCTTGCACTTGAATTTGAGTATCAGTGTCTGATCTCATGCTAGAACTACTTTCATCTGTGATAATGATTGTATTTTCTATCACTTGCATAACAGAATAGCTTGCTGATTGTATTTGAATTTCAGTATCATAGAGTCAAGGATTAACTATTAAAGTCGGAAGTGCCGGAGCAGTATGGAAGCCGTCAGAGAAAGTAAATATATAAATAAAATAAATATGAATTAAAATTAAGTAAGGTATAAAGTGATAAAAATTATAGAAATTAAATTTAATAAAAACAAGTATTAAAATAATAGATAGAAATGCCGGATCTGCTTTTATCTCGGGTTCCGGCTTGAGTTATAATTTCTCTCAAATACTGAGAAATGCCGGAACTAGGCTCCGGCTGAATTAAAACGCTGCATGGAGGTAGTAAAATTAAGTAAATAAATTGAACGCGTTAATAAAATTAGTTTAAAGGCTTTTTACTTTGAAATTAAGACATTATTCTATACCAACGTAAAATAACGTTTGTAAGCAATTTTACACACATACAATTGTTCGTATGCGGGGACTTCTTTAGAAAGAATTATCTTTTTGTTCATACTGTATTTACTCAAAATGTTAAAAAGAATTTTTACTTGCGTGTTTATAACTGTATTAATAAAATTAACTGTTTTACAGTTTTCTTCTATAACTTCAGATGGTAAGTAAGAGATTTGATTATGCAAAGCACAGTCCGCATATGCATGAAATAAATCAAACTAGACCTAAAGTGAAAAGTGCATGGTTAAAATCAAAAGTCATAAATCAAAATCAAACTAGAAATACACTAGTTTTCTTGATCGTATCATATCGTATAAGAAATAGAAACAAATCTTTAAATATTTAATTGTGGTGAAGAAAACAAAATAGTCTCAATTTTGCTTTAATGTTTCACGATATTTGGAGCTTTGATGGTGTAATTTTCTTGTCACTGATCTTTCCTCTAAGCACGGCACGTGTACCCTATAAAATCTAGCAAAGTAATAAAGAAATGATTCTTTAAACGTAATGGGTATGAATAAGAGCACTTGCGCATGAAGCACTTTCGCAGTTTGCATGAAATATGCGTTATTAATCTGCATTCTCTTTTTTTGTTTCTTATTGATGTCCACAGTATTTGATAGTCCTTACTTACCTCTTATTTTATATATATGCATAAATTTAAATTTAGATCCAAAAGAAGCATAACAATGTGAATAAGTAATTTTGCTTTAGATTATAGTGTTTTCTGGAAACATCAGATGCAGATCTACATCATGATAAATCTCCGAGCGTGAATAAAATGAGGTAAATTCTAAATTGTAAAAGCCAAAACTGAAGCAATAAATAAGAAATTAAAATCCTTGTCATTTTTTTTTATTATAGAAGTTGTCTATCATGCGCAATCTCATCAGAGGGCAATGTATAGCAAACAATCAACCATTATACACTTTTGAGTATGCAGCTTGACATTTACTTAATTTAATTTAATTTTAGGAGATCGCTAAATTTAATCATAACAGTTACTAATGCTAATATGAGATTAAAAGCAACAAGCTCCAGCTTACATGACTAATAAGAGAGGGGAAAAAAGAAGTATGCAATTAAAATGATAAGTTAAGTTAGGATAATAAACTTATGAAAGATAAAATCGAATGAATTTATAGCTATGGGCTGATAAACTAAATAGGAGCCGAAAGCATGCATATAATCCTGTAAAAAAAGCAATTTGTTTCAGCCTAGTGATTAATACTATATAATGCGACAAATAAATTCTTAACTATCATAATATTTTTTTATAAAACTAGTCATGGAGAATTAATTAATATATTTTAGACACCAGTAGTAATAGAGTTTTAGAGAAATCAAGATTATAATGCTAAAAGAAAAATTAAAGGGCAAGTACACATGAAGATTCAAAGGACAGTATAAAATTCCAAATAGGATTTAATTTTTACTATAGATGAAAATAGTAACTGCCAATATTATGTGTATGAATACTAGACACTTAGGCAAAGTATGCGTAATAAAACATAGACTCTTAGGTGCCATTTTACAATAACTAGATCCAAATAACAATTTTGAGCAAACAATAGAAAATGATTGTGACTTAAATTTTAGAACTGAGCAAAAAGCAATTTTTGCTTGGCTCAGATTTTGAATAAAACTGTAGCAGCTTCGAAGGCAATCCGGAACATGTCCGTCTGCATCAGGGTACAAAAAAGCTGTTGCCAAAAGTTTTTAAATTTTACATTGGCGTGCTTCTCTTTCATTTTGATGATTTAAATAGTTGAAAACAGAAAAAAAAGACTTTGGCAAGTCAATAAACAAATAGAAATTCACAGGATCAATCCTGAGAATGAAACTTATATAGCCTTGTATGTAGTATATAAAATGAAAGATGGGGCTAAGCGTAGTCAGAAAAGGGCAATACTAAATGATTGATGATAAGCAAATATATAATAAAAAGGACAGATTTTTTTAAAAAAAAATTAGTTAAAAATTACCCTATTAACGTAAAACTAGATAGTTTTATTTAAAACTTTAGAACAATGTGCGTTGATTTTCGGAAGAAAGAGCGCATAATAGACAATTTCTATTATCAAAAGAATTTTTTACCTCGCTTTTATTGCTTTTTATATCTATTTTATCATTCACTTCATCCGTTTCCTCCTAAGTTTGTTACGATATAGAGCCTATATTTGTCTTCCAGCAAGACTGAAAAGCAGTGTTACTTACTCACATTCTTATGCACCTCATGGAGCTAAATTTAAGTTTATTCTTATACTGGAGCTTATAGAGCACTCATTCTTCTTGAGTATCTTCGTTCACGTATACTCTTATCGTTGTTTGTACAGCGTCCTTAGAAATGTCCTTACTCGGCCTTTATTTTCGCAATCATTGATAGTAAGCATATGCTTCCAGTTACAAAAATATTTCAAATGTTGCAGATAGTTATGTTTCGGAATTTAAAAGTTTTACAAATAGTTTTTAAAAAATTTTGCAAAAATTACGGCATCTAATTTTTTATGCAGTCCTCCAATCTCTAGGCTTATATTTAGGAAACCTTTATACTCATTCAAACTTGTATGTCAGAAAATTTGATTCTTGTACGACAAAAATCTGCCGAGCTATTTAATTTCCAAATTTTGGATAATAATGTCATTTCCAACTTTGAGGCATTAAGGGGTAAGTTAATTAATAACTTAGAATAATTCGAGGTTCATTTCTCTATCCTTACATGCCGTTCAATGATGTCCTTCTGTAATTTACTAGTGTATAGCACTCTTTAGTTTAAAATTTGTTATATGTGGTATGACGAAAGAATTTTCACATACTAATTTGTAAGTTTTCAAACTCTAAAATTATGCTATCAGTATTCTCGTGAACTTTTATTACTTTAGAAGAAGGATTACCAACTCTGTTCTTGCATCAACTTCTTTAAAAATAATGGTTTTCTTCATCGAGCCCTTTATAATTTTCTGTATAATATACAGCACGTAACATAATCATAATACAAATAAATGCTCCTAAAGATCTTTAAAATAACAATTATGCTAAGACTATGAACTAAAATTTCGAAAAAAAATTATTTATTAGACTTATGCTTTTTTATTTTTTGTATTATTGTTATATTTATGTTACAAACAATTTTTCGTATGTAAACAATTTTTCAGAAACAAAATCACATATTCTAATTGCATTAAACTGCACAGATTCTAATTGCATTAAATTGATTTTAATTAATACGATGGCTGCGCTTGATGTATTGGTGCAATTTTTTTTTTTTATATTTTTTTTTTTAAATTACTTAATTTAATTCTTAAATCAGCTAGTTCTAAAATATTTGACATGTTTCTTGTTTTCTGAAGTATATTATTGGCTTTACTGAAGTAACCTTCTACTACTTGTATGTAAGAAAAAAGAATAGTGAATAATGTTGGCTCGATAATATTTTTATTTCGCGGCAGATATTATTGATTTTTTTAAATAGATTAAATAATTTTAGCGTAGTTCCCCCCTTATATGTATTTTATATGTTTTCTTACTTACTAGTTGATATAGCTTTATATCACGAGACAATTAATTATCAACTTCATTAATAATTTTTTCTTGTAGTTAATGGTATCTTAATTATGCCGATAAATTGCAGGTATGCATTCGGCTGTTAACCCCAGTCGACTCTTTGATCATCATCAACCACCTCTATAACTTCCTACAACTTCCAAGTACACCTACACCTTCCTAAATTCCCTACACCTTGCCTGACTTCCTCGACAGCTACTCCTTCGGGAATCCCTGCTTTAGAAGCATGATCTAAGAATCGTAAAAAATCATTAAACTAAGATTTTTAAAAAATGTGAACATAATTCGAACGAGTTGGCTGTGAAACCTGCCATTCTTTCCTAGAACACGAATTCTATAAATTAACTAAATAAGATCGCATTTTTGGAAAAAAAATGCATTGATCAAGCCTTTTCTCGACAATCTCCATAAAAACGCACTGTACTTTTAGTTAAGTACAAACGTTTCCCTTTTCAACTTGTGTAAGTCAATTTAATATTATCTCCAAAGTTAAAATGAAATATCTAGTCATATGGGAATAAAAAAGTTTGTATTTTATTTTTTATAACGAGCATAAAATTCCCCTATATTTAAGTATAACATTTTAATATAGATATAACATTTCGTATTTTGTTTTTTATAGTGACTATAAAGTTTCCATAAATAAAAGAAATTGGGGGACCATAAAAAGGCCATATTTCATAATTTTATAAGGCATTTTCTCCCTCCTTTTCGAGTGCTTTCGTAGTGTAACTGGAAGCACGTTCGACGTGTATTCGGGAGGTCCAGATTTCGAATCCCGGCGAGGGTATCGCACACTTTTTAAGTTTCTTCCATCGATAAAGCTAATGATTCTACAAGTGGCCCCTAAACGAAAAGGTGGGGAACGATAATTCGTCACCACCAGGATTTGGCGATCGGGTTTTTTCATCCCCAGTGGCCCTTTAAAAAGGGGGCATACATAAAGTATTTTCTCCCGCCTTTCCGCATAGCTTCGTGACGTAACTGGAATCTGTTCCGACGTGTAGTCGAGAGGTACGAAGTTCGATTTAAAGCGAGGGCATTGCACATTCTTCACGTCTCTGCATCGGTAAACTTAATGTCTATAATTTTCATTAAGTTGACTTTCTTAAAGTTTAAACTGCCAGAGCAGGAGAACTGCAACGCTTAAAACAGTTGTGTAACTGGAGTTATATATCTATGACCAACTTTTGCGAAAATAAAGACCGGGTTAGGACTGTTTTGGGTTTGGTGTACATATATGTCTGTGTGTTATTTATTTTTTGTTTATTGCCTGTCTTTATAACTGTGTACAATTAAATAAATGATTCCTAAGTGTATATATCTGAAATGGACAACTTTTTTAAGGCTAATAATAGCATTTTAGACAAATATTATTCTCGAGCTGCTTATGAAACTCGCGACATTTATCACTTTCCTGTTACCTGGGCTAAATTGTAAAGTTTAACTTTCTTGGGTAACATCCAGTGCTAACTCTGTGTAGACGTTAAGCGACTTATCGTTAAGTCTAAAAGTATAATAGAAACTTTAGAAGGGTGAAAAAGACAGTTTGTTTAAAATTAAAAAAGATGAACAGAAAGCACTTCTGGTGTTTACAATTTCGCCAGCATTTATGGTGAGAAACTTAAAAGCAGTGAGTCAAAGGTAAAAGCTTAAATTTAAATAACCTAATAGCCAAAGGCTCCGCAGAGCAATTTAACGCGAAGTTGGCTCAGAACTTCGTCGTGGACTTCAACTAATGGCAATAATAATGCAAAGCCGAAAGCAAGGAATTCTTATCTAAAGTAGCAAACCTAGTAACGTGGCCACAAATGGCAGAATACGCTCTGTCTTAACAGACTCAAACCTCTCTATAATGTAACATGCAATTTGGATTCACACCCAATAGAAGCATGATACATGCAATCAACGAAGCAATAGTCCAAATACCTAACAACAAAGCTGAGAACCTACATTCTGCTCTACTGTGCCTATACCTCAGAAAAGCTTTCTACTCACTCTGGTGGCCTGAGGTATTAGGCACATTTAAAGAAACCAAAACCCCGAAAAACCTATTTTAAATATTCCAGTGCTATTGTTCCAACAGACAGAGCATAATATTAGCTAACAATAGAACTACTGAAAGAAATCAAGGAAAAGGTTGTCCGCAGGGCTCTTGCCTCAGCGCTGATTTCTGGAATCGAGCATTCAATAAAACAGTACAGCATCAATGGCTGGACCGCACGAAGTGCATTGCATTTGCTGATGATGCAGCCTTTGTAATCAGTGGTCGTTTTAGAGAAGTATTGGAGGCCAGTGTTAATACTTCTCTGGGAAAACTTAACGAACTTTGCAAGCACCACCAGCCAAGAATATCCCAGGAAAAATCACAAGCCATCATATTCCACAAGCCCTCTAAAATAAACCAGATTACTCAAATTCCACTCTAATAAACAAAACATAAAACTACCAAAATACTAACAAAATCAAAGACATCCCTAAAGACATCTGGGAATTATAATAGATAAACTTAACTTCATTGAGAACCTACAGTCCTACATCAAACTAAGAAGAAACCTTTTGTATAGCTAACATTCTGAAAATAATGCAGGGCATTGGATGGAGCGTGAACCCCCAGACACAAAGCCTGATCTATGACACTGTTATAGAAAGAACAGCGCTGTATGGTGTAGCGATATAGGCATCCTCGATGCCGGTGAGAAAACAAAAACAACTCCATTCCATCCAAACGACCTTCCTTTTGAATTATTCCCGAGCTTATAGAACAACATTAAATGCAGCACTGTATCAGCTTATTAGCATTCCCCCTGTTCTTGTTTGCGGAACAATGGCTTCAGTTCTTCAACTAAGAAAAGATTGCAAATTATAAATGAGATAGCAGCTGTCAGTTCCTACACCTCACTGGCCCATCCATATGGAAAGACATCCTGCTAGCCAAAAATTCTTTCCAAAGGTATACACAAATGGCTCTGGCATAAAAGTACACGAAAAGGATGCGACATAAAAGTGCGTCTCAATAATTATGCCACAAAGGAATTCAAATTTCAACTCGATATAGAGAATAGCGTATTTCAACCGGAAATGTTCGTGATCTTACAGGCAATCAACGAAATCATACATTAGCATTTACGTCTATATGCATTGACTCTCAGCAATGTATGCAATCCCGAACACAAGTAACAAATCACCACTAGCCCAAGAAATTCTCAGCAAGTCCTCTAGTGCCCAAGGCCAACATTTCTTTATAATTTGGATTGCAGCCCATGTTGGCCACAAGGTAAAAAAAAGAGACTGACTTATCAGCCAGGGCGACAAATTAGATTGACTTATCAGGCGACCCAGGGAATAAGTGCCATAAAAACAAGCATTCTCTGGTCAGCTTCACATCTGAAGCTAAAACTGCAAAATTCAGCCAAAAAATCATGGCATCAATGGTAGGATGCTGCCAATACAGGGAGAAGAGTTTACAGCCTCTTCTCCGATGTTAACTCCTCTCCGATGCATGTTACAAGACAAACCACGTAGTTTATCAAGGGGCACGGCCCCTTTATAATTTCCACGTATTTCTTTGCAAGGAATCTCTCTTCAACAGATTTCTGTGTCTGGAAAAAGGGGGTCACCTCGAACATTATCTTTTTTCCTGCCCGTTAACAAAGTCATTTCATCTATTGAAGCCAAATTCAGAAGGGGATTTATACACATTCCTAAGATATGCACTGAAAAATAAGAACATCAGGAATAAAGTTCTGAAGTCATTGACTTTCTAACTGCCAGAAATCAAGAGCTACGCAGCGAAAATTAGCCGCAAAAAAAGTGCTTCAGTAATATTGAAACAAAGCAATTAAATACAGGTAACAGTATTTGCGTGTGCAATTCCACAGGAAAGCAATAAGAGCCGCTAACAACATGATGCAGCACATACAGCTCTCACAAGTAATGCAAGGGGCTAAACTTATATATCTCTAAGCAACGAATAGCCAGATGGGATGAAGATGCAATCACTTCGTACACAGTTAATTGGCATGGCCCACCAGGCCAAGCAGGCTAACATATTACTTCAGAAACAGTGTAATGTATTCTAATTATAGCCATTGTGTGTATACATAGTTTAATATATAATTTAGGCAGGGGTGTAAATGCCCTACTTGCTCAAGTCCGAAAATAAAACGGGACTACTGATGACACCGCGAGCGTTGACAAAGCTTGCGAAGTCGGTTGCAGAAACAACAATTAGCATCTCAGCGACAGAACAGCACCGTCGGCCCTTGGGAAGGGCGATGTTAATCTAGATAAATAGTATAAGGGGCCTTTACCTACTTATTCAGGGTAAGAAATAAATGGCCTCTGCACTTATATCAAACCTAACCTTACTATAAATACATGCGAAATAATTTGCATTCTGGTGGGAAAACGGAAAGAGAGGAGTGACAGTATAGATTCAAAATATAAAATAACTAGTTATTCAGATGAAAGGAACCATAAATGAGATGAAGTACAAAGTAACATTAAATCGTACTAATAAAAAAATGCGTTTAACTAATGTGATGCATGTATTAATATCTGACACTCGGGATCAAAAGGAAAGTTTATTTACGATCTATTGGTCCATCGCTATCGATCTATTGGCTACACCTGGTGTATACAAATGCAATCAATTTTTCTTTTTTATTTCTAGAGGATAGTTTCCTATTGTATATTACGCATACGTACCTATATGTTTGTGAGGACTGTATTTAGTAATACTCTAAATTTCTGTAACCGATTAATTTTAAGAAAATTTATAATTATTAACGTTCTTATTAGAAATATAATTAGATATTGTTATAAAGCCAGTTTTTGTTGAGTATTTTAGTGTAACATATAGAACTTAAATTTTCAAAATACTGAAATATCTTTGTTATTTAATGTTGCTTTGGCAAAACATTATGATTCGCTGTACATTCCTTAGGAAGGACTACGGAACTGTATCTGAAACGATGGTCTTAGACATGGTTAAAGTCATGGCATTTGCTCTTAGCGAAGGAAAGGTAAAACTTTATTGTATTTTATTTTGATTGATTGTATTAATTTTTTCCCCTCCTTATCTTCGTTTAAGTCTCTGTATTTTAGAATCACGTGGTAATTCCTGGTTAACAGCTGTGAATATTTTTCAGCACAGCATAACAAAATTCCATTAAAAGTTCTTCGAATAAAATTAAATTATATTCTAAAACGAACACCGCGGCACGTTAGTTCAGCCAACAAATTCTTGTTCCTGAATACACTCGCATGGGCCCCAAACCGGAAGTCCTGCAGTATTTGGAGCTGCTTCTGTTTCCTATGAGATATTCATTTTGTCATAACTTTAAAAGTTATGCTATCAATTTACATCTTCAAAAAAGCTCCTTAGTGCTTACGTTTGCTGTGGAATTCGCGTTACGTTTTAAAACGGATACAAATACTCAAAACGCTAGTTTGGTGCAAAGCATTTGCGCGAGACTACACTTTCTATTTTCCATCCTCTATTCTAAAAATTTCGTATAGTATTAATAATTTTATTCAAAATTTATTTTCAGCAAACTGAACTTGAATTAAATTTACGCTTTTCTGATTCATTCTGTTTACAGTTCACCAGAGACTAAGTGGTTAAGACCACTGAACACTGGTAGTTGAAACCTGGACTCGAATACCAGCAATACGTCTGGCTGCATAGGAGTTTTTGTGATTTTTTCCATGTGTAACGTGAATAACAGCAAGTTTTCATTAGAAAATCCTCCACGAAGGCACCCGTAGGCAGACAGCTCTTGCGTGCTTTACGATAATCAAATAAATCAAACCAAATCATTCTGTCTATTTGAGAAGCGTAGAGCTTCCCTTCTAATATCAATCACACCTTTTAATTTTAAGACCAAATAAATACTTAAAAATAATTAAGACAAATTATAGTACTTAGCCTAAAACACTTGTTAAATCTTGAACTTAACGGCCTACTAAAGCAAAGCAGGTCTAAAAGTGTATTTTATTAGTATTCAATGTTGACAAGTTATCACTCAGTAAAGAAGTCAAATAAAACACAGCTTAAACGATAATCAAGCTAAAACGTTTTATCGCGATTTATGATTCATAAAAACTTAGAGACTATTCACTCCAGGTGTGACTTAAAAGTTTCTATTCAGTTGTAAATCAAACTTTTTAGATATGAAAAACTTAAGATTTCTCTTACACCTGACTACTAAAAATTCAGAATTTTATTCCTATTGCCTTAACTGTCAAACCACCATTTAACAGAGAATCAGCTTCAAATGGCAGCGGAGATGAGGGATACATGTACTCACAGCAACGTTGACTTCAATAAAAATCATTTCAGTCATTTATCAGTTACAATTAGCACTCAATATCTGCCTCCATCCCTAACCTCTTCTTCGAGTTAAATAATTTGTATTTTCTTCTAAAGTGAATTCTTGAAATTCGAAGGAGCAGGTCAAATTAGAAACTGAAAGAACTGTTTAAGAACTTAGAATAAATGTTACATCTCACAATTATTTAAATAAACGTTACACCTCACGATTAGTTATACAATGAAGTGCCACTGAATTAAAGACAGGCTGCGTTATTCGAACTCTTGGCGTTGCTGTCTAATTTCTGCACATGTGAACAAGCTACCATGCGCTATATATAGCTAGAAATGCAGCCCTTTTCAAACAGTTTGAAAGTAACATGATGGATAAAACTCATGATTTTAGAAGCCTTCGATCGATGACAAATATTGGGCGCTTGATTCGTGATTTATTCATCTCCAGAAAGAGTTCCAAAATTGGAGTTTTCTATAGTTTTACTATATCAAAAACATGGTGGAAGTATACAGATAGCAGTAAAAGGAATAGTAATAGTAGAAACTGCAAGAAAGGGACAGATTGAAATAACCTTGTTCGTCGAAGAATCAAACGTGCCAGTGATACTCAAACGTAGCCAGTGATACTGAAACCTTAGCTCAGGAGACCACCCAGGTTCACATGAAAGGACCAGTTGAACAATCAGAAGACTGACTATGCAGCGCCCGCTTCACCGCATGAGCTTCAGAAACCAGAGGCCTATGAAAGTATCATTTCTCATTGCATGCCAAGCACGCGCAACGTCTTACATCGGCCACAGAACAACATGACTGGATCCACGACACTTGAAAGCGAGTAGCACGAAACAACGAGTCTCGATTCAGACTGCATTCAAACTGATGGTAAGTTAAGAATATGGCACTAGTCCCATAAGTCAGGGATCCACCATGCCAAGTTTACGCTGTACAAGGTTATGGCGATTTAGTGATTGATCTGGAGTGTTTTCTTTTGGCAATGTTTCAGACATTATCTTTTCAATAGGTACCTTCACACTGCGGTATTTATGGAAATGAGATGGCTGATATGTTTGCGTAAAAAGGGGGCTACGGTTCTCCAAAAGCCAAAAACGAGTGCAAGCCTCCATTCTATTGAGCTTCTGACATCGTTAACATATCAAAAGACTTTTAGAGATTTTGCCGCTCGGGCTTGTGAGGGCAAGCCTTGGAGTGTTCTCTCAACAAACTCAGCTTTTGTTTCTGACCACCCGCGAACAGTTGCGGTTGCATCTTTTAGACTATTGACGGCACATCACTGTCTACAGAATCCTTTATTTCGCATTGGACTAGCTGATTCGCCGTTGTGTGTTTTATGTAATAGTGGACGGCCAATGACGGCGGAACATTTGGACGAGTGTGAAGCACTGACAAATTTTTCTTGTAGATTTCAGCGCTATTGGCAAGCAAAGAGTTTAATGGCCTAACGGCCAATGTAACTGGAATTTGAAAAATAAAAAAAATGTTTCAGACTTCTGGTACTCATTCCAAGCACCCTCATTGCATCGAAGTACGTAAATCTGCTAAGTGACTACTTACATCCCTTCATTCCTTTCAGTCATCCACATGAAAATGGAGTGTGCCCACCAGCTGCTTCTGTCATATACGTCAGTTGATTACTGCCTGCTTTAAGGATCATTCCACTAAATTCTTCCTGCTGAAATGGCTACAAAAAAGCCCGGACTTCAACCCCATTGAACACCTTTAGAAAACTCCTGAAAAAAGGTGTGCAAGCATGTCATCCATCAGCAGCGTCTCTTTAACTTATTTATGAGAGATTCTAGAAGACGTTTGGCAAGGTATATCTCTGGAACACTTCTGTTAAGTGCATCCGTGCCTTCATAGTGTGATAGCCATTGTCAAGGCTAAAGGAGCAGCAATTCGTTTCTAATGGTGTATCCGTAATTCAGTGGCACGTCACTGTAATCGCCTTGCCGTTTCTTCGTTTCTCAAAAGGAAGGAAACTATAACTTTTAATGTCAGTTCACAGATAATGTCTACAGAGAGTTTATATACATATACACACACTTTTAATGTTAGTTCGGAGTTTATCCTGAAGTAGTCTCAGAATCCTTTCGAATTAAAATCATGATTAACCGAAAATTAAGGACCGCTCTAAAGTCAGACATTGATCGTGATAATTCCCATTTGTTTTATAAGTTATATACTTTCGAGCAAAAGAACTCCACGTAAACCTAAGTTTTAACCATTTGAATCTAATCTGAAAACTAGCATCAATTCCAGATATAGAATGGGTGTATCATTTTGAAGAAAATATTGAACAAAGATTAAAGATTTAAAATATGTAAGCGTTATTTTAAAAGTTACAAAGCTAATGACGTGACTACGAGTGTTCAGGACTTCCAGCACCAAGCCCCATTTCTGTAGATCGTATCAGATCATCTTCCTGTTAAAATTGATATTAAAGCATTCAGTCTTTTTGTCTTCAAGAACGTATATTTAATACGCCGATGGAAGGAATCAAAAGCTAAGTATCATCGAAACTGATCATTAAACTGTCATTTAATGACTCATATAGCCATCAAATATAAGACGAAAATTCGGCAAAGTTAACTTGTAAGGAATTATCGCGTGCTGTCGTGATGGCACAATCATCTTGTGAACGATAGTGGCGACAGCCTTCTTTTGTGCCAGGTGCAATGGAAATATCTTGGGAACAGAAAGGCTTTTTCCTCCTCTTTTTTTTTTTTTTTTTTTTTTTTAGATAGGGAAAAGTCTAAAAATTATGTTCGTAACATAAAGGGTGTCAAGTGCAGCCTACATAAATAATTCTGGAGTACAATATCTACACATATCTGTAAAAAATTATCTTATGTCCCTGTGTGTGTTCTTATGGTGTAAGTGGTTAGCTCATTTAAATAGCAGTTCGAAGATTCGGATTCGAACCTCAGGAAGGGCCTAGTTGATTTCTCATATTTCTTGGACCTGATCGTTACAGTGGCATCCGAATTAAAATATTACGGATGATAAAGGTCGTCGCCTGGATGTTGCCGACTGGCTCTCGTTTCTTTCCCTTTCTCGTTTCTCCGCCCTTCAAGTGGGAAAATTTAAAGAAATATCGCATTTTCCAATGCTTCCTCTTGTGGTGTAAGTGGTTAACGCATCCAACTAGCGTTTGAAAGATCTGTGGTTCGAATCCCAACGAGACAACTACTGATTTTCATGTTTCGTGTTTGGAAAAAAAATCTAATTGTTTCCAGTTGTGAAATATTGATTTCGATTATTTCAAAGTGAAATTGATGTCACAATCGTTATCGGTAAATACGGAGATTTTTTTTAAATATATGCTTTAAATTTTGTCAGTCAAATACAAAAAAAAAAAAAAAAAAAGAAAGAAAAAAGAAAAAAAAAAAAAAAAAAAAGAAAAAACTTAAAAACTGTAGAAATTATAAAATTACGCATACAAGCAAATTTAGGAATTTTATTATAATATTTCTTCATTCTTCATAAAACACATGGTGTTAACTACAGTTTTAAGATTTTGTTTTAAAATATGTGCAATAGTTTATTTTATAATTGTTTAAGGCATGCGTTTTTGCTTTCACTGCATGATTCAAACACCCACTTAAAACAGGAATTAAATATATTCCACCCAAATTTTGCTGTTTTCTACGAATTTATGGTATTCCATGTTCGATTCATTTTCCAACGAATGTGATGAGTTGTAGCTCCAGTTAGGTGTGTCGAATCCATAAACTAAAATTTAAAAAAAAACTGTAAACATGCGTTGCAAATGGCTAGCATTGATATATAAACACTCTCTTTTACAGAAAATACAACCCGACACATTTCGTCGCTGTACTATCGTAAGTTTAGAAGGGAGAAACAGCCCAAATTTTTGCAGTTTGCAGCCAATAAAGTCCTTTGAAAGTTTGTGATAAAATAAGAAGTTTTTTATCTTAAGTTAACTTTTGAAACTCGAGAATATGGTTTGGTTTGGTTTAGTTAATTGCGGCAATGCACACTAGGATTATCTGCCAAAGGGAAGGGATGCCTTCGTGGAGACATTTTCTAAGGAAAATTGGCTCGTATACATGATACATATGAAGAAAACCTCGAAAATGCCCAAGCACCCAACCCGTTCGCCTGAAATCGAACCCAGGTCGGAACTACCAGTGTTCAGCGATTTTACCGCTCGGCTTCAGGATATGGTCGTTTTTTCTGATGTTTTTAGTCAAGATAGAGATTCAGGGTTGAAAATGGTTTTGAAAAGCCATCCATAATGCTTTCATTCAACTTATAACAATTGGTTAGTTTTTGCATCGTACTGAGGTAGGAGGTCAACATGATGCAACAACTGTATGTCTCTATTTGGAAACAATAGTCAGAATTTAATTGTAATTCATTGTAGACTGAGCCGTCTGCTATAGCTTGCACGTCGTATTCATCGTCACCATTATCATAGTTTTCGTCACCGTTCAGTCTGTCGCATACAGTGATCCTTAGAACCATCAACAGCATTAGATAGTCCCCCTCTTGTTGAAGCTCTTCACTATTATTGTTCCATTAGTCAGACTCCATGCACCCAAAATTTATGAGCAAATTAATTAATAAGAAATATACAATCACTACGTGGACGAATTCATTTTAAAATTCAGGGAACTCGCTTTCTGAACGTCTTGAGGAACGGAGCAAGGGGAAAATTACGTGAATATTCAAAATATTTTTAGAACCTTGTACTAAAACGCTAAGGAGAAAAATAAACCAATAAATACGGTATATAATTGTCATTTTTTGTTTTGTTTTTATCCATTCATCTTTTAACACTGCAAGATGCACTTACGTGATTTTATAACGCAAATTTCTGCTTTTTGTGATGTCTAACAAGAGAGAACAATCAATGTATTGTAGAGAGAACAATCAATGTATGAAAAATAAATTACTGTTGACAAGCCGCAATAAAATGACTCTCTCATTTCAGTTTACGAAAACTTGTGAAAATTGGAATTTGCTAAACAGAACACGTTTTCTTCTTACCAATAATATTTGAGGATTATTAAATGCATTTATGTTTCTTAACACATTGCATGTAAAAAATATTTTTACAAAATGCACAGATTTTTCTGTTTACTTTTATGCCTTCGATCTGTTTAATGAAGGTGATGTAGATTACTCTTAATATTAAGATTGAGATGAACGTCGTTCTTATCAGCTGTAGATCTCGTAAAACTGCATTCATTTTCATGAGTAAAATTTGAGTATGTTTAAGAAAACTTATCTAAATACCATTTTAATGTTACATCAATTAACCCATTATCTTATTATTTGATCTAGATACTATTATTTTTCGTCAGCACTTCCCAGGATGCAAATTAGATACATGTATGTAATAGACAAATTAGATACATGTATGTAATGGACAAATTAGATACATGTATGCAAGAACAGACTTCGTAAAAATTGGAGACAGAACTGCTGCAGCGATGCTGACCGTCCTGTTATTTCCTTGACGAGATTTCTGAATAAACTTTAGACCGGAGTTAATTTTTGCTATTTGAGTTACTCGGGCATATTTGATTTAGTTTGGTAGGCTTTATGAATCTTCAGAGTTAATTTAATGGGAATTTCAATTCGCATTTTACGTTAGTTTAAATCCTACAATGCTGGAGATTAATTTGTAAGCACAAGATATGCATTTTTTAAGTTTTAAATAAAACTTTATTTTTTAAACCTTCTTCTGAGTCTGCAATAGTTTTCGTACACTGGGCGGTAAGTCGCCTGTGAGTCTCACTAGAGATTCAATTAAGTTAATTAAGGAGTTGTCCCCTACACCCTAATGATAAGACATTTACGAGAAACAAACGCTGGGGAGATCGTTTCAGCTGTTAATAATCTGAGCGTTAAATTTTGTTTGTACTTTTAATATGTTCTTCAAAATTTCTTTGCCGCAGTCAATATCAATGGTGTGTAGTGTTCAGTCAATCCGTATTTTATTAAGAGAAAACAATTATAAGATATTTCTCTCACCTTCCTAGCGTGCCTTCGTGGTGTAGTGGTTCTGCACGCTGGGCCGGTATTCCAGAGGTCCGTGGTTCGATTCCCGGCGAAGGCGATTGCTCATTTTTCATCTTGTCTGCTTCCAAAAAATACCTAAAGTCTCTACAGTGGCGCCCGAACTAAAAGGGTGTTGGATGAGGATTCTCCACACCCAGGATTTGGCGATTGGGTCCCCTAAAAACTCCAGTCGCCCTTTAAAAGAGGGAGTATATAAGGTATTTATTCCGCCTTCCTAGCATGCCTTCGTGGTGTAGTGGTTCTGCACGCTGGGTCGGTATTCCAGAGGTCCGTGGCTCGATTCCCGGCGAAGGCGATTGTTCATTTTTCATCTTGCCTGCTTTCAAAAAACACCTAATGTCTCTACACAGTTTATTCAAGGGACTTAGAGTAACATACCATCTGCATATTTGGCTCTCTTGACACCAAAGGTTTCAGAGAAATTACAAATATACGCATTGAACAAAATCAGTTGTAGTATGGATCCTTTAGATTCACCTGCTTTATTGGCTTTCTTAAGACACAGCTTCCGATTCTTATGTTTTATATAGGCAGCATTAAAAACGTTTCTTTGGATTTGAAGGTAACCGTTAGTGAGTTAACTAGTAACTTTATCCATAAAGCCAGTTGTGGTTGAATGCTTTCTCGAAATAAGGAAAACATACCTTGATTGTTTCGTTCTTGTAAAAGCTTCTGCGAAATTTCAGAGAATCCTGGTGAATCTAAAAATGATAGAGACTTTTCTTTGCTAGATGTACTTTTTTTCACCTCCAAGATGGAAATGTATACAATCTGATATGAATACGCAATGTACAGTTCTACAATTTGACTTCTTTTTTCACCAGCTGAATTCTGAAAAAAAAAGGGGGGGTGGCGGTCTTTCTTGTCATTTTTATTTCAGCGTTAAATACGAATTATTAAATTTCTTATCTTTATGCAAATTCTACAGAAGTTGCTGTCAATATTATAACATTGTGACGAAGGGCTTTACGAGATCAACTCACTTTTTGAAATGCTTTAAAAAGAATGTGGATGTTTTATCTTTAAAATAGCATAACCATAGTTAAGAAAAGGTTATTATGAATTTCATAACAATTCAGTGAAATCTTACTACTCACTGTTATCTTGTTAATCACCTGAACTGTAATTTGCCGGATGCATTTAAATAAATGCTGTGTTATTAAGGCCGTTTTGAAAAGAGAAATATTCTTAACACTTTTATGTTCTTCAGTAAACTGAATTATTTTCAGGTTGCAGTCCATTGTCATGCAGGACTTGGACGAACAGGTGTACTAATAGCTTGTTACTTAGTATATTCTTTGCGATGTAAGCCAAATGATGCTATACGGTATATAAGGATCAAAAGGTAAATCTTTTCTTAAACTAAATTTGACGAATTCTGATTAATTAAAAGCCTGTAGTATATAATATTTTATGTCTTAACAGGCCTTGTGCAATTCAAACGAGGAGCCAAATTACCTGTGTTCAACAGTTTGCTCAATTTATCCTACCCCTTTTTACAGTCTTTACAAATGTGTAAGTTAATTTGTATAAAGATTTTCTAAACTAAATTAAACACATATTTTTATATTTGTATATGAACCAGTTTTCATGTTTATAGCTATGTTATATGAAGGGAAGTCAATGATTGCATTGACGTCTGCTCAATGCAATCATTGACTTCGACTGTTATTGATTCTGAGGAGGTGAAGTTGAACTGAAGCGAATGGTCATCTCTGAATTAAAGTACGTTAACTTGCAGCATCTTACTGTTTCTGCTCTATTCATGGAAAGTACGAAACCAAGCCTCTACTTTGTAGCATGTATCATTTCATTGAAGATGTCGAAGCGTGAAGAACGAGAGCTTTTTAAGAAATATATTACGTTTTTGATTTTACATTATTGATTGACAATTAGGGGCACCACACAACGCTTAAGCATTCATTGGTCAACGGATCTGGGCATAATACATTGTTGGACAAAATATATGAGTACACTAAAAATTAACACTAATAAATATCGAAATCTAAAGAAAGTCGTGATATCTAATTGTCTAAGTCAGTAACGACTCAAACCTTTGTATACTTATGCACCATACGTAAAAATTTTATTCCAAAGAATTTCATGATCCTACGAAATTTTCTTATCTTTATTCTAAATATTGTTCGTCAGTTGTCTTGGATATCATTTATGCAAGACATTAAAGCAGTAAAAAGGACCTATAAATTTTTAAATGAAGACAAATCTGCAAATCTCTTACGGCCGGCCTTACGACATCAGCCTAATGAACGATATTTGCTACAGTGGACCAGCGCATGAATCTGACGATCAAAGTGCTTTTGACTGCGACTATTTCATATGATGGAACCAGTGCAAAACAGAGTCCTCTTTGATATTTCCGAAAGCCATAACTGTGCCAGTATAGCGAATTAAAACCTGTAAACCCCCACTCGCAAAGCAATACCATTTAAGCAATAGACTGAAAATAATTATACGTATATTGTGTTAATAATGTATCAGGTACCAGAGTAATCACATATCAGACGACCTACTCAGAGATTCCATCGTAGTCTCATACAGATCCAATGGATGGGTTAAGGTGCAAAATAAGAATATTAAGCTGATAAATAAGAATTCTGTAGCCGAGGACTATTGCAAGGAAAGATTCGGAGGCTCAGTTTCAGATATAATTAAGGTCTATTCCTATTCCTGTTTTTCAAAACTGTTATCGGAACCATACTACCAGGAAGATTCAGTGAATTTCTAACATGTTCTTTTATCTGCGCAATAAATCACACATACGCATCTCAACAAATGACAAATTTTATATTCTGAGAGTCATGTGATATTTGTCTATGTAAAGAACCTGATATACAGATACCGCTGACATGATTATAACCACTTTCATATATCTAGCATAGGTGTCTCTCACAGCATATGGTTGGAAGAAATATTCAATAATTCAATTTCTATGTAGACTGCAGTGAACTCTAGAGATTTCTAAGTGGAAGATTCATCCATCTTTTGCATATATAGAGACAATCTCCAGGTATTCAGCTGGGTTAATGACCATGTAATTAAGGGGCTTAATCATCTGCGAAGGAAAGCCGTATAAACATGCCAGACTGTCGCACTGTTACATAAGCAAAACTCCTCTCTCGTCTGAAAAAGTTAAAGCCTTCATTGAGCATATCAAACCATCGCGGGCGGAAAACTGTACCAATGTGACAAGGATCATTGTCGTACTGGTAAGTATTATTGTGATCCTATCAGTCTGATCGGTAGAGTGGTTATTGATACTGGCTGATATATTGTTAGGCTTGCTTTCGAATCCTGAGAAGGTATAAATGTCTCTGAGACACGGGGGCCCTCCAAACACATGCCAAGCCGGAAGTCCTTCCGTGTGATTTAGTGGCAAAGGAAGAAGGGTGTGTGATCCTTGCACAGTCGCCAGAGCTGTTCTCCATCAAAACTGGAGCGGAACTATACCTGAATGACCAATGTTGAATTTCTGGTGTCCCTCCCCACTTATACTTGTACCTATCATCCAAAAATACAAACAACATATACACGTGTACCTGAAATGTTTTGACAATCGAAAAATAAACTTATGCATTTCGGATACTACATCAGGCAACAGCAAAAGTCAACCAGCGAGCCGAATCCGGCCCGTTATGAAAAACCTGTGCAATGATATTTTCAACTCTTTCCTCCTAGATTTTATGTGCAAACTACCGAAATCAGCAGCAAAAGAGTACTTTTATTGTTACAGTGTATATGCGCATATACACGCATGACTATACTAGCGATCAATCTAAATTGAGAACACTAGATATGCTAGAAAGCATGTGTATATGCTGAAGAATGTAGTCCTATCATTTCTAGCAATTTTAATTTAAAAATTAAATAATGACATTTGAACAGCATGGAGATGAAAAGGCTGATCAGAAAAAAGAGTTTAGGGAATGAACATTTCACTTCTAAATTGTTATTTGAAAATGAAACACTATACATGCCAGTAGTTTAATTACTAATAAGAACTGATCCCGTTTTTGGCGTATTCTTAATTTTTTAAAATTGTAACTATATATATATATTTTTTATTTCCACCGGTGAGGTGTGTTCGCCTGTCCTCGCGTCCTGCTAGCAATAGGGCATTTCAAATTATCGTTACGACCTTGCCTGCATGATGCACAAAAAAGGACTTTTTTGGCCCGCAATTAAAAGTATTTGCCTATTCCTGCTCTAGATACATCAAACACAACGCATTCCGTGAAAATATGTTTCAAACGATAATGCTGCATCCACTGTCCTGCCTGTGTTCAGGAATTGTCTGAAAGGTCTCTTCTTGAAGGTTTCATGCCTAATGTGCTACCGCCCATTTGCTCTCTCAAAAGAAAAATTAATCATTTTAGAAAGCCGCTTTTTTTCTATTCAGTCACTGTCCAGTTTAGATATTTCCATTGTTATTGAATTAACACTGCTACTTGTAACACACAGTTCTCACTCTATATTGTATCATCGAGCCATTACTCCAGAGCCCACTGTACATTTGTGCTGGAAATCTTTTTGGCGGTACATTGGTTCATTTGACAAGCTAATTGATCAATAATAACTCTGTAGTTACCCTGACCAGCCGCCTCAAGAAGAGTTGAATTAAAGGTCATCTCATTTTCAACGGTGCGTGAGATTTCAAAGATTGAGGATTCAAATCTATCATTTTCTTCCAGCCCTGATATATTTTCATCAGTTTAATACGCGAGCATTCCAGAGACCACTGGTTGTGAAATTCTAGCATCCTCTAGCTGATAGTTAATGAAGTCTGAAAGCCGTTCTCCAAATCTGATAGTTCGCGTCTTTGCTTGAAACAATGACAGTTACATATTCTTGCATGGTGACCATCTCATATTCTATGCTTATAGTGTTTATCTTAAACCGTGTACTGTTTGATTCTCCACGCTCTCGTAACATTAGCGTGGAGCGGTAGTCATGATAGTGTAACTCACTCTTGTATGTTTATATTTAGAAATAACTGCTATCTGAGTTTGCTAAAGTCCATAAAAATATATAGCAAGGGTTTAATTTCTTGCAGAATTTCTAAAGGAACACCGTTCACATTAAATCAGCATTTGGCCCGCCAAAAGAGAATTTTGCACGGACTTGAAGCCAGGCAACTTAAATTTATTCCTAAAGTAAGAAAATACTTTTTTTTATTGTTAAATAATAATAAGATTCTAAAAAATGTCATATGTATGAACCGTTCTGTTATACTTAATTAGATCTCTTTTTTTTTTTTTTCATTTAAGTAACTTCTTAATTTTAGTGAAATACGTGTTGCATGTGTGAGTTACATGCTATAAGTGTGTTTTTTACTGTAATTCTGGAAATGTAATTTATATGCATTTAATAATAAGTTTGTATTTATTTCATTTTAAACGCTGTCACCAATGTTTAGTTTGACGCATGTCTACGTTTGCAATTAACATGATAGAACTAAACAAACTCTTTTGTTTGGACTGCATTTTTTCCTTTTCTTCCTGTTCAAAAGGTGGACGATGAGATTTTAAGCAGAAATATTTTACTTAAGCATGCGCGTTTTATAATAATATAACAAATGTTGAAAGTGCCGCCATTTTCTACTGCAGTTTAATAATTTATAGGAATACTACCGCATAATACAGCATGAAACTTCTAATTTTAGACAGGTAGAAGTTCTGGGAAAATATACAGTTTGTTCAATTAAATTTCACGAAACAAGTTTATGAATGGCTGAAAATGTAGTTCTATCATGTTCTCGCATCTTATAATTAAAAACAAATCAATTTTGTAAAAATTACAAAATGTAACTTTTTACACATTTTCCAGCACCTGTAATAAATTTAATAAAGGTTTATGCTTATTGTAAAACATAAAGCACAAATAAACCCGACTCCAACACTGTAAAACTTCACTGAGATATTTAATGCCGAGATTTAAAATTTTCCCACCTTCTTCAGCTTGCTATGAGGGATCGGTTAAAAAAAATTAAAGTAAATCGAGTTTGATTTTTTTCCCCTTTAACCTCATTTGATGATATTGTTTCGTGATTTATTAGAATGTAATATTCTTTAATTTATAATTTTGTAATACACTCTTTTGCAAAAAATTCGAAGCACCAAAAAGGACTTTTGCGATCGTGACGAAATTTGGTAAGCAAAAACATCTTGATCGAACATGCAAGTGATCAAAGTTTCAAGGCAAATGAACAGGAATTGCGATCATAGCGCGCATTTCTATTGCGCAATTCGCAAAGTGTAAAAACAGTAACAGGGGAGGGGGAATTTATCTTTTTTTGTTGCTGCCATTGTAATTCCGTAAAGAAGCAACTAAAGATGCCATTACGCCGATATCGAAGATCTTACAAACAACTAAACGACTTCGAATGTGGTCGCATTGCAGGGTTGCGTGAATCTGGGTGATCATACCGAGCAGCAGGCCGCCATTTGCAGCGTACAGACATTGCTGTGCAAACATGTTGGCAGCACTGGTTGCTACAAGGAAACTGCCGACGAAATGAACGCTCTGGAAGACCAAGGAGCACAAATGCGAGGCAAGACAGGATGATACTTCGCCAGGCCCGAACCGTCACAACGGTATCATTGACGGCTATTCAACGCACTACAGCCATGTGTATGCCTCCCGTGGTACCGTCCACCATCTCACGGCGCTTGTCTGAGGCGGAGTTAGAGTTACGCTTACAGAGGCCTTTAAGACGTTTGCCTTTGGCCCCACAACATCAGCGGAGTCGCCTGGAGTGGTGTCGCAGCCGATTATCATGGCTGCCATCAAACTGACATCGTATAGTGTTTAGCGAGGAATTCCGCTTCTCTCTTGAAGCAGATGACTACCGTGTTCGTGTGTGGAGAGGACGGGGCCAGCGGTTCCAATCAGCCTTTGTTTAACAAAGGCATACAGCCATAACCCCTCGTGTGATGGTGTGGAGCGCTATTTCTTATGACCGCAGGTCATCTTTAGTCATCCTCCGTACATCTTTAACAGCTCAACGAGATGTTGATACCATCCTGCGGCCGATTGCATTACCCTTCATGGCACGTCATCCTGGAGCCATCCATTTTGCAACAAGCTAATGCTAGGCCACATACAGCTGGCATATGTCTGGACTGTCTTCGTGCGATTGATCCTCTTCCTTGGCCAGCAAGGTCACCAGACCTTTCACCAATCGAGCATATCTGGGGCATGGTAGGCCGCCAGATTCGGGCACCACAAAACATCGCAGATATGGGATGACAACTCGCAGATATGGGGTGATGAATGCCAGGCAGAATGTGTCATAGGATGACATTAGGAACCTCTACCACTCCTTGCCTCGACGAATTCAAGCATGCTTTGCCGCCAGGGGCGGTTCGACCAACTACTAATTTGAACAGTGGGTAATTGTGAGCCGTGAACAGGTATTATGACCTTGATTTTTTAATCTGTAATCATTTTATTATCTGTGTATGCTATACGCATATTCAGTTTCATCAAAAACAACCACTTCCTTTATAGTGCTTCGATTTTTTTGCAAAAGAGTGTATATGGTACGCCGAATGCATTTTCATACAAGTAATTCATAAATGCTAAAAGCATGTTATTAATGTTCTCGTGCAATTTTATTACTTTAAAATCATAATCTAGTAATCATACAAAAAATCATTAAAGTAGAAAGATTTTTCATTTTTAATTTACGCTAATAAAGTTTCTCACGTGCCAATACTGAAGGCTGAAACTCTTTTCGGGCCTCTTCAGAGCTGAGTAGCTAAGACCGATGAATCCTGGTAGTTTGTTTTGGGTTCGAACTCAAGAGAAAGGGCTGGCTGCATGGTTGATCTTCATGATTTTCCTCATGTGACTACGAGCAAGTTTCCATGAGAAAGTCTTATACGAAGGTATTCCTTCTGTTAGACAGATATCCCTTGTGTGCTTTGCAATATCCTATTATTCCAGGAATAGCAATTTAATAATTCTGTGAATAAGAACTCGTTTTTGTAAAAGATTATATGAATCAATACTTTTCACGTCATATGTGTAGCAAAGCTCCTCTGTTAATATCAGAAAACTTTTTCTAGCCGGGTACTTCGTTTTTAGCAATGTACAAAGACAAATCTTTCATTCTTCAATTTTGTACAACCCCTGAACATAATTTTAAATTTTAAAATTAAGTATCTCAGTCAATTTTTGTCGCAGAGGGATCGAAACTTTTGTACTTTATAACTAATATAAACGTTTAAGAAACATAACTATAGGGACCAGGCGTCAGTACAAAAAGTTACATTTTGTAATATTTACTAAATTGATTTTTTATATTCAAAAATACAAAAACATGAATGTTTGTGTCACTTAAACCATTTTAAGACCATAAGCGTTTGTCTATAACCAACGGTTACAAATATAAAAACACGCGCACACTGTGTGCATATAAATACAGATTTTTAGTGTGCGTGTGTCTACATATATATGTATTTGCCCGATATATAAATCTCTAGTTGCCTATCCGCCCAACCAATTGATATGAAATTTCAGTTGTTGTTATTTAAAGGTAAACGCTCGAGATTGTGATAATTTAAAACAAACACCCACTTTTTCATATGTAAATTAATGAGCCCACTGAAATGCCATAAAGGAAGTTGGAACGATACATATATAACGCAAATTGCTGGTGTAAAGCACTTGCAAAGAAGAGCATTGTCAAAGATCAATGACAACACAAGAAATGAGAGGGAAAACACTTTTATGGAAATTACAAGTTTTCTAATGTGCCCGCCCACCTTCGCAGACTATAACGTACGGCATGCCGGAGGTTGTTCACAACAATGACGAACGTAACATCGCAGGAAGAAACTGTATAACTTCACGTTTCTACGGCATCCTTTAGTTCTGACAAATCTCGCGGATTTGATGGGCAAACATTACTTCGTTCTGAGTTCGTACTGAGTTCAGATAACCCCTGAACTATAAACTCATCGGAGTGACCCGGCCTCTGGACTCTAAAGCTTCGACAACTTCATCGCCACTTTTAAAGGGCTAAGAAAGGACTTTTTCATCTTTTTCTACAACCTTCTTCTAGCTCCCTCCATGGGACTCATTCAGGATCTATCACCACCATTCCCACTGCGGACTTATCTATCTCAGTTTTACAGGGAAGTACTGCAAAAGCAGTAAAATCCTTGTATAATTTACTCGTGTATCAAAGCATCCATCGGAGTGAAGTCAAAGATCACAGTGGCCACGAAACTGAAGAGCTACGGTTTGATGACTCTATCTTCAAAAAGCACTTGCCGAACACATTTGGCCACCCGTGGAGGAGCACCATCTTGTATCCATATAATGTCAGTAACGACATTTCGCTACTGCAATTCTGGAATGACGCTATTTGGCAGCATTATTTTATATCGAACACTTGTGATGGAGCACGTTTTCATGTCTGTGGAAGTGACCTCTTCGAAGAAGTACGAGCCGAAAACGAATGTGCTTGCGAAGCCACACCGCGCAGTCGCTTTATCTTCGTGTACAGGCGCTGATGCCATTTCGTGAGGATTTTCATCAGCCCAGTGAACGAAGTTCTTGGAGTTTACGTTTCCAGTTAAGCAGTAATGTGTCGTCTATAACACCCACAGCGACCACTTGCTATCTTCATACCTGATGAAGAAAAAATTCCTAAAGTCGACGCGCTGTTTCTCGTAACTTTGCCCCGCGGTCCCCCAACTTCACTCAGGTGGACTTCTGGTTCTGGGGTTATTTGAAATCTAAGAATTGAAAGATGCCAGAAAGCGTGAAGTTATACCGATTCCTCTTGTGATGGTTCGTCATAGATTGTAAACGAATTCCCGCATACAACGCGTTATCGTCTGCGAAGGTAGGCACATTGAAAACTTATAAATCCAATAAAAGTCCCCCCCCTCTCCTCTCTTGTGTTCAATGCTCTTCTTTGCAAATGTTTTATGCTGGCAATTTTCATCATACGTGTTTCATTCTAACGGTACTTTTGATTTTTCAATGCGCTGATTAACTTGCGCAGGAAAAAAAGTGGGTGTTTTCATTCGAAAATTAAAACACACTATCATTTCCTTTCATGCCTAATTTTAGTTAACTTACCTTTAAGTCCTGCTTTAAGATTTTAGGACACAATTCTATTAAATGTATGCTTGTTTCACATTAAGTTTTTCTCATGAATCAGCCGAATGCAATTTGTTCTTATTTTCGCAAACAACTTTCTGTTTAGTAGTTGCATCAAAAAGGTAAAATATGTATATTCAGGTAAACAATGTAATACTTATTTACTTGACTCCTTTCAGACTAATGTGAGGATCAGAATTCGAAATTTATTTATTGCAGAGAACTGGTATCTTTAATTTTGTAATCGTAATGCAGTATAATAAAATTTGTTGCTCAATTTAGTTGCATTTATGATTTCTTATTCAGTTCCTTTCACTGCTTATGCACTAAAACGTTATTTACGGATTTAATTAAATTTTGAGCTTATGAGAAGTAAAGATACTGAATACTGAAAAACTGAATTAAATTAAGGTTTTCAGTTTTATGTTTCCCAGTAAATCAGTTTATTATTAGAACTATATATAACCTTAAAATTAATATCATCCATTACTTATTTTTGTCTTTATTTTCATAGATCTTGTACATTATATGTGAACGTCTGTTGCATCTTGCAAATTGTAATATGCTGTCACCAATTCTTCAACAAATATGCTATGATATGGACAGCCCAATCAGTTTTTGCAATTACTTTTTATCAGCTACGCTGAGCGATGACAGTCATTGGAGACCATCTTCCAGTCTCACAATGATGGACTTAGACTGCTCATCAGGTGATACTTCCGTTACATCTCCAGATGGAAGTCAAGAACTTAAGAATGCGGATTTAACAAAACGGACAGGACCGCCAAGCAGGGGTGCCGCTTATTATTTGGACACCTGCGATTCAAGATGTGACCAAAGCTCTGCAGATTATGCTTCGACACCCGATCTTCAAAACCGTTTGCCTCCCGATGGAAGGAGTACAGGAAGTTTGTCGGCAGAAAGAAGAATGTATCAAGATGAATATCTCGACGATTATAATGACTACGGAGATGATGATTTTGAAACAAGTGATGAAAGTATAGATTCTATGTTAATGGAAGGACATTCAGGCTTGTATCTGGCGAATAACACTTGCTATCAAGAACTGAATAATCACTTGGAACTAAGTTCCAATGATGGATCAAGTACAAATGATGGCGACACAGTGCTAATGGAAGACCGTGTTGCCCCCACAGATGTTGTGAAAGCTTTATTAAGCGATCATCTTTTGCAAGGGAATGATTTCCAAAATAAGCTGAAACAATTTCAGGTAACATAATTTATTTATAAAAAATGTAGTTAAAATACAGAATTTTTTAAAATATTCTTGCAACATAGAAACGTTTAGTATACATTAATGTGTGCAATTTAATCTAATATGCGTACAGAAATTAAACTTTTAAATTCATAAATCTGTAATTAAAGAAGTAGATATAAACTGCCAAAAAATAAAGGTTTCAAATGTAACAAGGATTTCAAAATGCTACATTTAGGAATACTTTCATAAAAGTTTTAATAAAATCCTCAAACTTTATTCCTGATCTATATCTTTTATAATGTTATATACATTCTACTGAATAAAGGGAAGCTGCTTGATAATAAATGCAAAATTTGTTTTCGTAATCTTATTATATCGCATTTTCGAAATTAATTTTTATCATAAATACCCATATTATTATAGACACCTTTTATTTTCTAATTCTCTCCGTTTTATAATCATAAATAAAATATTATTTTTATAATGTAATTGTTGTGGGTGAACAATATGCACATACATACACAAATATATAAATAAATATAAGTGCGTGTATGTATGTAGAGGTTAGAAATGCAAAATTAAGTTTTGTTATAGTTCAATAAAGGATTAAAGTTCCGAAAATGAAAACGCATGTTAGCCTACAGATAAAAGGGAATAAAAGTTAAAATAACGTTAGTAGTAACCACTGCAATAAGCGTAATAATAATCCTCAGTGTGTTTCCAAAGCCCAAAACTATAACTAAAAGCAATAATAGAATTTTAGAAATTTTGGGAGAAAACTGCAGATCACCAGGTAAAAGTTTGATAATACTGTTGAGCAGTAAGCAGTAAATAATAAAGTACAAGGTAAATAACGAAGTGAATCTCTAGTCAGTTCCAAAATCCAGTGTAAAATCGTAGGAAATATTTTCTAAAGGGTATAGAAAGAACTTTAATTCGAAGCCAGTACAAAGTTCTAGCATATTTAATGAAAACAATTAAAGGATACGAAAAAGTACGAAAGGATACAAAAAGCTAACTGCATTTTAATTTATGTCGTCAGGTGGGACAGAGATAAGATATGCAGGTAGATATCTTCGACCTGGTTTCTATAATAAATCAATGACCATATAATCCAGCTAAAAGTCAATTAAGAAAATTAAGTAAATTATAAATTTGTAAAAGCAAAAAATTTGTATTAATTTACTTACGACCTGTGATTTACTCTATTCCCTTCAAGATCACGAAAATTAGATAAAAAAAGGATCAATACCAATATTAATAAAGCATACAGAATGCGGTCCAAAAGTCGCGTTACTGTTTAAAAGCCTGGTAACTTTATTTCTTTATTGAGTGAAATAATATTTCTACATATGACACTAAAACATTGGCAAATTTGTTGCCTTATTAAGAAAGAGAATGTCAGGCAAATGAGTTTCATTCACCGCTTGGCAAGCCCCTTACAGCGCATTTCTAATGACATAGATCAGCGCGCCCTATTTGTATTGCACAAAATTCTGTTCGAATGCTTGCCTTCAGTTACTGGATATTGCGGGATTGAGTACTGTAAACGCGATGGCTTAGATGGCCCCAAGAAAAAAATTTGGAGCGATTTAAATCGGGCGAATTGATAGTTAACCAAAATCTATATTTCTTGAAATTATTCGTTCTCCAAACATGTTTCTTAGAAGGTGCAAAGTCTGTCTCTTGGTATGGGCAGTTGCTTCAACTTGCTGCCACCAAATGCTCTGAACAGCTAAACGAACAAACTTTTCTAACCTTTCTTCGCATCGTACCCCAGTTTCTTATTCCTGTATTACCTCTCTCGTCATCAAATAAGTAAAGGCCAAATATTTTTTTCAGAAGTTTTATTACAGATCTCTGTTGCTGGAAACGATCAGTTAGATGAATTATCGAAGATTTAGAGAGCGGCTTCCTCACTTGATAAGAACGCATATGTGCTCTCTGTGTGCGTACAATGCACCACCGATTTACAAAATAAAATTCTGCGATTTTATCTCTTACGGTTATGCTGAATTTCTCCGGCTGTGTTCTGAAAGGCGACTCAAGAACTGAAATGTTAATATCTGGAAGGAAAATAATGGAAATTATTAAGAGGGTTCTTATATATTATTCCAATAGTAGGGAGACTTAACGACCTCTCTCAAATTCTGACATCTGAGCATACCGTTCGCGCACCTGTATGCGAGGCATAGTTACTGTCTACTGTTACTGTACAGGGAATGAAATTCGTGAAGAATTTATGACCTGGAATCGTAATTTCTCCTCTTAAATATCCTGCCAGTTGGCGGAGATCAGATGCGCTGTAGCATCAACCGTTCATTCATTGGCAACCAAAGTGTAAAATTTGACGGAGATGAGGTTCTTGATCCCTATGTCAAGTTGTTAAAAGACGCAATTGATAATAACTTCCTCCTAATGGACGATAATGCTCTTCTTCATGGCGCTGCGCTAGTGACTAATTATCTTGATGACGAAAGAATCCAACGATAACCGGATTTAAATCTGATAGAACATATATGTGACGCACCAGGACGTCGACTTACATCACTACTTAAACCTTCTACTAGCAATTTCTAAGAACTTTAAGATGATATTCATTATAAATGCATTTTGTTATCAAAGAAGCTCCAGAACGATCTAATAAACAACATGGAAAATCGCTGTAAAGTTTGCAATTCGGTCAGGGGCGTTTACCCATCTTGTTAATTTTTTTTTTTTTTTTTTTTTTTTTTTTTTTTTGTACCTCAAAAACAGTTGGTACACCAAATTTTCCTTGCTCTACTTTATATCATATTTCCTATATCCTTATTAATTAAATAAAGACCACCCTTCCAGAAATAAGCAGTTCTGCGTTTTAAAACTGTGTCAGCATGGTAAAACAAATATTTTGTGCTACTAGTTCCATGTTCTTAGCTACAAAATCATTCAAGTTATACGAGGTTTTAAGGTTGTTCTTTTAATTCTTTCCTCCAGTGTATTTGGTTTACTTACACGCATATAACTGCGTTTACAAACTCCTTACCAGCCCTTTATTTTTGTAACAGTTGTTTTTACAAATAGACTTCCAATAACAAAAGTATCGCAAATATTCAATTTTTTACAATTTTTAAATTAAAAAAGTAATTTTATAAAAATTCTAGCTGCTTAGCAGTTTAGAGATCTAACTGTATCTAACTGCAGTTTAGAGATCTAACTGTATCTAACTGCAGTTTAGAGATCACGTTGATGATCATTTATATGGTTCCCCAGTCCCTATTACTTACATTTAGGAAAATTTTATACTTATTATAAAAAATAAAATACTGAAAAGGCGACTGGCGTATGGCGAAAATTGACCGATGTATTTAATTTTTAAAGTTTGAGATCTGCTCGTACATAAACTGAAGAGGAAAATGTTTGCATTTCTACAAAATATTAGTTTAATAAGATATTTCTGGTACTAATGGATTAAATGACGGGTGTTTCTATGCAAACTGATGTGAAAAGTATTTACCAGTATATTTTAAAAAGGAAATATTACAGAATTTATCTTTTAGAAATCTCTGGAAAATTTCAGTATAAGCACATAACTAATAAAATTAAATAATTATTTGAATAAATAAAAAAATACACATTTAATTTTAATGAATTTTTATATGATTATTTGATTATGATTTTAAGTTAAAAAAATTTCATGAGAATGTCGCCAAGAGAAACTTTTAAATTACCTGAGTGAAAATTCTTTCAGAGTACTAATTTTAACAAAATAATAAATTAAAAAATATTACCCTCTAGTAAATCACAAAAGAATATCATTGGATGACACTTCAGGGGAAAAAATGGACACCGAATAATTTTAATTTATTTGATAAACGACAACACAGGCCAAATCGAAAATGACGTCAAAAATTCCAAATTTTGAAGTTATATCGATCACTTTTCATCATGCAAACGTGAAATTTTTGTGTTTTATTTTTTATAGGCATAAAGTTTTCCTAATTGTAACTATAGATAATGCATAAAATGTTATGTTTCATTTTTTAAAAATTGATTACATTTTAAATCTTAAAATGTTAAATCATGAATATTTTGCGTTATTGGAAACAATTTTGTAACTGGAAGTAAATGTCTAAGACCTACAAATGCGGAAAAAAAAATGACCGTATAAGGATTTTTGCAGACACGTGATGTATGTATTTGTAGAGAATCATTTAGTTTTAAACTAACCAGTTTTTGTTCAAAAGTTACTTATCTTTTCCATTTTCTCCCTTTTCTAATTCCTGCCAGAATGATATTTCAGTTTTGCGTGTTATGTAAAGTTGGGTAGAAAGATACTATTTAAGCTGGTGTCTGAGTTACTACAGACACAGCGTGTTCTACCGTTCGGCCACGTTGTTTCGTTGATTTAAGCTTGCTATTTTATGGCTGTACGTAGTAACTGCCGGTTTGTGTACGTCGGTGGTTGGGCTAAGAGCCAACTCTCGTTAATTATCTCTGCGCATCATCGGCTGATTTTTTAACTTAGTTTTAATTTTATATATCTGTCTTGAGTTGCAGCCAAAAAAATTGGCTGTTAATATTACTAGAAAATTTTCAGTTCTAATGTATATTTGTAACGGCCACGTTGACGGATCTAACAAATCTTTCTCAAGCTTTTCAGGTTCTGTTACGAAAGCGTGCGCTCAAACTTGTGACTTATTTCGGTTTTCTGTACACAGAAGACTTGAAGACTAGCGAATATCGGATCTCCATCAGATTGTATATTAGATGCTTTCCCATGTTGTTCTCGCAGTGATGAGTTCTCATTATCAACATTTACATTGTTCTCTCCTTATACAATTCATTACTCCTTGAGATGAATTTCAAAACAAGAGTTTCCAAATTTTCAGCTTCCGCGAGTCTTTCACGTTTGAAAAATTTAATAAGACTACCGGATACTTTTGTGACTTATTTCGGCTGTCTGCATACGAAGGATTTGAAGACTAGCGAATATCGGAACTCCATCAAACTACATATTAGATGCTTTCTCATGTTGTTCCCACAGTGTGGAGTTCTCATTATCAACATTTACATTATTCTCTTTTTGAGATGAATTTACCAATAACAGTTCCCAAATTTTCAGCTTCCGCAAGTCTTTCACGTTTGAAAAATTTAATAAAGACTATCGAATAATTTTCTACTTTCTTCTTCTGCGTTACCCTTTCAATCTAGATGGCTATATTTTCTTCATTTCTCAATTCGTACTGCCCAGACTAAGCTCCAGCCTTTTCGGTGGCGTAGGTGATCAGTACAGCTGCGACTGCCTTGTAAATTAACTATGTTAACAATTCAAGGCAAAATATACCTTTATTTAAGAGCTGCTTGTGGGAACAAAATCAACGTTTTAGTTGACTTAGAGTAACTAATATCTTACCATACAAAAGTCAAATTAACTATAACAGCAGACGCGAAAGAAAATTAAAAGCAAGTATACAATTTTTAGATGAGGAAATAAAAACTGATTCACAAAAAAAAAAAAAAAAATAGCATGATCTGTTAATAGCTAATCTTAGACTGGTAAAATTATAGCGATAAAGTGTAAAAAGCAGTCTCAAAGATATAAATAATTTCATCATTCATATATCCTACATTTCGTAAGAGATGTCCAAACGTAGGCTTACGTAATCATAGCGCTCTTCTAATAAACATGTGATGTTCGTTTCTGTTTTTTTTTTTTTTTTTTTTTTTTGAGTATTTAAAAATCCGCTCTTCAGCATGCTTAATGTGAACAATTACTGTATTTTAGTGCATCATCCTTTTCCATCAGGAAATTTTGTTGCTTGTGCGAACAACTAAGCTGACATTTTCTGAAATTCGGCGCCCTAGGTGGCTGCCTATGCTTGGAGCCGGACTTGACTGCATGCTGCCCATCGTGGTAACAAACAATTTAGAACTCTGCCAATAGCGTTATCTAGATGTTTATTAGTCTCATTTAATTCTGGCTGATTTGAGGAAACTTGGTGATAAAAAACATATAATTTATCGAAAAATATTTCAAAATGATACATTTCAGTTATGCTTTTTATTGAATCTTCTAAAGATATGTTGTAATTTTCATAAATATGAGTATATTTAAAATGTGTGTATATATTACCTTATTAAAAACAATAATTTTATTTGTTTACATATGTTTTAGAAAGAACTAAATAACCGATCATCTGCGTGGGAACGTTTAAAGAGAGAAAAGGATATTATGTTCTTGACTGCTTTAATGTGGAGCTGGATTGAACATTTGAAGGTAAATATATGTTTGAAACTGACTTCAAATTTTAATTGCTTTCATATGCTGCAAATTTTTGGAAATCAAAATTCAAAATGTACTGAATGTTACTTTATTAATAGAAAATCGTATTTTTTTTTTTTTTTTTAATTTCAACTAAACATTTTTTCAGGAACCAATATTATCAAAACATGATCTTACCTACATTGTCATTAGAGCAGAGAAGCCAGTAGATGCTTTAGTTCGACTAGATAAAGTAAGTAGTAAAAAATGTGTTTAATTCTATAAATCTATCTCTTTATCTATTAATTTACTCAGAAAAGGAAAAGTCGTAAGAGGTGATCGGGAAGTAGTGTAGCAGGTTTTTTAATATCTATAACTATTGATATTCCGCTGACCAAAAAATATTGACACACACTCGTTATTTTGTCTCCTGCCCCAGATCCTATGTTCGAGGATATAAATTAGTGTCCACAATTTAGAAAAGGACGGGTTAAAATATATTATTGTCTTTTACATAAATGCGCTATGTTGTTAACACATAATACAGAGTATGTCAGTAAAGTTCTATTTGGCATTACACATTTATTGGAAGGAATCGGATAAAAAGTAAATTTTTCAGAAAACAAGGAGCAGAACAATGATAGCATGGTTGAACAAGACATAAACGTATAGAAAAGGAGCTTACTAGAGCTTCCCTTTTGGAGATAACTCCTCATTAAAATGCACTGCTGGCCATTAAAGTTGCTACGCCACGGAAGAAAGCAGATAATAAAATCTTATTTATTGTACATATACAATATAATGGATATTAATATGTATAACGGGCATAGCAGGGATCTAATACAATATAACAATCAAAACAGAGTGGAAAACATGAATAAATTTGCAGCTGATTTGCAGCACACAGCGTGCATATTTCAGTACACTGTGAAGCCTCATCTGGCAGCAACAATGGCTATAATCTGGATGGGCATCGAATTAAGTTGAGCTTGGATGACAGATACGGGTACTTCATTCCATGCGGCATCAGTCCTATTTCAGAGTTTATGAATCGTAGTAGCTGGCAAGTGGAGGCATACTAGTCTCACGGCAACTCATGAATAGATGTTGTCAATGGGTAAGAGATCTGGAGAACGCGATGGTCAGGGCAACAGTCGATTCTTTCAAATAATATTGCAATTCATTGCTTCGTTGAGGATACATTTTGCTTCTTCCCTTCGATAATTGTACATGAGCTACTTAATTGGTTTCTAGAGTTTGGTCTTCTTAGGTAGTATAAAATTAAACCAAAATTCTGCGACAAAAAAAGACAAGCTGTAAATTCTTACTATGTCTTGTAAGTACCACAGAGACAGAGAAAGGGTGTAAAGGACCTTTTTATTAACTCAGATAAAGTTAAATAGTGGGCACAAACTCGTGCTTACAAAAGTCAACAATTATGGTTTCAATTAAAGATAATAGATGAACTAAAATTAATTAACCTAAGTACAGCCTAATGTTTTCCCAATTCCAATAACACGTAAGCTGGCTCTGACCTAAGTCGGAGTAAACAAGCCTAATAGCAAGAATAACTCATCGCCGCAGAATACTAATCGCGAGAGAATGAAAATTTAGCAACGTGACCCTCAAGCAGGCAGAACACACTCTGAATTTACCCTCTAAATCCTTCCTTTAAATGCATCTACTTTTTTTTTTAATCTAATATGAATATCGCGCGAGCTAGAAATTTATATTCCGGTAGGAAAACAGAAACGATATCGATAGGAAAGCAATTTAACATAAAATAACTGGCTAAAGAACTTGAATGATAATTCTACAAATTAATTAAAATGAGAATCTTTAATTAATTTTTAACATTTACCTTATTCAAAGCATTAATAATAAGAACTTTGTACTAACTTTAAAAAGTAAAGGTTTTGGCCTGTGCTGACCCTGGCAACCGTCGAACACCCTCTGTATCGAGAAAGGTCGGGATAGCATAGGCAGTATGTGATTGTGATAAGTTGGCGTGACGCTAGCAGATAGCACACAACCACGGGCCTTCACACTTCAGAAATATAACGGGAGCTGTACACATTACCAGCTATACGAACAACAGGTGACTGGAATGTGTACCTAATGGCACCACATAACAGCACGCCAGGTGCTGTGCCCGTATGATGATGACAAATGCAAGCTGACAACTTTTGTTCTCCTGGTAGCCGCCATACATGGATACGTCGATCATGATGCTGTACGTAGAACCAGGATTCATCTGAAACGACGACGAGGTGCCACTGCTCCATTCAGTGTCTTCGTTCGCCTCACCACTGTAAATCTGCCAGTCTTTGCTGCAACGTCAAGGGAAGCCGCAGCAATAGTTGCCGTGCTAACACAGTTCCGTCTTGCTGCTGATGTGTTCCCACTGTCTTTGTCGACACGTTTCGTCCTGCACACGAGCCAAGTCCCTGAATCAGAGTTCGTGACGTGGTTGTACGATCGCGCACGGCCATGAGGACGACATGTCTGTCTTATCCATTATTAGTGGCCCGAGGCCGTTGAGATCTTTGGCGTTCAGTATGGCCGTCCTGAAGCCATTAGTTCCAAATTTGCCTGACAATCATAGGATCCCTAACAACATGAGCAGCAATGTCAACAAACCGCTGCTCAGATAGGCCATAACCCTGTTGCAGTCGAATTTCGACGAGGGCTGGTAGGAGCATCTCTTTCTTACTCGTGGCACAGAATGACCTCACAAACAACCAACATCTAAATGCGATTTTCAAATGAAAAACCCGCTGCACAATCTTGCTATTGATAAACAATACAAATGGCGTTAATTATACTTACTTTGCGCACATGCGCTGAAATGCTAATCATTTGCATATCATAGCATGTAGCAATTTTAATTGTCAGTACTGCAGATGAGAAAGACAGCTAGAAAAGATTCGTAAATCTTCGATCTCCCTTCCATTCTGACTGTGAAGAATAGACGATCCATTTCAGTTGGCGACGAAATTGAGGATACAGCAGTGTTATGATAAATAGCAACGCTATATCATTGTTTGTTGCATACTGCCTGCATGGTGTACCAATTTCAATGGTCAGCAATGTGTGTAGGCATTTTTCTTACGCCCCTTCCCGTGTCGCTTACATTTCATTGATTTACCATAAATAATTTCTACTTCTTGAAGATGAGATTTCATCTTCAAATTATCAATAAACCATTGAAAGCGTTACAAGCTAGCTTCAAAAATAGGACATATCTAATTCGCATCAAATATTTTGCCTATTTTTTAACTCAGGGATGTCAAACTCATAGGTACACTTGGGCCAAACAAACAAGGTTTAACTTTAGGCGGGCCGAAAAAAAAAAAAAAAAAAAAAAAATCAATATTCATAGAAACGTAGATTTATTTCGAATAATACAATAATAAACATATATATATATTATATAGAAAAGAACAAGAAAAATTTAATGTTTACGTCCTGATACTTGACATCTCTTCTCTGCTATTATCTTTCCTATTTCGGGAGAAATTTTGTTTGCAGTGATAACTTTCAACGCTGACCCAAGGTGAGCATCATTAATACGGTTTCTAATAGGAGACTTATTACCTTTCATGACTGAAAATAACTGCTCGCACCGATAAGTGCTACCAAACATGGAAATAATTTCATATGCGAATTTTCGAGTATTTTCAAACCTGGCTGGTAAATATTTGTAAAAATTCAGGCACGCCCACTTCAATGAATTTTGCTTTCAAATTTGAGTTGCATTGAATCTCGATCACCTCCATTTGCATATGGCTGGGTACTGAGTCAATACTTATTGAGAAAATCGAAGAAAACAAAAAAAAAAAACAAAAATTGTCTTCTAGGGAACTAAAATCATTAAACCTCGTTTCAAATCCAGTTGTTAAATTTGAAATTTTTTCTGCGTATTTTTGATACGAACAAGTGTATCATCTAAACTTGATTTGTTCATGCTGCACGTCGGGAAGTGCGTCAAATCTTCATTTTTAAGTTGTTTTTCCCAAAGAACTAGTTGACATTTGAATGCTTTAATTATGTAAAACATGTTCGTAATGATATGATCTTTTCCTTGTAACGATAAATTTAAATCGGTTAAGTGTTTGGTTAGATCAACCAAGAAAGATAAATCTTGTATCCATATTGGATCGTAAAACAAACTTACGTCTTGATTTTTCGTTTTTAAAAACTGACATATTTCTTCTTTCAAATCCCAGAATTGTTTGAGAATCTTGGAGCAAGATAACCAACGGCAAGATAACGATTTTGCTTTGATCTGATCACTTAAATTCGCGGCTAAATAAGTAACTCTTTCCGCAACTGTATTTCGAGACAATGAAATTGATTGAAAAGCCTTCACATTTCCAGGACAAACAATTTCTCCAGCTTTCATTAGGCATTCCTTGATGAAATCACCGTCAGTAAAAGGCTTCGAATGTTTAGCTATCAACTCGGACAAGACGTAGCTTGCATGTACCGCCGCTTCACTTTCTTGCAATACTTTGCTAAACATGGACTGTTGCTTTTTCACTCCTAACTTGAGCTCTTTCAACTTTTCTTTTCTCATTAATCCTTCGTAATTGTTATATTTCGATTTGTGTTGTTCGTAATGACGTTTAATATTATATAACTTTGGCACATTAATAGTATTATTACATATCAAGCAGATTATTTTATCTTTTATTTCACAGCAAAAATATTCTAATTCCCATTTTACTTGGAATATTCTATGTTCGTCAGCGATTTTTCGTTTAATTTTACTACCACTTGGTTTTGATATAGACATACTGAATACAAAGGGCTGGAATAAACACGGTTAACGTTAAAAAGTTAACAAAAATGTATTCTTTCCACAAGAGATAAATCAAAATGCTGAAATATTTCTTCAAAAATATTCTAACAATATCACAAAATGTCAAACGTTTAGCAAAAATCAATTCAAAACAGAGAAACTAATTCTATCTCACAGCGAAATCGCTACAAATCAATCACAGCATTAAGTAAACAAACAGTTCGCTAGAACTACAGCTACTACTGAGATGAGTTGTTTGTTCTCGGCTTTTATAAGCTTTATAATTAATTTCTCGAATATACTGGAAACATCTATAAATATCTGGATTTTTGTGGATGGCAACAGCAATTACGAGATATTTATTTATTAGGTATTAAATGCATGTGCTGTTCTATTTTAACCTTCCAACGCAGCTGTCTTTTCAAAAATCGTCTGCGTTGCTAAGGCAACATGAAGCAAATCTAATTACAATTCTAAATAAAAAAAACTAACTAAATAAATAACTATGAAATCCGTAACAATATGAATTAAGTAATAATTAATAATAAAGCAAAAGTGCATGCATATGCATGCACCAATATATCGTACCAAACTATGATTGGAAAACTGAGACCATGAGTTCGGCCACATTCGGCTATCGGGGGATGCGTACAAGTTCTGAGTGCACGTGTCCCCCAAAAGCCGAAGGTAGCTGAACGCAAGCTACTCACACACATTTGTAATTTAAGTAGTGTGTGTGTCAGCTCGCTGTGAGTAATCTAACAACACTGAATAAATTATCGTTAATTACTTAGCAGTAAACATTTCATTTTTTTCTTCGTCGATATGTTATTTTATTATTGTATATTATTATTTGCCGATATATTGGCCGGGCCGCAAAAATATTTGTTGTGGGCCGCATGCGGCCCGCGAGTTTGACATCCTTTTTTTAACTGATGCAGTATTAGAAGTAACGGAAAAGACTGGTATGAAGCAGCCAAAAAACTTTCATCCTGTATTATGCTAATATGTATTTATGATTAAAAATACCTCCTAATAAATTCCATTCCTGCTATTTCATATAGTCTTACCTAACATCAGAACAGTTATTTCAACTGACTTACCGAATTCGGTGAATAAATGTAAATGACCAATAAACTGGCAACCTTTTTGGTCTTAAAATTGAAGGGTTTTACTGGAGTTATATTTGTGTCTGTTAAAGTACAGCTCCATTTTCTCATTTCGATGAAAGCGCAGCTTATATTTTTATGGTTACTGCTTCTACAATTGGGTAAAACCCATAACAGCACCATATTCTTTAAATATCTACACTCATGTCCATAAATTAAGGATAATGCAAAATCAGGCAAAGGAAGAGTTAGAAGCAAAACAAATTTGACTTATTTGTAAAGCTTATTTATTAAACAAAAGGTAAAGAGCAAAAAAAGAAGCTATATGTTTGATATTATTAAAAAAATTAGCGATTTTTTTCTCCCTGGAGCAAATTAAAAAAAAAAAAAAAAACCTATTTACAAAAAAACAATATACATGGTTGGTATGATTGTTAATACATTATATGTCTCCCAGACGATGCAATACAGTCCGTACAACGCCTAGGCATGCTGAGTATCAAATTATCGATCTGATCTTGAGGGATATTACACCACTCAAAAAGCAATGCTCTCCGAAATTCCGGTAGACATGTAGGAGGAGGTTGACGGGCTGCAACTCGTCGGCCAAGCATGTCCCACACGTGCTCTACTGGATTCAAGTCCGTTGAGAATGCTGGCCAGTCCATACGGGTGATATCCTCCGATTGAAGGCATTCGCTTACGACGTTTGCATATGGTGAGGACGGGCGTTGTCATCCATAAACACAAATTGTGCGCCCATGGCGCCCCGAAACAAACGTACATGTTGTTCCAGAATGACGTCCCGATAGATTTTTCTTGTTATGGTTCCAATTTGAAAATGCAGGTCAGTTCTGGAACCCAGAATAATTCCATCCCAAACGAGCACTCCTGCACCACCGTAACGCTATCGTTCAATGATGTTTTCTTGGTGGTAACGGGTACCTGGAGCTCTCCATATGAAAGCCCGGCGAGAATCAGACTGCAAGCTAAACCTGGACTCGTCGGAAAACATCACACAAGCCCACTGTTGCGGTGTCCACAATGCATCTCTCTACTCCAGGCTAACCGCAGGCGACAGTGAGTTGCAGTAAGTGGAACGCATCTGACAGGTCTACGAGCATATAGAGCAATCTGCCCTAAGTGTCTGTACACGGTCTGCCTTGAAATTGTCGTACCAGTGGCTGAACAGAGCTGACGAGACAAGTCTGAGGCTGTGCTCCGCCTGTTTCTTTTGGCAGTAACTGCCAAATACCGGTCCTCATTCGGCGTTGTAACTCTGGGGCGACCTGTGCTGTAACGTCTACTCACATTACCATCATCTTGGACTCGTTGCCAAAGCCTGGAGATGACACTCTGGGCAATTTCATGTTCGTCTGATACTTTTCCAGTTGGGTACGCCCACATTCCAGACGGCCGATAATTCTACCACGTAAAAAATCATCCAAATGCGTCCTTTGTGTCCTAACTATTCAGTTATTGCACTGAAATGCTTATAAAGCGCCTGCGAACAATTTTAGTTCTTTGCCTGTATTCCTTATATATCACTCTCTTACACTCTCGTCATTGTGACGTACCATCGGTGTCATCTGGTTACTTCCTGAAATTTGCATATGATTCTTGAAGATGTGCGTAGTGATTTTACAGGTGATATATTTATTTTAGTGTTCGATTTCCGCGACTCCGAATTATCCTTAATTTATGAACATGAGTGTATTTTAAGTTCTATAATATAAAATTTTATTGAAATACGAGAATTTCCATGGACTTTCACATATCTGAAAGTTCGTTTCGTGACTTTTGAATGATTTAATTTTTTTAAAGTGAAAGCGAAGGTTACTTACTATTATAAGAAGTTGGTGTATACCAAAAGTTGTCGTACGTTATTTAAAAATTGATTTGGATTCTTAGTCTGGATAATTTTCCTCTTCCCAGATATAAATCATTGTTTTGAAATGCTTATTCTTCTTCTAACAAGTTCTTTCTTCATAATGAAATGAGCTCCCGATTATTCACTCTAATTAATGGATGGATATGCATGGACATCCGAAAACACGGGGAATCCAAAAACAGCACAGTAAAATTGTAAAAATTATACTATTTAGAGGCTCTAAATGAATGACATACAGAGTATGTCTAAAATTAAATTAATTTAAAATAATAAAATTTATACAGGTTTTTAACTTTTCTTCTGAAAAAAAATTATATTACTTTTTTTTTTTTTTTACTCTAAAACTTAGACATTATTTCAGAAATCATGGCAAAAACTGCGGTACATCACTAAATGTGAACTCAGTTTATTCACCCATACATCAACTATTTCTTTGCCTACCGTGGCTACTTTTGTTATTTTACCTTCATTTTACAATATTTTACCATTTCGCGTTCTCTCTTGACCTACTGTATCAAAAATGTTTTGGACTTGTAAAATTCTTGAGTCATCATAGTTTTTGTCTTCCTTCATCCGTACTTTCGCGTTTTCTTTACTTACATTTTCAGTCCCTTGAACACCAGAAATGATTCCGGCGAGGATCCATATTTTTACTTTATTATTTGCAGACCATTTCTACTTTGCAGTATCAATGATCGGCTCCCCCAATAGTGAATAAGCGTTAATTTTTTAACTTCCTGACAAACCTCAATAATCAGTTTCACTACCGTAAAAATTGCAAATTGTCACAAATTTTTCATCTTCTTTAACTGCTAGTCAAATAACTTTCCTGTGGAACGGAGGCAGGTATAATCCGCAACACTGATAATCGGGAGTTCAAGTGTACCAAAATGTACTTGAGTCTTTCTTTTGATTCCAATTTCATCATTCCCTTTGTTTCGAGATCCAAGAGTTCACCTTTACGCAAATAGATCATCCTCACTATCACATGTCAGAAGAATTTAGAAGGAAAAAGTTGAGAATTTTCCTCCTTTTTAATTTTCGCAAAGCAGAAATAATTCTTAAAGAAACTTCGCAGTTTTTCAAAAATCCTCATTTATTGTTTTCTCTAAAGACAGTTAATGATCATTATCATTCTCATCGGGAAAAATTTGTAGCACTAAGAAGTTGAAAAGCGGGCTGATTCCAGCCTTCTTTGGTACACAGCAGTTTTGCTAAAACTTGAAACTTTTCTCTTGACGTTTTTTTTCTTTCCACTGGACTTTTTAATGACATTTTTTTTTCATATAAGTCTGCTTAAAACTGAGTATGGATGCACATTTTTAATGGGTGTTATATACTTTGAAACAACTACACAGGTTATGAGAGTAGTATGATTACAGAAGATTATGGCAGATAACAACAATTTCGGATGGCTGTAATTATATAAGACTGTGAAACATGGATTTTTGGTGATAATCAGCATACGTGCTTCTATAGCATATTCTAGATATTTCAGTCAATTACTACTTTAACACGACTTTGGCTTCACTTCTTTCTTCCTAGCGTTCTCTACCTTAATGAATTAGCTAAATGATACCCTTACGAGACCCCACATCAACTTTGGCTATTGTGTCTACTGTTTGCTATATTAGAAAGCAAATCATTTCGCATCATGAACGAAACCAATTTAATTGTAATGTGTTGCATATGGAAAAAGCTCGCTTAGAAAACTTGCCATATTTATCTTCAACTAATCCATTATTTTTTATATCTGATAGAAAATCAGTAGAATATACGAGCTTCGGAGGAATGAGCTAGAGGCATCTTTATTCATTTTGTTTCAATCAAGAAATCCTTAAGATTAAATAACACATTTTTTCTCTGCTAAAACTAATGTAAAAATAAATGCTAGAGGAACATAAATTTCTTTTTTTCCACTTTAAGTCCTTATTATCTACCAGAAATTTTAGTGTCTATTTATATTTCTTTTCTACGTGAAGCTACTTATGTAAAAACATCTTTCTCTTGCAGGGCACTCGATATACAACAGAGTACCTAATCCGGTTCATAGCCCGTTTGGTGCCAAATTCGAGCAACATAGTTGATGATTTGTTAAGAAGGCTTGTAGCTTCATTAACACATCAATGTCTTGGAATTAAAGGAGCTTTGTGTCCTGCTGGAGCAAAATGGCCTAAGATGCGAGAAGGAACGTGCAGGCACTTGATGATGTTTGTTCATGGGCTTTATGATGTAGTGACCGGTTTACATAACAAGTCTGATGATACATCTAAGGAAGACAATCATCCCAGTAGTGCAAGGTCAAGCGGTAACATGAATACTAACAAATTTAGTCGAGTTGCTGGAAGAGCGTACTTAGGATTGAACTTGATGGTTAAAGCTATTGGTAAACCAACTAATCATTGACATTTTCATATAATGTGATGAAACAGCTCAACTATACTGCATGCTTGTAATGGGTATTGCATTATGCTTCCTGGGTCTACTGATAAGAAATTACATATAGTGTGGTTTCATTGACACATATGTAATGTGTGTGTAAATGAATGAATGATCTGTAACGCAACAGTGGTATAGGTAGTTGCATTGATGAAAATGAAATATGCTTCCAATGAGAGACTGTTAGCGAAAGAAATGAAAGTGTTATCTGTCTAAAACAGCACTCAATGAAGATTGCTTCTTATTATGTAATTTTCACTCCAAACAAATATTAGTACAAATCTTTTAACACACACGGTTTCTTCTCTGTTTATCTGTGTACCGAACAATACAGAGATAAAAAGAGAATTATAGATATATATATATATAAACATACTTATAACAGTTTTAAGTTTTGCTTTAGAATTTAATACCTTTTTTTTTTCTTTTTTTTTTTTTTTTTTTTTTTTTTTTTTTTTTCAATTTTAGGGCTATATTGGCCTTATGTTTATTACTTCCATCACGGTATTTAATTTAGCTCGCCTTAGGCTGATTTTCAGTGAAAGAGAATTCTTTCCCTTTCTAAAAACTTAACACAATATGTCAGCACTTCATTAAGCAAATATTTTTCTAACTTATTTTTTAATACTTTTTTTCACTTCATCATGAATGTTAACTAGGCTTCCATGCTGTAATTTATGCCATTATACTTACTAGCTATATTCTAAGGAAATCCAAAGAGGGAATTTTTTTAAATATAGAAATATATTAAGAAGAAGTGAATATGGATGTTCCAATATTTTATAAAATGTAGATATGTCAATCTAAATTTTCTTTATTCTAAACATCAGAATAAAAATCCTTATAAGAGCATGAAACTAATTTTATGAGCATAAAAGTTTCAAGTTCTATACAAAATAGTTTTAATAATAAAGCTATAAATAATGAGGTAGACTATTTTCTTCGAGATTATTATTTTAAACATATTTTAAGCCGATGTAATGGAAATTTGAATCAAAGTATTGTTTGAAACTTGTAAATGTATGCTTTAAATAATTTTCTCAGGTATTTAAATCTTCCTCTAATCTTCTAATTCACAATTTTCATTTTATGTCTGCACATTTAATACTGTACATAAGTGCCTTTATTAGCTTCAATAAAAATTTAATATGTTTTTGATTCTTCTCTTGTTTAGTTTCTTATTTTTTAAATGAAAATTGATTTATTAATGCAAGGCTACCGTGTTCAGTGGAAACAAAACTTATCATTCAGCTAGATGGTTAGATTAGGTTATATTATTCGAATATGGCACAGTACGAAAGGACTATCTGCCTGAGAAGAGAGGTGCCTTTGCGAAGAACTTTAAGGGAAACTGTCTCCTTTCAGCTGTTACACATGGGGAAAACCAACCATGCAGCCACCCATTAACCCAGGTTGAACTACCAGCATTCAGCAGTAAAAACTTAGCTCTTTTGGCAGCCATTCTCCAAAATGATTCGCAAAACAGAGTTATCTCTTTATGAAAATACAAATTCTCTCTTTATGAAACTTTCTCAGAATGCAACTATTTTGAAAAATTCAGCAGCAGTCAATTTTCTTTTTTACATAATTATGCGCTGTGCTCTTGTTTTTCTTGGCATAATGAGATTTAAATTTATATTTATAAGACTATCAAACGCTTGCTAAGAACTTCAGTCGCAAGCGAAGAATTTTCAATTAATGACCTTTTCAGAATAACCGCTGCTATATCTAGTATCTGGTAACAAAAACACAGTATTTATTCCATAGTAGCGTGCTTTGAATATAAACATTAATACAGTGTTACTGTGGCTTAATAAAAGGAAATAATTGAATATTTCTCTTAAGCCACAGTAGCATACTACTGGGTATCCAACTCGAAAGGGCTCCGGGAAAAGAGTGATGAAAAGAAAGAAAGGAAAAAAAAAAAATCTGAAATGTTTTAGATTCTAAATTGCATCCAAAGGGGCACTTTTTTTTAACGTTTTGTGTGTTACCTTTATTTATTAAATATCAAGTTCTTTGCACTTAAACCATAAACTTAGTTCAACAGCAATGTTGCAAAATAATTTTAAAATGAGCATATCTTTAAAATTTCCGATACTCAGTTCGATGCGCTAGAGATAAAAAGGTTCCCCCCCCCCGTAGAGTGTTGCCATTGCTCGCTTTTAAATCGTTGAGTTTATTGCCCAAAAATTCGTTAAAGTTTTACAAAATATGAAATCGATAATAAAATAAATTCTAGATTTCAAATTTGTGATTTCAGATGCCTATATTCGCAGTAGGATTACGTCATTCAAAATTGGATGGCTCTAGATACCGTTGTTTTATCACAATGCGAGAAATGTACATACATTTATGCAGATTTTTCATTATTTAATTTCTTCAAATATAATGCAGGACTGTGCAGTATATAATGTGCAAATATAATGCAGGATTTTGTGGCAACAATTTGAAAAGTGAACCGATATTTATAGGAGTGCGACGCAAAATGCCAAAACAAAAGTATTGGACTAACAAGAGGAAATGTAACCAGATTTTTTATATTACATATCTTTATGTTTGAAGTGAAAGTGCCTTACAAAAGGTGCTGGAAGTGATCTCCCCTCTCACCTGTACACACAGTTCAACACGGCTAACAGTTCATACAGCAACACACGCATGCTCGCGTATGTTGCTGCCAGAGTATGGGGCATCACTGCCTGGATTTCACGGCAGATGTTCTGACGTAATTCGTCGATGGTACATGATCTGTGCTTGTACACATTACCTTTAAGGAGACCCATAGAACAATGTCAAAGGGGATCAAGTCTGGAAAAATGATTCCACCACAGTCATACTCGCTACAGACGTGACATGCTCGAAATAATGATTTAAGTAAAATTAACTTTGTTACTCATTCCTCAAAATTACGGGTCGGGTAAGAATACGCCTGTCTTTGGGAAAAGCCTTGGACATACATGAAAAGAGAACGATTTTCCCATCTCAGTTCTTAATTTTGATTGAGAATATTTCGAATGACAGAAAATCCATCAATCTAGTACTCCTTTTTCCCTCCCATCAACCTCTCCTGAGAATCTACTTAAGCAGGCACATTAAATACACATAGGTGTTTCTTAATCTCCTGGTAACATTTTCTAAAATAAAAAAAGATGATGCTTCACACAACGTTGGGAAAAAGTCAGACTCGAATTTTGATAAGAGAAAAAGACTCCAGTGCTATGACTGTGGATCTTTTGACCATCTATGTCCTCAGTGCCCTAATCTTAAAACTCAAAAGGCTGACTTGCATCGAATAAGCGGGAAATCAGAAAAAGAATCTGTTAGATTCCCATACATTATATGGGAGAGTAAATGGATTTGAAATACCCATTCTAAGAGATAGAAGCAACGGTAGATATTATTTGTCAGAAATATATAGACAGAGATAGAATGAAGGGAGAACATGTATGGGTTCGACATTTGCTGGATGATCATATGACTTGTTTATCTGTTGTTGAAGAAGATATTTAATGAGGTTTGGGCACAGTAACTACCAAATACCAAAGCAGCTGTTATAGGATACAACTTAGATCTAGGACTCCATATCTTAGGCAATCAAGCAGTGGCTCTTCTCAGAAAAATTATTCTTCGAATGTCAGAAATGTTAGTGTTGTGATTAGTCGATCTTAAGCTCGACAATTTAAGTGAGACGAATCAAAATTCAGAACAAAATGAGTCAGAAGTGGAAGAGGAGAAGGATGCTTATCAGAGGTCTGAAAACAGAGATAGTGCCTCCTGTCGAACCTTTTGTGTCCCCACAAGTCCTGCGATTTAAATAGACCCAAGTACTTTTATAGCTGAAAAAAAAAAAAAAAAAAAGTAAGGAACTTGCCCCTTTATTAGAATTAGTAAAAAGCGGAAGACAGATTAAGGGATTAAAAATGAGATTTCAGTAAAGAAGAGAATAAGTAAGTTAGGAGGAAAATATTTGATTGTTGTTCCAGAAATCCTCAGAAAGCAAATTAAACTAATTTGTCATGAAGGAGCTTCAGGTCACTTAGGAGTTCTTAAAATAAAATCTGGTTACTAAGACATTTTTTTCTGACCATATTGTTATAAAGACATTGAGGAATTCATTAAAACCTGAGACTCTTATGTATTGTGTAGGAAAAGCAAATGACAAAAAGAAAGCACCGTTGGGAACTGTACCAAGGATATCTGAAATCCTTAGTAAAGTTAATGTAGATGCTTGTGGACCTACGCCTACATCTACTGAAGATAATAAATATCTTATTACAGTTATGTGCTTAGCTTCTAAATATCCTGACACCGTCTCGGTACTGGATATAGCATCGAAATCTGTCGAAATCTGTTGCAAATGCACTTTTGCAGGTATTTAGTCGGATGGGCTTTCCAAGGGAGATTCAAACTGATCAAGGAAAATCTTTTATGAGTTGCTTAACCGTTGAATTTTTTAAGAGGTTTGGTATAAAAATTTCCAGAAGTTTGGTTTACCACCCCCGAGTAATCCTGTGGAACGGTTCCATCCATCAATAAAACATGTCTTAAAGTAATATGTGTTGGAGCTATCTCAAACTGGGAAATACAAGTACCTGCCGCTCTCTTTGCTCTGCGGACAGTAACTCATGATAGCACAGGCTTTAGTCCAGCCGAATTAGTGTATGGGACCAACCTGACAACGCATGTCACATTACTGTATGAGAAATGGTTAGATATTTCGGAAAAAGAAGATAATGTTTTCGAATTAATCAATACGTTAAAGAAAAGTAAGAAATTAGCTACAGAGAAAATGGAAAAGGTGAGAGACAAAAGAAAAAAATGGTATGACTAAAATGCCATAAAAAAGGAATTCCAGCAAGGAGATGCCGTATTAGTATTAGCAGTGAACAACCCCATAAACTCACTCTTGAATGGAAAGGGCCAGGAAAAATAGAGAATAGATTATCAAAAACAAACTATGTGGTTAGTTTTGAAGGGAATAAAGTATATTACATCAACATGTAAAAACCTTATCATAAGAGACCTGAACTTTGGAATGTGGTGCTCTTTGACAACGAGGAGGCACTTGAACCTCTGGAATTAGAGGAGGATTTTCGCTATATGTTAACCGACCCCAATGTGTTTGATTTCAAGGAAATAATAGCAGAAGATAATCTTAAAGAAAAACTTGATAATGAACAAATCCTGCAGTTGGGAAAGTTGTTTGTAAAGTTTTCTGCTACATTTTCGAATATTTCAGGGAAAACAGATTTAGTTGAACATGATATCGAACTAATCAGTGACAGATACATACATAATATGCCTTATAGAATGCCAAATCAATGAAACAAAATTCTAAAAGTCGAGATTGAAATAATGTTAAAATACAAAGTTATTGAACCAGGATCTTCTGAGTATAATTCACCCACGCTTCTTGTCGAGACACCAGCTAGGGATCTTAGGCTATGTATTAATTACAGAAAGTTAAATGAAATAATGCACACTGAGTTCTGTCCTATCCCCAATACAGAGCAACGCGTTGAAACTGTGGCAGCAGCCAAATTTATCACCTTGATACACTTAACTAAAGGTTATTCATAACTATTAACTTGAAATGATTTATTCTAGTTTCATTTAGTGATTACATTCATCTTTCTTAGCTCCTACATAATTTATTATTAAATTTGTGAAATGAGTATTATATTTAAAGAAATTCAAAACGAATATTTTAAAAAGAACAAACATTACATAAATTTATTAAAGGGATTCAGTAAAACTCAATAAAATAAGATTTTAATTTATTAGTGAAACTGTGTTTTCTCCACTTAGCTATATACACAAAAAAGCATACACACTAGGAATACCAGAAATAATACAAAGAAAAGTTTACTAATTAAATTAATACCTGAACAGTAGTTTCATGAATTATAATCATATTCAGAACTTTTGGTGCCTTATGTCTGGAAACTAGCAGAATTAATCCATATTTAATTATCAGAGAGCTTTTATGTAATTCACAGGCTGAAAATAAATGCAACCAAACTTGATGTTCTTCAAAACTAACATAATATGTTCAAAATTTACTTAATGATCATCAATTATGTGTCTTTCTCATGACATGGTTGAAAAAAAATTTTTACTATTCAAATCACAGTTAACTTCAAAGCTGTCTTTTTTAAATTTTGAAAACATTATTTTACATTGATTCTTTAAAAGACTATCAACAGAGATGTCCCAGGTGGAACAGCAAAACATTTCATAGGATACTAGATCAATATGTATTTAGACCTACAGAGGAAAGATATAACTTCTGTGTATTTGAAAAATGAAAAAATAAGCAGTACAGAGTTGGGACTTTGGTGATTATACACGCTCCCTCTAGCATTTCCACTCTTAATAATGAATAACTATGTGTGGCCAAATGATCATGATTCAAATCACTGTTACACATATTTCAGTCCTTTAATATTTTTCAACATAACACCCTAACTTTTAAACCACACAGTTCTAAAAGATTAATTTGTGAGATATAGTCTTATATATGTACCACATTTATTACAAAAATATTTCAAATGATAACACCAAATATATGAAGGGTGTTCGATCAGTTATCTACTCAAGTTGAAAATTTTCCCCCCACATTCTGTCTGCTTTTGTGCTCTATCCTTTTTGCATCTCTACACATGCAATTCGTCACATTTCTGAGTTAATGAATTAAGCATAATACATACATGCCTTTATGACAAAAAAAGATAATTTGGAAATGTGTTTAGTTCTCTCTTTTTTTTTTTTTTTCAAATGAAGGGGAAAAGCCAAAAGAAATCTGAAATGATTGTAGCTGTACATGGCAGCTACAGGTATTCATACTGGGGCAGTGATTTCATGAAAAGAGTGGCTGATTGGCTTGATGGCCAAGATGGTGCCTTGCATTCCAAGGAAAACCTCTCATTTAAATCAATAGGTAAAAAGGTGCTTTGAAATCATGGGAGAATATGCTGAAAATCATAAAATAATTTGTTCCATCAATGAAAAACCCTTTGTAATACACACACACACACACAAACACACACACACACATATATATATATACTTTTAGGCAAGCTTACTACAATTTCTAATTTACTTATTTTGCAGCATATTGCACAAAATGTTATCTAGACCAAATTGGTCATACAGTATTGTACTAACTACCTTGCTTGTTATATATATATATATATATATAGTATTTTAGGTGAGTAGTTAAGAAAGATAGATGCAAAAACCAGTAAGTTCCAGTCATGACCATTTCTAAACACAAATTTATTCCATGATAAATTGTATCAGCTCACTTTTGGTAGACAAAGCCTTTATCCAATCATAGTTAAATACAACAATTTTTATGTACATTGGCTTTTTTATTCCATGATAAATTGTATCAGCTCACTTTTGGTAGACAAAGCCTTTATCCAATCATAGTTAAATACAACAATTTTTATGTACATTGGCTTTTTTAAAGGTACGGTGTAAGCATTTTTAGATGGCAAGGCAGCATGGAGGTTTGGTAGAGCAGAAGTTAGGAAAAGGGATGACGTAGTTGTTTTGCAAAGCAGTATTTATACTAAGTAGATGCAGAAGTGTGACCTAGCCGTGATTGGTTAATTTTGAGTTTTAGTTCCGTTTTCATGCAGCATTATGTAACATGGAAAGATCTCGAATTTGGGAGAACAGATGAATTTAGGGGGAGAATATAAAACTTAAAATAGTTAATTTTGAGGTCACCGATCATTTCTTAATCATTCGGTATCTTAATCATTTCTTAATCGATCATTCAGCCATCATATTTTGTTATATCTTACATATATAAATAAAATTTGCAACTAAAATTCAAATTTTAGTCATTTAATAAATGTTTTACTGTATTAAAGACTTCAATGATAAAATTTTACATCATATTTTATCATTTCAGAGTAATCTTAGGTAACTGCAGAATAGGATAATACAGACAACATTTTAGGGTACTGCAGAAATCCGTACACACTATTTTTCTTCTCCCTTATAATGCTTACTGAACTGCAATTTGATATTTTTTTTAGTGAAAAGAGAAACTAAGTTCAACAAGTGCAGTTTTACATATTGCTGTGATTTAGCTTCCAATCTGTTGTTCATAATTTGGAACACATAAATTTTGCATAAAACTTCACTTTTCAAACGACTTCAACATAGTTACTGTCAGAATCAAACATAAATATCTTTTATAAATATCACTTCATAAAAGTTGCTGCGAAGTCAAACTGAAAGAATGATAATTAGTGCCATATTATATGAATCACTCTAAATACTTGTAATAAAAATTTCAATAACTAAAAGATATAATTACAAAAGGCAGATAAAGAGAAAATATAGCTTATATAAAATTTAAAAAATAAAAACTTTAAAAAAAAATTTTTTTTATTCATTAATCTCAATAAAATCACTTACAATCATTATTATCACCTGCAGAATATTTACATAAAGGATTTAGCTGGCTGAGACATTACATCTGGATTTTAGCAAAATATAAAACAATCATGAGGGTTTTATTAAATATTTTTTAAACCAATATTTTTTCAGACTAGTACATACTATTTAAACTATAATGAATAAATACAGCAGAGAATTATTTACATTTCCATTACGCAGAATTCAGAATCCTACTTTTTCATACATTTTTCTCTCACTGAGTTACAGCTTCTTTAGATAAGAACTTCATTAAATGAATGAATCTGCTTTCCACCTATAGGGGGGGAAGACAAAAATAATGTAACAGTTGAAATTAAAGTAATTTAGATCCAAAACTTATATGCAAACATTTCAGTGGAAAAGCAACATATGAATTCAGCACTATTTTTATAACTAAAACTTGAATAATTTTACATGGTACAATGATGAGTTATTTTCAATTACTGTTTACTCTTGATTAACTGGGCCTTGTCAAAAAAAAAATTAATTTGTTTATTGGAGATCAAAGGAAAAGTTACAATCACAAACTATGAATGCAAATTGAAACTGTCTATGAAAAATGCATGGTAAAAGAGGAGTGACAGCAGATGATTTTGTAGTCATTTATAACCTAGTTTCTTCATCTCATATAATATTTATTCTCCTGTCATTAACATTGTGGTTCTTTTGATTGCTGATTTAATTTATGCAATTAAATGAATTTATTCTCCCGATTAAATTGCTTAAAAAGATTGACAGATTGTTATAACCACTTTTCTATGATTTATAATATGGATTGTTTATCTTCCCTGTGCTTTTTCAATTGCTCTTAGATTAACTACGATTTTTTGTTAAACTGTAGATGTCAATATTATCCCAATAAATCAGGAATTAACTCAAGCCTTTTTCAGCCAACATTAAAATAATATTAATTTGGGAACATTTTATACATTTCAAAGAATCAACGCACATAAATAAACAGACAAACAAAACAAACAACAACCAAAAGAAAGAAAGAAAGAAAACGAGGAGCCTTTCACAGTTTCTCTTAAATAGATCTAAATTATTTATTCTAGGTAAATATTTTTAAAAAACAGCAAATAGAGAGTTTGAATTAAATTAGAAGGATAATAATGGTGTTACTAAAAATATTATGCTTTTAGAAAATCCCAGAATTTATCAATTTAAGCTTTCAAGATATTTTACAGCATAATTATCACACCACAATAACTGTAAATCTTTAGCTTGACTAAGTGTACAACTTGCACCTAATTTCAGCTCATTTATTAAATGAAGATCGTCTTTTTAATATAAACAGTCAAGCTATCAGTTATTATTATTTGTTGTAACAGCTGGACACTTGAAGGCATTTGTTGGGAATTGTCGAACCCACTGATCATCACAAAGAATGTTGCCAAAGGGGCACCAAAAGGAGTAAATACTGCATCAGTGAGAAGCAAGAAAAATATACAATGAGAATAGAAAATTAAGAGACATTAGTTAACTGCAAGGAATAATGAAAATAAATTCTTCAGCTCAAGTATTCAATTCTAAGTTTTCCTAAAAATAGTAAACGGCTGAAATATAGTTAAAAGCAGTAAAATTTATGACAAAATTTGAATTACAATAATTATGAATAATATACAAAAAAGAAGGGCTGAGGAAATAACAGACAGCTGATTAAAAAATTAAAAGAATAAAAGGGAAATAAAATGGTAGTTACTAGCTACAGAATATTTTATTTAATGTCCATTCTCTTGGGTAGATTTGAATTTTAAATTCAACTGCATATTTTATGTAAAATATCCAGATCTGTGCAGATCTTAAATTTAAATTTGTTTCTCAGAAACAAATTTAATTTCAGATAAATTTCAAATCTGCAAAAGATCCCTAAAACCTTTCATGGCCTAGAACTACCATATGATAAAGAAGTAGAAAAACAGCAAATGCATGTTTAGATGGTTAAGTAGCAAATGCTCACAGTAAAAATTCTTATAATATTATAACCACGCATAGCTACTATTTTAAATCAGATACTAGTTTTAAATCTTATAATATGAAATGCTGAAGCAATTCATACACTCAAAATCCTGTTAAAATTTCAGTCACAACCAGTTGTTGGATGCGTAAAATGAGATAAATGTCTTAAGAAATCACAAATTCTTGCTACATTACTGCAAAAATAAAGACTTTATTATTATTATTTTTTAATTCTTTGATATGCCTATAGACATTCACAATAAATAAATATGTGAATAGGCTAGAAGCTAAATACTTTAAGTAAAACTGATTATTTTTTATTATTGGCTTACAATTCACTGAATAGAAATTATATTCTAGAGACCACCAGATCAAGGTTATCTACTGTTATATAAATTAATGCAATAAACTTATTCAGCTATTATTATAGGTGAATAAGGCTAAGAGCTAAATACCGATTTTCTAAAATAAAACTCGGTACTTTTCAACACTAGTTTACAATTAGACAATACAAATTACTCTATACTACATCAAGTTACAGCTTATCTATTGTTTTATATTAAATATACAATGTGCCAAAAGATTTATGACTGAATTCACAGAGGTGAGAAATAAAGAAAACTACTTTTATCACTACTTAGCCTTCCATATATATATATATATATATATATAATTCTCTCTCTCTCTCTATATATATATATATAAATTCTTACTGAAACTATTAAGACTGTTTAACAAAATTTATGCTAAACACATTCCCATCAACTAATATCCAAAATGACTTACTTATAGTCTTCTATATAGTTTCTTCTGACTAAAAGGAACAACCGCTTTCATAAGTTGTTTGAATTCAAGTTAAAAGTCCTTTTACACAGTACTGAAACAGTTCTCAAATAACGCCTTTCACACTGTCACCACCACTGTAATACAAATTCTATAACTGTTGCTACCATTTTTGAAATAAAATATGTCTTTTGGAGGCCTGTTGGGTGAATACAATCACATCCAAGCTAAAATCTATATTCTTGAATAACAGCCACAGAAACCTGAACCATAAGTTTGCATGTATTGCCATGTAAAAGAGACATTTTTCTGCTCAGTTTGCCACATTACTTTCATTTACGACCAACTGGAATTTGGTTACCAACTGGCATACACTGTCCTCCAAAAGTTAAGGAAGAGCATGTTTTTTAAAGCCCACCATTACAAAATAGTCAGTAATGTTTAAATTCACAGTTCATATGCATGATAGTAATGAAGTTTAAGAAAATACATGCAAAAGAATAGCTACCACTTTTATTTTATAGAAATGAATAATTATACAGGAGTCAGAGAAAAAAATGCACAAATTGTAATTCTTGTTCATGAGTTTTGATCTTCAGTTATTAGAGTTTCATGGACAATAGCCAGAACAGTCTATCAATATCCAGAAGTCGTTTGCCCGATTTGTTGAGGTGGCAGGTTATCGAATAGATGGAAATGAGGATGTCACAAGCCGATGTTGCTAGACATCTCAACATCTCTCGTAATATGGTCCACCACCAATGAAATCAGTTTGAATCCAATGATCCTGTGTCTAGAAGACATGTTCCAGGCAATCCTACAGTTACAACACCCGTGGCAGACCGTTATTTAGCTCTTTTGGCGCGAAGAAGGAGTAACATTATTGTGCCTCAGCACATGGCAGATCATTTAGTGGCAACAGGAACAAAAATCTCAGCAACTACAGTGTGCAGACACCTGCACAATACAGGTCTGTATGCAAAACGAATAGTCGTTTGTGTCCCCTTGATTCGAGGACATAAAGGTGCCTGTTTTTGTTGGGCAAGAGAACACGTCTCCTGGACCAGTCAACAATGGACGTCTGTTCTCTTCAAAAACGAGTCCAGGTTCACACTGGAGAATGATTGAGGTTGTCAGCTGATCTGGAGGGAACAACATACCAGATACAATTAATTCCACACTGTGGAAAGACGCAGTTACAGAGGTGGTGGAATGAGGGTTTGGGCTGGGGTCTCTCTCCGTGGTCGCATTGACCTGCATGTGTTCCATGAAGGAATATTGACTGGTGTGAGATAACGAGATGAGATTCTTGATCAATATGTCCACCAATCTGCCATTGCTATTGGTCTTGGATTTCTTTTGATGGACGACAATGCGTGATCGCTCCGAACTAGGGTTACTGAAGAATATCTTGAGGATCACGGTATGGAGCGGATGGAACGGCCAGCTCAATCCCAGACTGAATCCAATAGAGCATCTTTGGGACTACTTTGGGAGACAGGTTGCTGATTAAATCCTCCTCCAAAAACGTTAGATGAGCTTAAACAAGGATTACTCTGCGTCTGGTCGTTACTTTCCATTTCACTGACCAACAACTTAATTGACAGCAAGGAATGTCGTTGCTGCTGATGTACTGCAGCTAGGGGTGGTCACATTCCTCATTCAAATACATTTTTGTAAGGTTACCACCCCATTTTTCCTCAAAAAACTGTGATATACTGTTTCTCCGAGACTGGATTTCTCTTTCAAGAGTGAAATTTTTATTGTAATTCATGTTTGTGTTGAACTTTAGAAACATTTTATATTGCATTCATTAAAGAACTGTTTAGTGAACATTTCCTGTAAATTTCTTTGTTCTATGTTCCTTCATTCTCAAATTAGACACAAAAAATATGCTGTTCCTTACCTCTTGGAAGGCAGTGTATTATATAGCAAATAATAAATGAGGAATGGCTCCTCTTCACCTTAAACAATGATAATCAATATTGTTCAGCCAATTTTTGTGATCTGAAATTGCGGGATTAGAAAGATTCACTATGCTTCCACAAAACGATAAGTTATTTTCTTTCCAAGTCAATGTATTAATCAACATTTCAAACTAGCTTTGAATAAAAATTATTTTCATTGGGATTAATAATACAATTGCAGTTCTTGAGAACAACTGACCCGGTTTACTTCATTTCTAGCACCAATATTTAAAATATCTATCAGACATGTAATTTCAATACACCCAGATTTCATGTAAGAAATTTTCCAGTTCACTAACACTGATGTCTGTTTCCATCACAGTTTGAGAAACTCACATAAAAGTTTTCCATCATGTATTCCTCAACATTTGTCCAGATTTTTTTATATGGTTAGGCCCAAGCTGTGATGTTGTTTACAGTCGTACCTTCAAGTGATGTTCTTCCCTACCTGAACTTGACAGCCCACTTTTTAACAGTGTCATAAAAAGATGAAGCATTATTGTAGCCTGTAACCATACATTCATCAATACTTGCTATGATTACATTTCTTTCATCAAAGTTCAATCAACAAATGACTGATGCTTTCAACATTCATTAACATTACTAACAATATTTTACAGCTTCTTAAAAATCAACTGATTATTGCCAGAAATTTTCACAGTCATCATTTTTATACCCTGAAAGAATAATGCAATTGTTTTACTGCCTTTTGTCATTCCACAAACTACATTTCACAGCTAGATTTTTCAATGCCCTTTGTATTCACCATTTGGCATGCTTATAGAACTTCTGCATGCCTCAATCTACACTTAACACTGAAATGCTCTTCATTCTCTCACTGCATTTTTCATGAACTTCTAAAATACCATTAAAATGATGTCCTTAATATTAAATGTCCTTTGGTGTCAATTCAGAACTAAAAGACCTTCACTGATTTGAATATTTCACACATTTTTTTTTTTTAAATTTTAATTTAAGTAACATTTTATTACTTTACATAAGCAGCATGCAGCTGAAATTTTTATCTGTTATTTTTAATTTGAAGGACTTCTACAGCAAACTTCACCTAGAATGTCCACTAGCATTATTTTGACACCAAAAATAACGGCAAAAGCAATTGCTTATATTTATCAACTAAGTGAACAAATATCCAATTATGACAGTGAATCTGACTTTTTTTAAACCTGTTTATGGGTATATGTTACTTCTTTTTCTTCTCACTATAAATGGCTTGATTATACTGATGTAATGATGTACATAGAATTGCAAAACTTGCTCTTTTATATAATTATTTCACAGTAAAACATAATTTACACTTTACCAGTTATATTTCAAAAATAAAAACCAAATGCATTGTACGCACTGCTCATAAAATGGCTAGAAAATAATTCATGAAAGCTCCATGAAAATGGCTACCAGTCTATATACCTTACAATAATTATGTTATCTTAGATCTTGCAGCTAAGTCTTAGGATAATTTAGCGATCAGTGTTAAGTAACTATAAGCGAAAATTACATACAGTAGTTATAACTGAAATAAGTTTAGAATAGCTAAACAACACAGCTAAATGAAAATCAAAACAGCATTTTCAAATCAATTGATGGAAAAGATGTGAAGTTAAAAAGAAGCATTGAAAATAATATAAACATAAGGGATGTTTTGTATAAGAAAATGCACAAAAATTTACATATAAGTGCATAAATTCCAAATAATATTTGAATGTAATATAAATTCTAATTATTAAACTGATGCTAACATTAGTTTGAATGACTGATATGCTACCAAAATTAATGAAATGGTTTTTATATGTATTCCAAAATTCAATTCCTCTATTTCTATTCCAGTTGTTAAATTTAACTATTTCGCATATTTTTCAATAAGATAATCATTTTTAATGAATTTGCTACAGAGTAAATTTAAGTTAACTGAACTTGGAAATTATACCACAGGTACCACTTTTTAAGTTAAGTAAGAAATTATACCACTTTCTCACTGATGCCAAAATGACATGTATGGCTGTTCTTGGATAGTGGAGCAGCTAGTTTATAGTGTTGAAAGATTTCTTTTTAAGGAAAAAAATTAATAGAAAGCTGCCAAATGTGAAAAGTGAAAGGGATGATTAAGAACATTGTAATTTTGTTTACAGTAAGCTACCTGAATACAGTCACATTATCCACGTTATGTTATTTGAACATGGCTAAGCCATAAGGGCTATCTAAGAGGAAATATGTCTTCTTGGAGAACTTTTGAGGGAAACTGGCTCATATTTACATTACAAATGGAAGAAAACCTTGAAGACCAAACATGCAGCCAGTCTCTTTGCCTGGGTTCGAACCAAAACCAGAACAAACTACCAGTATTCAGTATACAGTTTGACAATGTGCTCTGGAATTGATTCAAAGAAATTACTAACTTTACTGCATGAATTTACTCCAATTCTAGAAAATTGAGTTTACCTCTTTTATAATTCACAGGCAGTTTTTGTTGGATGTGTGCCAGTAAGGTTTGATTCATATTTTAGAGGAAAAGGAATGTTTATCCTCACATATTAAAAGTTAGTTTAATTTTTATCATTTCCAAACTTTTTGAAAAATTTTTATTTTTAGGTTTGATTGTTAGTTCTGTGTAAAAAGGAAGTTTTAGGGAACCCCACAACTGCTGTTGAAAGATATCAGTTCAATGAGTTAACATTTGAATGAGTTGATTTTTCTCATCCCATGATTTGATTCTTTTCGTTCTTCTTTTCAACTGCATTAACTGGTTCCTATCCCACTGCTCATTTCATTCTTTCTGCTCTCCACATCATACTCCCTAACTGCTCTGATTCACTACTTGTTCCAGATCTTTTCATCCAAGGTTGTTAGTAAGCAGTGAACTGTAAAAAAGAACCACCTCATTTCAGTGAGTGAATGGTTCTGATCTGATCCTATAAAAGAGCAGTTTTGTCCATCGCTAATTCAGCAGTGTTAACAACTCGGCCACTGTTGAATTATCCAAAGAAAAATGTTCTTCCTCTTCATTGTGGATTTAATGACCACACTGAATCCATAAGCGCGTATTGAATGCACAAAATCAAAGAAAGAACTCCATTCAAACTTCCTTCTATAAACAGAAATCTTAAAGCAAGTAAACTGAAATGCTTTAGAAAACGATGCCACTAGTTATCATCAGGCAATAACACCAGCACTAATTGAGAAAATTCAGTTCTAATATTTTCAGAAGCATTGTTTACATGCAATAAAAATTTTTACTCAGCAGCAGAATTAATACAATGTCATTCAAATGTACCACTGGGGGGGGGAGAAGAAGAATATTTTTAGGTAGGCTAACAATGTATGATACTTATGCACTAAAGTGCTTGAAATATTGGTAACATTTTTTTAAATGCCTTACATATCTCATTGTGTATATGTAAATTTGATTTCCCATTCTGATACTGAAATACACTGGTGAGTTAAGCACAATTCATAAAATGTAGAAAAGGAAGTATTAATAGAAACAAAACAGGACGCATTTGTACCTAGGGCATTCAATAACATACATGAATCATACACTACATGAAAATTTTACCAGTTGATGATATGTGCATGATTAACTCCTTCACCATCCTCTTAGTTATTAGATAGTTTAAAAAGTGTTATCAGCTGTCAGTAAAAAGACACACTCATCGGGGTTAAATGTGAACTGGATCATTATCCCTGTGAAATTCATTGTTTCATGGTTTCCAACCCCCAGATTTGAGGAAAAAATGAAGAGATTTAGGCCTCACTGGTCATGCTTTCTCCAAAGCATGTTTTTATCAGGATCATACAAAACAAAGTTCACTTAAAAAGATGGGACATAGAAATGCACTTCCACCCCTTTTAAGCTGGCATTGCAATGGAAACAACTGCTCATTTGAAAATGTACCTTTAAGGGAACGCCACTTTTAATTTTTAGACGAAAATAGCACAAAAGAAATTTTTCCCAGGGTAGGGTGATGTTATTTAAGACTGCGTATGAAAAGTAAGCAGTTCAAATCAATGTGCCGTGAGCTTCTAAGTAGGTTGTTGACAGTTCAGGAAAGGGGCAGAGACAGAGACACATTTCTATCACAACTAATGCCAAATTCAGTGGCAAAAGGTTCATCTTTGGAGGGGGGGCGGAAGTAGCAATTATTTTGTAGATTTTGGAAGAGTTTTGTAGGATGGTGAAGTGTTTACACAACTGCATTACATACACATATTACACTATCACCTTTCTATTATTACACTACCACACTTCACATATCACACCATTTCACCTAATTGTAGAAAAGAGAAGTAGAATAAAACATCAATCATATATATAAACCTGAGTGATGTTTTATACTAATTTCTTGGTAGTGTCACTGCCAAGCAGGAACAGAGGTTAGCACAAAGACCTGAAGTTGATCTTTTTTAAGAAATAGAATCACCAGATGGCTGAAAAAATGACCATCACAAAGAGAAGTTTTTGACAGCGCTAGATGCACCATACTGTGGTATCTCCAGATTTTGAGGATGATTTCAAAGTGCATGAGATGTCTACAGTAATCAGTATAATTTTATATGAAAGTTATAAATCTTCAGATGATTGATATTCACCAGCGGTCTGAATGGCTATTTTTTTTTAATAACTGATATTCACCAGAAGAACAAGTGTTTCAAGAAGTCAGGTAAAAATGTTTCAGATAAACTGTTAGCAATGAATGCCTCTTAATAGATATTAATGCACAATTTCATCAAGTGATACTAGTCTCAAGTATTACAAAAATAAGGCTATTAAGGGAATGAAGTGTTCTGTCATTAACTCAAATCTGGTTGAATATGTTTGAGACACTTCAGCTGGTAGCATTTCAGAAATTCAGCCTCTTCCTAGAACAGTCTAGGACCTATTAAGTGCATCTAAGGAACAGTAAATCTTCCTCATAGAAAGTCTTTTCATATTCATACAAATAGGATGAGCAATAATTTGCAGTTTTGTGTTTGGCACAGGATATCATATTTCTTATTCTACTGCTTTGTGTTGTTATATTTTTTACATATATAGTGATGTAATGTCATTCTACTTTGTTTTTACTTTCATAAGATAATTCTAAAAATGAATAACATTCATTTTTGCAATACTTAAATACTGTTTACAAAATTTATGCTTTTAAAAGGAAACAGAGAGAATTATGTCAACTTTTATTCACAAGACTTCAATTTTTCAGTATTTCTATTAACTAATATTTTCCAAACTAAATTTCTAAACTCTGAAAAGCTACATGATGTTAACAGTACTGTCTAAATGTTTTGGGATACATCAAATTTAATACACAAACTAAATCAGCTACACTCCTTAAAAACTTCTAAACGTATTTATATTTTTTGTTTACACTGAATTGAAAAATTAACAATTTATTGTAAAATATCTTTGAAGATAAAGTATCAAAAGAATAGCAAATCGTATTATACATTTTAGGCAAATGCAACCTAATTTTCAAAATACATATTATTTTTCCATTTAAAGATTCTAATATAAGTATTTATATACCTCTTCTGCAGTTCTTGATTCTAAAGTAATTGCTGTACTCTGGAATGCTTTTTTACTTATTCCAAACCTCTGACAATTGTATATAATTAATTTGTCTTCTTCACTAATAGTCATAAAGAAAGAAAATTAAAATATACATTAGAATGTATATTATGATAAATACATTCAAAAACTACATAGAATATAAAATTGATAAAACAGTGTATATATGTTGTAGTTACAAAATTTGGGAACTATAACATATACAATACAAAGTCCAAGATCTGGACTCTTCGGGACGGCGGCTCCGGATTTGGGATTTTTCCAGACATTAGATCATCAGTTAAAACAAATCTAGTAAGATGGCATGTAGAAAATATAAAGTCAAAAATATGAAATCACGATTTATAAAATAATGAAGCATTTATGACCTAAAGGGTATCAAAATGTATGAAAAAAGCTTAATATTTATTTTTTTACTTTATTAAATATTTCTTTCAATGTAAGTTTAGTTGCTTTGTTTTTTGTGTTGACACTTCCCCTTTTTCTTTTATAGACAGATATAATTTCTTGTTCAGTTACAAAGTTCCATTGTTCAAGCCCTACAATTGTTGTGTCAAGAATTTCCACCTTGTGAATCGAAATATTTTGGTTTTCATTAACCTCTGTCACTTTTTTCACTATCAATAGTGATATTTTTGGAATCTAAAACCATACTACAGATTGCACCATTTGTTAATTGATTGATGATTGAGGTAGTGTCATTGCAATGAAAAACTTCTATTACATCATCTTTATTACCACTTCTCTACATTTCTTTATAAATTCCATTAACTGGAAAATTTTACCTTTGGTCTGCGGTATCCTAAAACTTTCAAATTTGCAGCTATCTTTTTTATCATTCTCACCATGAAATATGGTAGCTGGCCATAAATTATGCCAAGCATTTTTTAAAGTATCTGGAGACACATCCTCCCACGATTTTCCGATGCTCCACACAGATGTTATGCTAAAATATTTCACAAATTCCTGAAAATTCAATTAATCAAGAAATTTAACATGGACTTAAAAAATGCTGTATTTGCATTTCAATGTGTGCACTATTCCGATATCTATAGGCTGAATGACGGACGTACAATTTGGAGGAAAGAATAATATGGATACATTATCTTTCACTAAAACTTTAAGCGAAGTAAGAACCCTACAGTTGACTACTGTCAGGTCAATTTTTGCATCCTCATGTAAACCAATCGAATTCATATGTTTGCCGAGCCTCGGGTATGAAATGATTTTCAGACCAATCATTCATTAACGCTTGTGTCATCCATGTTCTTTTACTTGCACTATATTTAATAGGAGAATCTTTACTCCTTTAAATGCTTGATGCCGTGTATTCTTTACAATTACAAAAAGTTTATACTTGTGCATTCCTGCATGCTAAAATTTCCGTATGCTAAAATTGTTAGTCTCGCTTTGGAATCTTTGGCACCAGTTGAAGATTTTTCTCTGGAGGTTGCCAAAGTATTTTGCGGTACATATTGCCCGAAAAGACGACTTTCATCAGTGTTATAAATTTGTTCTGGAGATAATATTTCACAATTAGTGAGTTCAATAAACTCATCTGCAAATAGTTCAGCAGTTTCAGTATCAGCTATCATGAGACTGGCGACGAAAGACATGTTGTTCCACTCCATGTCGTCTTGCTTCTGCCATGCACTGAGACAATTAAGCCTGAATTGTATTACTTTAGTTATTTATTATACTTATGTCTATTTCTTGTGCATGCTTAAGCATTTACTGTTGTCCTGAAAAAAATAAATTCCCACATATACTTAAGGCCGGCGTTAGTTACTGCCTGATGAAGTCCCTGTGAGTCCTAAATTCTGCTACCAGGCACCTCCCTAAGTTCTAAAATTTTGCTGCTCCTAAATTCTGGGTCCTAGTGCTTTCCCAAATTCTAAAAATTTTTCAAATAGCATTAATTGTTATCTTTTAGCCTACGAGTACCATTAACAAAATCTATTTTTAACATATGTAAAGAAATTTTTCTTAAAATTTTTCCTCGTCAGCATTTCTTACATATTTAACTTAAATCTGTAATCATTGCTAGGCATAATGTCAACATAAATGGTTACCATACTCTATGTTATACCAATATAAAAAAAAATTGTTTATGCATCTCTGTACGAGTCCTTACTCAATTTATCATGTGCTGATAATCATGAGGCAATGAAAGCAAAATATGATAAATAATGATTCCCCAGGTTGGCGTCAAGGATATAAAATATTAGTTGGTGTAAAATCAACAATGTTTCTATGTAGAATGTTTCGGTTTGAGATGCATGCCAAATAAATAAGCAGCTATGGAGTCAAATTATTCATCACACAAATTTATGCTAAAATGATTATTTCTTCAGTAATGAGGTATTTTATTTAGTGGTGAAGTGAAATAAAGGAAAGGGACTTTCTGCATGGTTTATTATGGAGAAAAAAAATCAAATGCAAATGTGTAAAAGCATAAAAAAAAAAAAAAAAAAAAAAACTAAAAGGGGGGGGGGGAAAAGACTGTTGGTGGCTTTGAGGTCCAGATTTTAGATCATCCCAGATACTGGACATCCCAATCTTGAACTTTGTACTGTACATATAACTATATATACAAGAAATTCATTCATACATTTTCACTTCTAATAGCATTACCATTCTAATACCATCAACTTCTAATACCATGCCATACTATTTTATGGCGCCCTATTTATCAAGAATACAAAAGATGAATGTCGAAAAAAGAAATTAACATGACAAAAATTGTAACCCTTACTACACTGCTCCTGGCTCTTTATAATAACCTCAGGGGATACCATTTAAATTTAAAAAAAAAAAAAAAAAAAAAAAAAACCAAAAATTATTCTAAAAGCAAAATCTTTGCTGTTTTTTGTGCCAATAATTTTTGAGTTTCTGAACCTACTTTATGTAGAAGCATAAAAATTAATTACGGATTCCTAGCTTTTGGTGAATATGCTAGATTCCTAGCATATTCACCAAAAGCTTTTATGCCCTTAATAGTCAGTGAGTAATCTACGTAATCTTTATTATAAACAACATGAAGCAATATTCTTCACTCTTCACATGTGAATAAATAGTTAGTGGGAACCTTTTTTGTAGAAAACTGAAAGTGGACAAACTTGTGGTGAAATAAGAATGATCTCATTTAAATCTGTGGAGCTATTGCTGAAGGCATTTAGGTGTTAAATCTGTTTTGGCAGGATTGTGAGTTAGTGGAGCTAAAGGCTTTATTTCAGAACCCAAAGTTGCGCAACACAATCGGCATGAAATTCATCAGAACATTTTCCTTAATTATGCAGATTTTTCAGCATCTTTAATGGTTGTTTAATTGTAGGTATGGACCTGGAGTGAATACATTCCATCTTAAATTGAATTCTCATTCCCATTCAAGATGGGTTGTCTCAGCATCAGAAGACAATGCAGGTTCAGGAAATGCGGCTGTTCTTTCAGCTTGACGATTTGTGTGCAATGGAAGCACTCAATAGAGATGCATTTGCTTTATTAATTTAGTATTATATGTTTTGACTATTATTATCTGCTTCTGATTATTATATGGTAGATTATTGTATGTAGGGTCTTTTACAAGGCTTCCAGATAGCTTTATTTTCAATTTGCCTCAAAACGGAAGACTTTGTTTAGATTTTCATAAATATGATGCTCATTTACCAGAAGAGCAATTAAAAACTGAAGATGTTAAATCCAAGTATTTTAATTTAAAACTTCAGTATCATGTTGCAACACTGCATAACACATCTCTTTCAAATATTCACAAATTTCAGTATTTGACTGGATTACTTGCTGATGAACCAGTTTCTATAATTAAATATGTTCTATTATCAAATTATTCTTAAGAAGAAGCATAGACAAAACTGCATGTTAGGTATGATAAAAAGAAACAAATGAACAAACATTAATCAAAATATTTCTGGATCAAAAATGCATTTTGCAAGTAGATAATATTCATTTACAGCCTAACTACCATAAATTAATATTACCTACTTAATATCTAGTACTACAGCAGTAATGAATATAAATGGATGCTGTAACTGAAGCCCAAAGATAGCCCAAGTCAGAATGGATCTCTAAGTTGTTTATTTCAGGTGATTTTATTCGATGTTGCTCTAGTGAATTTGAGTTCAACTTCACCAAATGAAAACCTCTAGCATCACATTCTGTTAATTTCTTAATACAGTCAAAAGTCGTTAATTCGGACACCCATAATCCGGAATGATCTATAATCTGGACCTCAAAGCTACAAACTTTCTTACGGCTGCGAATATGTTTGTGCGAATGCGCATTTAATGTGTAACGGACGGTATAAGCTAAGCTAAAATTATCTAATTCAGTTAATGTTGCAGATTGCGTTGTTCTTTAATCTTCGAATTGGATCCGGCTTATTATTTTTTGCAGACTATTAGAGCAATTTCATAAAAGTAAGTTTGAACTTTCGATTATGTCAAATAGAATTTCCGATATATATTTACTAATATGTAATTTGTATCTACAAAGCAAAAGTATGTTTTGAAATCCGAAATCTGTTTATCAATTTCACGCTGCGGATTGGAAGTTGATCTGTCAGCACTATCCTTATATTCAGGGCAGATGTTTTTATTTTATTTGGCTTATAATTCCTTACTAAGTGTAGTATTTCATCTCGATGTACTCCTTCTTTGATATGATTTAAATCAAGTTCCTCGTCATTATAATTTGCTTCCGATAGTGAAGAAAGCAACCCAGAGGTTATTGAAAACGAAAACATTTCGATTGACAATTAGTCAGTATTCTCAACACAGCAATTATAGGACTTGAACAGCGGAACTTTGTAACTAAACAAGAAATTATGTCTGTTTAATAGAATTAAAGAGAAAGTATTATCACATGAAACAAAGCGACTTACATTGAAAGAAATGTTTAATAAAGTAAACAAATAAATATTAAGCTTTTTCTTTTTGTAATTTTGATACCCTTTAGATCATAATTGTTCTTTATTTCATAAATTACGGTTTCATATTTTTAATTTTGTAATTTCTGCATGCCATCTTACCAGATTTAAACTGATGATCTATAATCCGGAATCGCCGAAGTCCCGACGAGTCCGGATTAACGACTTTTGACTGTAGCTGTAACTGCTTCTTGAATAATACTTCAACCTATCATCAAGCAGTCTATATAAATTTTTGTTATTGTTATTATTCATGATACTGTTGCCAATTTTGTACATAGATAGATGATTTTACGACATTATATGTGAAATTGTCGTATATTTCTGTGTAATGTAACATGAAAAGCTTGAGAGAAATGATGCTCTGCTGGAAAAATAAGAATACAAGAGGAAGTCTGTTTAACATTGAGTAAATGGCTATCTCGCTAATTTGGTGAGATACTGCCAAGGTTGCAATGATTTTGGCGACTAAATTTTATCGCCAAATTTGGCGAGATCGATAAAAGTCGCCAAACTTGGCAACACTTTTGCTCTGATCCCTGAATTACAGGGATTACTTGTATAATGGATATTGTAATTGAATAAATAATTGTTTCTTGTATTAGCTGTAACCATATCCAGCCCTCATATACCTTCCAGTAATTTCAAGAAGCAGGAACTAATAGAGCTCTCTCGGCAGCAGGGAGAAAACTATATAACACCGGAAAGAGCATCAGTTTCCCAGTAATTTGTTAGTTGTTAGTTCAGAGTGACTAAACAAGAAATTATGTCTGTTTAATAGAATTAAAGAGAAAGTATTATCACATGAAACAAAGCAACTTACATTGAAAGAAATGTTTAATAAAGTAAACAAATAAATATTAAGCTTTTTCTTTTTGTAAATTTTGATACCCTTTAGATCATAATTGTTCTTTATTTCATAAATTACGGTTTCATATTTTATATATAATCTATATAAGGTATATTAAGGTATCTGTGAAAGCTTCGGCTTTTAGATGTGCTTAGCATTCCATTGTGTTTAATGTTCCTGGTGGTCTGAAGTGTTACTACTGATTATGGTCTGTGATACTGTGAAGAGCTGTACGAGAATTCTGAGGAAAGGTCCAGAAATGTGAAGCATTTCTTTTAATAAAATTAATTTTATCAACCTATCATCAATTCTGTGTGCATTCAAACCATATGCCTGCAACAATACAATTGGTAATTCCTTTTCATAATCTAAACCAGTGGTGCCCAACCTGTAACTTGATGAAAGCCAGTTTAGAATTTAAAGCATTTTGGCAAACCATAATTATAAACTAAAACTCTAAAAGCAGTGTTAATTGGTGACCCTCTATTCATACACTGTTCGGAAATTTTACATGAAAGGATACTGACCTTTTTTTTTAAAATAAAATTTATTTATCAGTTTCTAATAATGAGCTCACAATATCTAATAGCACAATTTCTTATGAAATCTCCACAATCAAATGCAACAAGCTTTAAGACATCCAGTGAGTTACAGAAGGCAATATTTTTTCCATGGCATGATTTCCCCTTTTCCCCAAGGCATGATTTTGAATTTGTTCTTTTGGTTCAATGAAATTTAATTTTATACTACTGTATAATACAACTCCTCCCTGCATGCAAACTTTTATTTTTTTTTTTATTTTATTATTTTTTTTTTTTTTGGCATTCAAACATAAAATTAATTTAATTTTGTGTGTGTGTAAAATTTGTCTTCTATTTATGCATTAATAAAAGTCAAAATACCAATTTTCCACAGAATCTTAACTCAGAAGGAATCAGGGATTTATGTTATTCTGTTCTTTCACTTACTTCAAGTTCATTCATAAGATATAAGAATGAAATAAATAAAATAGAATGAAAAGATAATTCAGTTCTTCAAAATAATGGTCTAGTTTTAGCACTTATAAAATTTTAGAATTTCACGTTTGTGCAATAGTGCTCATACTTGTGATTTTTGAGCCAAAGATAAATAATTCTTCTAAAATGAACCAATAGTCTTTTCTATCCTTTAACTATGTATTTTCTAATGCCTTCAAAATTCTTTTCATCAACAATGTAAATCAAAATTTGCTAATCTTTGCATTTAAACTAGTAAATAAAAGATTTATTGAATTTTATTCAACAAAACTGATTTATCAAACCTTAATTGTTGTTTCCTTTGCTAAATTTTGCAATTCCAGATGCATACACTGAATTTATATTATAAAGTAGTAGTAAGAAAATACAGAATTTAGACAGTGTTTTATGAATACATTATAATACACAGCACTACTCATCATAATCAATATTTTGTCATTTATATTTATTCAAAAAAATGTAGAAATCATGAAATTAAATTAAGAGAAAATTCAACCACAATTTGACACTGATTTCAGATGAAAAGACTCACTGGATTCCCTGGGAGACAATCAGACATCGATTCTCTCTCTCTCTCTCTTCATCAATTATTCCCAAATCTCTCTTTAACATCGTATTTGTTCTAATATGTTACTGAATGTTTTGCAGCCTTTCTTCAGCAGAACACTTGTTCCTAGTGAAGCAGACTTCAGTGAGATAGTTTAATGAAAAACACTGCACTTTTCCATTTGAAATCTGTGCTGAATTAAGATTGAATTTTGTCCATTTGTAGAATAAAAGTGTAGGAAAATCTGTACCATTTCAAAAGCAGAAATATTAGTAAGCTTTCAAAATTAAAATCTGAGTAATTTTACTTTTTTGATAGCTTCATAACACTTAATACAAATTAAATATTCTACTCTTTCTACTAAATATATATACAATCAGTTTAGTAAAAAGTTTAAATTGCTACAAAAAACCTGTAGGTTTTATCTACAGGTATATCTCTGAGTTCTAAGGCAAATACTATAATAAGGAAATATCTTCTAGAATTAGAGAAAGTATTCATTTATGACAAATGTAATCATCTACCAAATGAAATTATTTCTTACCTATTCCATTTCACAGTCTTACCAGAAGATTCTTTCACCTGGCCTTGACAGATTAACTGAGAGTTATCTTTACTTAATTGCTTCGATTCATCAGAAGCTCCTTCATCTTGATTATTCAATTGCTTTGAATGGCCAATTAACTCTCTGAGGTGACTGAAATCTGATGGTAAACTTTTATTAGCAACGTTGGTAACAGTAGGAAAAACTGTATCTTCAATAACATCACAAGGAAGCTTTGAGCTTGATGGAAGAGTATCATCAGAACATGGAAGTACAGGTCTTTGCTCTGTAAAGCTAGTTCTTTGTAGATCTTTTTTTGAAGAATTAGTCTGCAATAAAAATAAAATTATTAATTTTATCCTACATGTGGAGACACACAGAAAGGCAATTTTTTGCACATTCACACTATGAGTTTCTTCTCTTTCTCAAATTCCAGGTTAATCAATTAACCAAACATACGTTTTCAGAGCTCTGTAAGTGGAATGTTACAATGTTACCCATTTATTTAGTTCATATTAAAAAAATAATGGGCTTTAAATTACAAAAACTTCTCATCTATGTATTAAGAAATATTATTTACTCAAGATAATATTTCTTAATACATAGATGAGAAATTGATTTGTTGAAATATCATATCAATTAAACACCATCTCTGTTGGAAAATTTTTATCTGCTTGCTCAGGAATATGACCTTGCATCTGAAGATTTTATTTAACCTTTGAAACTGCAGTCCTGATATTTTACAATAAGTCTTGCTGTTTATTGTTTGTCGCTTTAAGATTTAGTTTTTATCTGTCTTCTTTTTGGTACTGTAGCATCTCCTATGTTTAATCTTCATTTTATCTTTAATTTCTGTATGCTTTAATTTTCGTAATTTGGCAAAATAATTTTGTACATAAGATCATAAATATAGAACGGTTCTTTTAAAGGTTATAAAGATTTTTTAAAGTTTGCAGATATGAGTTACAAACGATTAGTTTTTTTTTTTTTTTTGTCATGTTCAACAATGAACAAGTGATTGAAAAATGGGTGAGATACCCATAACCTATCACATATGCCTGTAACTTTAAACTTAACATGCTGAAAGATAGCACCAGGATAAGTATGCTGCAGCAAAAGTGTAAGATGGTTTCGTTGCAGCAAAGTTATAAACACTAAATGAAAGGACCACAATTACGGCTACGAATCAAATTAAAAAGAAAAACTCTTATCTTCATCACTGTGATTAATTTTCTAATGGATATCTACAATTTTAAACTCTCTAAATATGATAATGAATTTTAAAAAATGCACCTCATACAGAGCGATAACCTAAAATTACACTGCAATTAGGAAAAATGTTAATATGACACATTAACAGCTATCAACTTCTATGAAAGTGCAAATTTTAATCAATATTCCATAACATTTTAAAATCTGCTTTTATGAGCATATTGGGCATGAGAAACAATAACGGTCAAGTAGCCATAATATATCGAAACAATGGCAGGCAGACAACTACTCAATGAAGAGATGGTTGATAACAGTCAACATAAAGACTATGGATTGGAGATTTTCTAAATGCCGTGCAACATATTCATATGAACAAGATCAACTTTAGCTAATTGAAAAGCCCATTTTTAACCATAAATCACTAAGTCATAGTACAGCCTAGAGCAGCAAATACACAGCAAACAGCAGCATTCTGCTTCTCAGGAGGCACTTCGTAAGGACTTTCATGATTCAATGTTTTTAAACACTTTTCCCTTACGTACTGAGTACGTGGAATAAAAGTTAATTTTTTATCGAACCTCACGACAAAAATTTTTACTTCAAATCAGATTGGAATCAATAAATCCTTCAAGGTGAAGCTCAGGCTCAGGATGAAGATTTTATTTTTTGTAAAAGTGCATGTAAACAATCTGTTTCAAAAGCATTAATCCATGTTTCTTTGACCATATACTGATCCTGTTAAAAGTGATCTGCAGTTGTCTGCCCATATACCTCATATACTGAACAACGTAATACTGAGAACAAAGCCTCGAGGAACACCCTCTTCTTGTATGAAAATATTTGAAGAAAACAGAGCTAAATCCTTACTTGAAAAGTACTTGCTTAAAAGGTTTGCTTTAGTTAATTATGGCAAAGTATACTAGAGCTAACTACCTAAAGGAAAGGATGAAACACTTTCTGAGGGAACCTGGCTTGTTTACATGTTACACACAGGGGAAAACACGAAAATGCCCATGCAGCCAGCCTGTTTGCCTGGAATCAAACCCAGATCAGGAGGTCAGGAACTATCAGTGTTCAATGATTTTACCACTTGGTCGCAGGTAGGCTCACCTGCCTTAAAAGAAGGTCATATGAAAATCGGCAGTTGCTGTGTAAGTCACTGGCATGAAGACCACACAGAATGACTGGTTAAAAAAAAAAAAAAATTCTCCAATACATGAAACTCTTGCCACCTATCCGCTCAAGCAGTTGAAATGAAATTTCAGATATTTTTATTCGAAGGTATGTGCTAGAGATTGGGATGATTCATGGCTACGGTGATCTTCCCAACTTCACTCTGATGGATTCCTGGTTCTCCAGTTATCTGAAATCTAAGGTGTACACATCAGATCCACAAGATTTGTCAGAATTGAAAGATGCCATAAAACCTGAAGTTACACAGTTTCCTCCTGCAATGTTTTGTTCATGATAGTTGTCATCAATCTTCCGCATGTAATGCATTGTTGTCTGCAAAGGTGAGCACATTGAAAACTTATAATTTCAATAAAAGTTTTCCCTCTTTCTCTCTTGTGCTGTTATTGGTCGTTTACAATGCTCTTTTTTGCAAATGTTTGACACTGGCAATTTTCATCATATATGTATTGTTCTAATGCTTTTTATGGTTTTCAATGCGCTGATCAATTTGCACAGGAAAAAAAGTGGATGCTGCCATTCGAAATTTCAAAATGTTTTCACTGTCACTGTAACTTTGAAAGCTCTATAGTTTGAAATCTTCACAATCTCAAATATATACCTTCAGATAACAATATCTGAAATTTTGATTGTTTGAACAGATAGGCTGCTAGGGGTTCATATATCGAGATAGTTTTTTTATGACCACCCTGTATATCATGGACTGTTAAGCTTTTTTTCTGTATCAAAACAGACATAAACAAGATGGTTTCTTTTCCCAACTTATAATTTCAATAAAAGTTTTCCCTCTTTCTCTCTTGTGCTGTTATTGGTCGTTTACAATGCTCTTTTTTGCAAATGTTTGACACTGGCAATTTTCATCATATATGTATTGTTCTAATGCTTTTTATGGTTTTCAATGCGCTGATCAATTTGCATAGGAAAAAAAGTGGATGCTGCCATTCGAAATTTCAAAATGTTTTCACTGTCACTGTAACTTTAAAAGCTCTATAGTTTGAAATCTTCACAATCTCAAATACATACCTTCAGATAACAATATCTGAAATTTTGATTGGTTGAACAGATAGGCTGCTAGGGGTTCATATATCGAGATAGTTTTTTTATGACCACCCTGTATATCATGGACTGTTAAGCTTTTTTTCTGTATCAAAACAGACATAAACGAGATGGTTTCTTTTCCCAAAGGCTTTACAGATGAAGGTTTTCAACTATAACTTATCATCAATGGTCATTCTACCTTTATGGAAACTACTCTGATATAACGAGATTACATAATTACATTGCTCTTTTCCAAGTAAAATTGTCAGTGGCTTACAACTTTTTCAAACAGCTTGCAAACTGTGATAAAATTTAATGATAAGGAAATTTATTTAATTTGTATGAATAATTGTTCTTTAAATGCATTTGATTGATATAACAAAGTAATTGCTTTTAATAGATGAGACTTCCATCATGCTGTCTCAGCTTCCACAGCTTTATTCACAGGACTTATGGGGATGATTAGATGAAGTCCAAGGCTCTAATGGTTGGAGTGTATCAATAATGACTTCAGCATTCTTGAAATTACCAAATAGAAAACTCTCATCAAACAGAGAGCAGAGCTGAAGAGGGTTCTAAGAAAGGCCAGAGCTCATCCTGGGTTATCGTATCACTAAAAGAAAAGAGTTATGACAACAAAGATGAGTTTCATATAGAATGGAACCTGCTGAAGAAACAACAGGAGAATCAATTCATTAGGAACTTCATGACCTTTGGCATGATGCTTCATTACTTGCAATAGTTCTATTAACTTGCAATTATCTGTTTTCCATTCAAAAGTTCCTTGATTTGTAGAGAAATTTCTTTACCACATTTGATAAATTCCATACAAAAGATTATCTCATGATCAAAGAAATAGCTTCCAGAAGCAAATGCAAAACAATATAATAAAATGTTAGCTTTATTCTCAGTCAGAGCTCTAAGTTTAATGAGTTCAAAAGCATTTTCATATGCTAAAAAAACCATGACATTGGATAAATTAAATTATAAAGAGGAAAAGTGGTGTTTTGTAGAGAAAAGTACATCACACAACTTTGTGGCATATTCATCCAACCAATACATCAGCCCAGGAAGGATTAAAATCTGCACTATAGATTTATTATAATGAAGACAAAAGTATTTTGATAGCAAATGATACCATGCTTAGAAATTTTTCAATGATCAAAACAGCACAGCATTAAACAATTTTTTTATGACTCTACAAACCACACTTTGAAGTCCTCACGCATTATATAATTTCATATGTCCATTTTTATACTACTTTTCTCACCACTAAAGTAAAAATACTTTGAAATGAGAAATTTAAGTAACATATAGCAAATTTTTGCGAGCAATTTTAGATCCAGGTGAGCTTTACAATATCTACTTAAAATGCAATTTTATTTTAGAATAATACTTCAACTGTTTTACAGTATAAAGAATAAAAATGTTTAATTTAAAGGAAATTTTTTTAAATAAGAAATGGGTGTATTTATCCTATCATATTATAAGTCAAAAATCATTATTCCTCCCCTCTGTGCAACATTCTGACATGTAAGACAAAAAAAGTGACATATTTAATATTCCAAATTATGCAAAACATAACAAAAGTAAAATAGCTGATTTTTTTTTTCTTCTTTTTTTTGCAATATTATCTTCAAATATTACTTGGTGGTGTTGGTGTATTTAATTATGGCAAAGCACACTAGGGCTATCTGCCTAAGGGGGAGGAATGCCTTTCGTGGAAGACTTTCTAAGGGAAACTGGCTCGTATACATGTTACACATGGGGAAAACCACGAAAACGCCCATGCAGCCAGCCCGTTCGCGGGATTCGAACCTCGGACCGAACTACCAGTGTTCAGCAACTTTACCGCTCGGCTGCTGGTGGGCTCCAAATATTACTTGGAAGAAAAATAACAGTTACATAATATTTTTAATCAGAAAGAATAAATTTTGAAAAAATCACTCTATGTGAGAGAAAAATAAGTTAAAAAATTAACACTTTCGTATTATACATTAAGAAGTAAAAGAAACCTACTTCTAGTTTATTGTTGAAGTCAGCTGCTGCAGAAGTTTTTAGATTTGTCATTTCACTTGTTTGCTGGATTTTGGAACAAATTTGTGTGGTGGCACTGGTTTTTTCTTTACAAGATGATTCAGGAGAGAGATTATGATACAGTACTTGTGCTGGTTTAAGAACTTTTCCAGTTTGAATATATATTCGTCCATCTAAAAACTGAAACATAAATAAAAATTTTAGTTCACACACTTCCTCTAATGTCAATATTTCAACTTAGAAAAAGTTTACGAAAGGTAAATTTACATTTTCCACAATCCCTTCTTCACAAACCTCTCTCATACAATCTAAAATCTCAGAATCTAAAAACAGAAGTATAGTTGATTCATATGAACACAGTTAATGAAATGCGATCCCAGTTGCACTATTCTAGTGATCAGGTTATGGTGATCTTTGAGTGAAATTTTGCTAGCATGAGTTCACTACACATGGAAATGAAACTGCTATGAAACAGATGTTGAAAGATTTAAAGAAATGATCAAGTTCATAAACTGTAATAACATTTCTTGTAATGATGACAGAACAGCAAGACAGCCAATAAAAAAGATATTAGCCACTCATATGATGCTGTATCGAAAAGTAACCATGCAGCAGTTCTTAGGAAGTCACCCTCTCAAGCCCTCATGCCTTTTTCTGCTTCACTGGGGAAACATGTTAGGTTAGATTATCTGTATATAGCAAAGCACATAAGGGCTATCTGCCTATGGGGAAGGGGTGTCTTAGTGGAGGACTTCCTAAATACTAGCTCATATTTATGTGTCACAAAACCAGCTTGTTCAATTGGCCCAGTATTCAGCTGTCTTAGCCACCTGGTCACCAATAAAGACATTGAGGTATCACAGCTCTTGCTCATTTCTGATTCTCAGCTGTCAGTGTGTTGACTCGCTTCAAGCAAAAACCTTAGTGATCAGTCCAACAATGCAAAACCATTAGCAGCCAAAGGTTTGCTGGGAAAACAGGGATCTCTCAGAATCATAAAATTTAGATGGTCATCTGAATGAGTAGAAGAAGAGGGAGTATTGATATGATACAAAACTGCTAAATCATTAGGTTTGTTTTAATTACAGCAAAACACATGAGGGCTATCTGCCTAAGGGGAGGAATGCCTTGGTGGAGGACTTTCGACGGGAAAATGGTTCGTATACACATTACATATAGGAAAAACTATGGAAACATTCCTGCAGTCAGCCTGTTTGCCGGGATTTGAACTCAATACCTAACTCAACAGTGTTCAACTTCACTGCTTGGCTGATGGTGGGCACTAAACAATATGAGTAAAGTGACATTTATAGAAGAAACTAGCAAATAAGGATTTAATCTAGTAATCTAAGGATAGGAAAAGTTTTCATATGGTTTCTATTGCTGCAATTATTGTAGCTCAGAATACATATGAGAAGATTCAGGAATTTTTTTAAAGCATTTCTTCAAAGGTTATGAATTAAAGAATTTCACTAATGTTAAATTCATGATGAATACCACAGAAGTGCAATGAGGCACCCTGAAAGCAACAATAAAAGTTAAGTTGCACAAGCGTTCCTTCACCAGAGGACACTTCTGACATCAAGTACAATATTAGAAGCAGGTGATAATGAGTTATTGTGAAGTAGTGAACGAATTAATTTATTACAAGCAGAAAAGAAATATACATAATAGTTTTGCTCAATATCCAAAGTTAAGCTGTTAAATTTTGAACAAAAATCATAATTGAAACATTCTGCATATAAATTTTAAAAAAATCCTTCATTTTATTTTAGAATACAATTTCAAAATATCAAAAATCATAATAAAATCATATTTTTAAAATAAAAATATCCAGAGCTTAATCAGTCCCCTTTTTTTCTTTTTGCTTTATGTTATGCTAACCATAACCCCTATAGTGCATAATGCAATTCAGACACTGCCTAGTGGGAGGTTCAGAAGGGTATACTGTAATTTTTTACTTACTTAAATGGCATAGAAAATGCTGTACTTATCAGACACTATACAACAAATACATATTCATTTACACAGCTGGATTCTGATAATAATCCATGACTGTATACTATGTGAATACCTGTGACTCCATACTCAAGTTTTTCTTATATGTATATGAAAATTAAACTATATTTGTAGTATATTTTGATTGAAGAAGCAAATTAATTTTGTTATTGAATATTTAGCATTTTCTGCACCTGTACCTACACTCTAAGACAGTGGTGCCCAGCCTTGCGCTCGCCAGCCCGATTAGGTACTATGAACAAAAAATATTTTAAAAATAACAATTCATTTATATTTCTTAATTGTTAAAATATGATTAGCATTTATAGCCATAAGAGATATCTTGCAAAACATTATAAAATAATTGATTGCTGACTGATGAACTTGATAGCAAACATGGAATCTTATTGCTTCATTCCGATGTTAGATGGTTCAGCAGGGGAAAAGTACGTCAACGATTTTTAGAACTACTTTCACCAATAAATCAGTTTTTGGAATCCGGAAACGAAAGTTATAAAGAATTGGACAGTAATAATTGGTTATCTGATCTGTATTTTCTCACGGATATAACAGCTAAACTGAACAAACTGAATGAAGATCTCCAGGAAAAAGGAAAAACCCTTTTTCAATTGACTGGGACTATAACTGCTTTTCAGATAAAGTTAAATTTGTGGATAAATCAGACAGAAAAAATTTCATTCATTTTTCAGAATTTATCAAGCCATATTAATAACCACAAGGCAATTGAAACAGAGAAATACTCAGGAAAACTAAATGCACTGAAAAATAATTTTGAAAAACGCTTCTCTGATTTCCATAAAGTTCAACCAATATTATTATTCATCTCAAACCCATTTGCCGAAATTAATGTTTCAGATGTATCACATAAGACTGAAAATACGTTTAACAAAAATGTTGATGTTTTAGGAAATGTGCTTGTGATAGGCCAAAGGTTGGGCAGCACTGCTCTAAGATAAAAGACATGAAAATATGATTTAAAAAAAGGTTGGTAAAGAAAAATAAAAATTTCAATCTCTCTCACATCTCTTGTTTAGCAGTTAATCTGTTTCTCTATACAAATCTAGTGGCAAAAAAAAATGTTTTGTTTAAAAATATAAGGCAAAACTACTATTTTTAACTGCACAATTACTACTAGTTAATCATAAAAATAAACTATAACTACAAACATGAAAGAACTTTTATGAACCTTAATTCCACACTTTATGCAATGCCTTGTTCTGTTTAGCATTCGAGTCTCAGTTGAACTTTTGTGGCAATCACAGGGACAATCTTTACCTCCGTATGGATCAGGTGTATCAGGTATAACGAGTTCTTCACAACTATCCATGCTAGAATTGTCTTCATCAGTATTAGGAATAGTGATGTCTTCAAAATCAGTCATTAAACTAGATTAAGAAAATATTTGGATCATTACAATAGGAAATAAAAATATTCCAACTGTTCCATTCTTTATAAATTCAGAAGCCAATAAAAATCGTACATGACCTTAATACCGATTCTGTTTCAAAAATTTCACTAAAAAACAGAAAAAGTAGGCATTCAGAATGCTTATAAGTAAAATGTTTCATGAAAGAATGCACTTTCAATTTGAATATCAAATAACTTGCATGATGTAAAACTAGTAATGGTATATGTACTCTAAATGACTAAAAAAACTCACCTTTAAGATATTTTTTCCATTTAAAATTATCCCTTTTATACGATCTTTTTAAAAAAATTACTGTATACATATTTAAGGAAATTTTATTTAGGAACCAAAAACTTGAAACTTTATTGCATGTATAAGGCTTTTGCAGCACAGCAACTGTAATAGCTAACTTTACATGTACTCTATGTAAGAGTTCAGGTGTACACCAAAAAACATCATGGAGAGAATAATGCAAGGAAAAAATATCGTATCACAAAACATCATGGGAGAAAAGAAAGAAGAAAACATTGCAGTTCTAAAACTCTGTGGTATAAAACACTGTTGTCAAAAATAAAGTAGTTCCAAACTATCACAGTTTAAAAACTTGCAGAAAATATGGGGGTAAAAATAAAGCATCTACAAATAAACCTATGTAGTAACATCGCATAATGATTTGTGAGGGCAAGGAATGAAAAATAATTTTACCTCTGCATTTCATATTTTTGAATTAAATATTTTTTTGGTAAAAAGGAATGAAGGAAATTTGTGCTTTCAAAAACTGAAAATGATAAGAAAATTAATGCTATGCATAACAGTTGATAGAATTTCAAACTTAAGTAGTTAGCTATTAAAGGTCATTATTTAAATATTTATTCTCTTTTACATTCTCAGAAACACTAATTATCTTAAGAAGATAGTCACCAAAAGTATAAACTGTAAATATAAATTATTTCTGAGAAAACCGGGCATTTAATTTTCTATTGGGCTTTCCCAATGAATGATGTAAAAACGAATCAGTTTTCATTAATATTCTCCTGCTGAAACAGACACCATTAGCTGAGTGATAAAAATCGCTGAACACTGGTGCTTCAATACAGCAAACAAGATGGGTGCATGAGAATTTTGTGGTTTATCTGATGTATAATAAAGATACAAACCAGTTCCTGAGAAAATGCTCCCCAAATAGATCCCTCCCTTTAAACAGATAGCCCTTTAAACAGATAGTGTGCTTACCTAGTGAAAGATAAAGCTCCCCCCAAACATGTCACACCACAATTAATGAATCAACATCCAAACCATTAACTGCATGCTGTACACGAAAATGTTAATGACACTTTAAGAAGACAAACTGAAACAAAATAATTCTTAATTATTACTAAAAGAATATCAGATTAACAAAGTAGAAGAAAACTTTACAATTTAAAACAATTAATAAACAATTTTAATACAGATAACCTAATGCAGTTACTCATCTTCCCCTTCCTAATTCTTTTCTAGACTATATATGTCACAAAGACTACCAATACAACTTTATAAGAGATTAATTAAATAATGACTTTTAACTACAAAAGTTTAAAATTCTATTAATTGTTATGCAAAGCATCGATTTTCCACTCATTCTGAGTTTTCTAATGCTTAACCTTCCTTCTTGCTTTTTATGCAGCCTTCCCCAAAAATTTAAAAATACTTTTCATTCCTTCTTGTGCTCACAAATCATTATGCAAATATACATTCACAAATTTTAAAGCATGAAAAACATATGTCTGCAAAGTTATCATCATGTTATGATTTGAAGATACTTTATTTTTTACCACTGCGATGATGTTTTAAAATCACGACACATTTCTGATGTTTTTAAAACTGTGATACTTTAGTTTCAATGAGAATATTCCACATCCCAAGGTTTTTGACACTGTGATGTTTTCTCCTTGCTTTCTTTTCTTCCATGATATTTTGTACAACAATTTTCCTCTTTGTACTGATTTCTCCATGTTTCACTAGTAACCAAGGTTTACTTTTGAATCTTTTAACATAGATATAATAAAATGTATGTGAGATAACAATTATTTATTTTTTACAATGGTAAGTACAGGTATAATGGTTACAAAATCATATTAAAATTATTTTTAAAAGTAATTTGATTTTTCAAGACTGAAGTACCTAAAATATAACTGCAAGCCAAAAAGTAGCTTTTATAAAATAATTGTTGATTAATTTAAAACTTTATCATAGGGGTAAAATTACTCTTAACAGTTTTTTGCTGCTGAGATATCTATATCTATCTATCTATATATATATGAAATGTAATTTCTCATACATTATTTGTTTTGTGCAGCCGGGGCAACAGGAATGAGACAAATTTTGAAATATAAAGTGGTAGGTTTATTTTAGCATCCATCTCACAAGCGTTTCTTTTTTCGTACCTTGAGCAAAAGCCCTATTTATACTTATATGTGCATCACGAGGCTCATCCAATCAGCGATATTAATTGAAATCACGAGGTGACGCTATCTTCTCATCAGGAGTGTTCTTAAGGACTTTATGTAATATGACAGATTTATGAGTTTGGCGATTTGGCAGGCGCCAACAGGTTAATATATTTTATACTAAAGAAAGGATTTCGCCAAAATTTAGGAACAGGGATGCAATTTAGGTAGAGAATCGCCAACAAATTATTAAGCAATATTATTAGAATTTAATTTAATCAATTGATTTAAAAATATCATTACATATATATACCACTGGTTTCATTATTTATAAACTACTTACATTAAACACGAATAAAAATTAAAGCTTATCTCTAACATGAGAATTTTTTTTTTTTTTTTTTTTTTTTTTTTTTTTTTTTTTTTGTTTTTTTTTTTTAGTAATGCTAATCAAATGGTCAATTCTACTTATTTTATTATTCATTTATGCAAAATAATTTATTTCTCTGAGCTTCCTCACAGATTCATAAATAAATTTATAAATTTGTCAACAGGAAGATTAAAGATGTGTCACTCTAAAGCAGGGAAGAAAAACTTTCTGCTAGTCCCTTAAAAATACATTACAAAAACATTGATACTATACTATTCAGGTGGTGAAGCATCCGGGCAAAGATGTGACAATTCTTCCATTAAATGACTTTGGTTTCTTAATAATGGTTGCAGAGCATTAAGGACCACTGATGATGTCAGATCAGTTTGCCTTCTTAATTGGGCAAATGTTTTCAAAATTTTGAGAAGATGCTGAGGCTGATTAGAAAAATGTATCTGTAACAGCAAAAAAGATAATAAATATCTTTAATTAAACAACCAATAAAATATATTAATAAGCAATAAGGTTTTAGCCATTTTCTGAAGATGTATTGTTCTAACATCTTTTTAAAACCAAAACAGCATAAATAGGAAGAAATTTTTGCCATATATATATATGGAGAGAGAGAAAACACTTTTGAGCACACTCATTCTCAAAAAACTACCTACCAAACATAACTACTATGTTATACTAAACTACAAGCAAAAATAAAATTAGATTAACATACAGTAAAAGCAATAATGATACAGTAAATACATACTGTACATAAAAAAAATATTCCACAGTTTACTTTCTTACTCCAGACTTGGAAATAAATATCAAATGTGATGATGTAATAGAATGTACAGTAAACTTGGATATAAAAACAAGAAGAGGACTACATCATTAAACTGCCACTTGAATCCATCAAGGCAGGCAGATCACAGTCTATTACAAAGTCTTCCATGTCTGCATACCTCAGTATCCAAGACTCAGACTTTTCATTCCTTACAGTTAATGTAAAATGCTTGAAATATGCCTGAGTGAATCAATATTTTCTACCATAATATTTTATAACCAATTAAATATTTTGCCATCTGCCCAAAACCAAAATGACTTTTGAAAAATTACACGTTCTGCAATGACTAAGCAGAGCAACCAATGACTTTAAATTTTGTAAAAGCAACATCCCTGTTTAGATTTCTTTTCGCTAGCAAAAAATAATACTGAACATTATTTTACAAATTTTAATTTCTTTGTAAAAGCAAAATAATTTTTTAATTTTTTATATGAGAACATAGTTACTAATGCAAACCTTTAACAAAAGACAAACTGGGATAAAATGAACTTTAAGTGGCAAACACATATATACAAAATAAAGGATAAGAAAATGTGATGTATGAAAAAAGAATAACCTCTTCAACAAGAAAAAGTATGAACTACTTAAATTTTGTAACATATCAGCATGGATTTAGAAACAATTATGTGTTTAAAAGGGGTAGAAATTACAGTTTAAGATGGAATATGAATAATTGCAAATATTTGTAGGTTTTTAAAGCGCTTCTTTCAATGCTCAGACAGATAGAAATGAAATCCAAAAGTGAAAATATTCAAGGAAATGTGAAAGGTAAATTCTTGTATAGACAACAAAGCGTGACCTCAGTCTGTGAGCATCTGAAAATCACTGATCTAGTCTGTACACTGCAAACTAGCAGCCAAGTGATAAAGCTATATTTTGCTGAATTTTAAGTCATTTGTAGTGTCAAAGATGGTGATACAAAGCTTAACCAAAGATGAAGGAAAAGTAAATAATACTTAATAGAAAAACTAAATAATTCTCAGCACTTAATGTTAAAATGAAGACATTAGAAAGAATGCAGTCAGATTTTCAGAAGTAGCAGAATTTTACAATGCCATAAATTGTGGTGTAGATGTTTTATATCAAATGAAACAAAGTAATCTTTCATAAAAGTTATTTCTAGATCATGACCAGTTCAGATATTCTTATAATACTTTGGTTCTTGTTGCAATAAATGCATGATTTGTGCACAAAAAGTAACTATTAAAATTACCAGAAGAAGCACCTGACACTTGCAGAAGACCTTAGCAATAAAAATTAATAAAAGCTTCACAGAACATTATTTAGGAACAAAAGGCAAGTATTATATGATTCTGAAACTGAAACAAGTACTAAAAATATAAAATATTCTTAGCACTATATTAAAAAATGCATTAATCAAGCACCAGATGCCTAAAGTGCTCTGTGTATGGGAAAATATGTACGTCATGCTATTCTACAATCTGTACATGTATAATTGGGCATGGATTCGAATTTTGAGAAAACTTGGATGCATGTAAGTATGTAGTGTGTGCATAGGATAGGGGCACTTCAAATACTGGCAAGCCATAAATCTTCTTGAGAGGTTTAAGAAAAGAGATATGGAAGATCCTCAGATCCATACCCTAGGAAACTTCTCAATCAAAATTGGGACAAAGCTATACAGTATGCACGGGGGACTACACATGTAAAGCCATTGGTGAAGTTCTGGTATTCTGCCCTGCCCTGTCCTACCAGTGCATGTAGGTGTCCTGATCAATATGGTGGTTAGCAATGGCGGCTGCCATATTGTTGGGTCCGGATTCGAACTCTGGAGAAGGCTTTGATGTTTATAAATGTACAATGTCTACGTGGCATGGCATCACTTAAAATACAGGTGATTCCACTTGAGATGTTTGGTGGCAATGAAAGAGACATGGAAGAACCTCCGATCCATTCCCTGGGATATTCTCCATCATAATTGCGATAGTGCAGCACAGTAAGTGTGTTGAGACCACATCTATAAAACCATTGGAGAAGTTCTGGCATCCTGCCCACTTCTCTCTGTCAGTGCCAATACATGCAAATAGAATTTTTTCTGTGCCATAAATCCAAAGGCTTCATTGTAATGTAAACATTTCATCTTCGATTTTAATGTAAAAAATTCAGAATTAATTGTAAATGTTTTTTAAAGATGCACAAGTATATTAATGTTAAAGCAAAATAAAATAATTCAGGCTCACATGCTAAAAACCAATTTTAAATATTAATAAGTTAGTAGCTTTCCCAGATGTCCTATCTACATTGTCAGCTGAAATTCCCTTTCTTTTATTGTTGTTTCCTACAGGGCTGCTTTGCTTTCCAAGGGTTACTATATTTCTCAGCATCAATGTCCAGATAAACTGAAACAGATAACAGGCTGAAAGGAAAATCTCTATTGCAACATCAGCTTGAGGTGATTTCTAACACTTCTCTGATTTTAAGGGTGCTTGTGTACCAGGATTCACAGCTAAATTTATCTTTCTTGCAATCAATTTAATTAGTGTAGATGCTCCAAGGAGTATTTTACTGAAGGTATGCTATTACTACTGTTTTAACTAATGGCAAAGAGTTGGTAGATACTTTCTTCTATGCTCACATTTTATTAATAATTTTCTAAATGCCAAACTGATGTACAGAGTTCCAACATTTGTATCTTCATCGCTGAGACACTTGCACAACAGATGCTTCATACCAGATGCATCTGTTGTGCAAGTGTCTACTTCATCAATTCTTAACAATTTTAAGAAAAATAGGGCTGGGGTTGTTAGAAGTTTATACCCAAATCACCAAAATTTTACATATACTGAAAAAGTAAAAAATTTATACCAAAAATTTTTTATTAAAAAAAATATTCATTAAAAAAGCACTATTAAAATTATAATCTAAGAATACTGCATTTTGAAATAAACAGATAATTACACATTTAATGTATAGCATAGATTCTAAAACTATGCCATTGATTTATAATTGATTTAAGTGTGTCATGATTTAAAATGATATTAGGATAATTATACATTAAATGCTACAAAAAGTCAATTACACAAAATTACCCAACAAAATATTGATGTGCCTTTTTTATTTGAAAATATTCCAAATATTTTAGCTAAATTATATCAATTTTCTTTCTTCTCTTTAGCATCTTGTCTTAATTTATTCTCTTCAATAAACAAATCAATGTTCCCCTTATTCTGTGCTTCCTCTCCTACTTTGTTAATGTTTCCACAATGTATCTTTGAAGAGCAATTTTCTTTCTCTTTATGCAATGAAATTCTTCCTGAAGGAACTGCCTCTTCGTTTTAGAATTTTCAGATTTACTTAAAGATTTCTGTTATTCTAAAAGACTTCCTGAATTTAGAATGTATACGAGAAACTGCTTTTTACTTTCTTTAATAGCATGAGCACTGAGAATATGAAATGATATATGGTCAGGGCCAGTGCCAAAGCTAGTGTGCCAGAATGTTTAGAATTTAGTGAAGCACACAGCAACAAAATTTAGGGATGACAAAATTTTTAGAATTTAGGACAGGTACTGGGCAGCAGAATTTAGGCCACACAGATGATTGCCCCAGGTGGCAGAATGCTTAGAGCTGACTTCTGTGTATGATGTAATGAGACATACTAGATGAATCTTTTAAACTGCCAGTTTTCAGTTTCTTTATTATTAGAAAAAAATTCTTTCTACAAGACCTATCCATATGATAAGATTAGAAAACTTTTTGCAACTTTCCATGCTTGTGTTTCGTTAAAAGAATAAAAAATAAAGGGGAGAAAAACAACAAAATATTAATGTATTGCACTGTTTAAATCGGAAATAGGAATGAGTCCAAAAGATAACTCATTGAATACATATTTGTCAATAAATTACCAAAACATATTCTTCCAAAAATACTAACTGTTACTCAAAATGTCAGTCTTCATACAGACAAAAATGACAGGTGAGTAAAATTAAGGTTATTTTACCAATTTTGGCAGAAATTAAAGACCAAACATCATTTCTAAAAAATCTAAGGGCTTTTATTCTCACATTTCGATACACTTCGAAAGTTTTTTCCTGCGAATTTGGAAAGTCTTCATAAAATTTATTTATTTTTAGTTAAAATAAGTTTAGTGATTAAATTCGACATATTAGAATTATTTGAAATAAATGTCAGCTTGAAAATTTAACATTTAGCTGTCAATATGCTTGCATCATGTAGACTAACCAAGAAAAATTTCTTGCAGATACCAAAATTTAGATTTTATACAGAAAATAAACATAAACTCGAATTTCTTCCTTCACATTTTTATTATTACTACTGGCTAAAGTTAACCGTGTTCAAGGCAAATTAAATTTTAAAAAATATAATTCCTAAACTTACAATATGCATACCACATGCACAAGTCATTCATTATATCAGGCTGTAAAAGGGCAATATCCATGCATTAGAGGTATATATGGTGTAGTATATATGTGTGTTCGTGTGTATCTCATTTTATTTTTTTTAAATAAAAGGTGCAGCATACCAGTTGCTTTCGGATAATGGATTTAGCCCACAGGCAATTTGAGCATCAGAGCCACTAAGCTAAAGAATTCTTTCTACACCTGAACTTTATGGAAATGAATTATAAGTACAGCCC